ATTTATGTCATCTGGATATGTCCAGAAGATACTTTGGACACTGTCTCTACAGTTTATGTACATACTGTACATACAGACCCATGTGTTCTGTACGGTCACCAGCACGGATCTCCCCCCATCTGTCATGTTTTTCCCGCAAAGCTCCTAAACCGCTTGGGCCTGCAAATCGCCCCAACACTAATGAAATCATGGGCAAACGAAAGGAAGGCGATGATTATCTCGATGAAGCAGAAGAAAGGGCGAAGAATAGATTAAAATAAATTAAACAAACCCTCTGGGGAGAGCTGTAAAAGCGTGGCAGCAGCCAGCCAAGACCCGCTAAAATCAATAGTCGACAGATCCCGTCGATCAGCCACCAGGATCTGTCGATTGTTCGAACATTTTCCATCCTTTCGTTTTGGCCCTTGATCTTCGACTTCTGTTAGTCTGTTAGTTTCACTTGCTTAGGAATTAGGAACTTAGGACTTTAGGAACCGTCGACTGCCGGGGGGGGAACCTGGGCGGTGTCTTCCGCCATTCGTCCACTTTGTACGCCAGGATTCCTGTCACCTCTTCTAGGGTAGTTACAGTAGTTACAGTACGCATCTTGACTTCGTTGCCCCGTCGCGGCGCGAATCATGATGCAACCCGAAGCGCCCACGCCAAGTCACGAGGTTACGCAACAGCCAAAGTCCATGTTAGGGGGAGGGGCGGGTGTCGTCGCCGGGGCTATCATATGCTTCGTTTTTGCGCTGCTCGTCGACTAGCAACCAGGCCAAGACGCAGATGCCTACACCGGCGTGCGTAGAGTAGGGTCCATCTGGGCAGACTCCATTCACATGGACCAATTCCCCCAATTCCCATGATGTCCCCTCTCCCACCCACCCCTCTCTGTCTCCCGCGAACGATGCGTGCATGCACTTCCTATGATCTGCTCGCTTTAATGTATGTACGTCTATTCTCTTCCTACCAGCCACTACTGTACGTATAATCATGTAGATAAATTAAACCTCCTGTACCAACGTTCAGACTGCAAAAGGGGTCAGAGTTCGGGTTGATGCTTAGTCTTTGTCCAACGTTCACATGAGGAAGGGAGATCCCGGAGCGACACAGCAGGTTCCGACATCTTGGAACGATCCCCTAAAAGTTCCCATCGGATGGATTTTCCGCCCGGCTCTAGGCTGACTAGTTAGTCAAGCCTACTTACTCCGGAGTAGTTGGTTGGTTCATGGTTGGTTGGTGGAAGGAAAGGGAGACCCGCGACTTGTGAAAGGGAAAAAGAAATGTGAACGGAAAGTCGTCGGCGGTGGGGCCTCAGGCTGCAAAGACGCCAATAAGAATCCCTCGGAGTCATGGAGACCAGCCCTTTTGACTTCACCTAGCATTGACCTTATGAACTAGACCGTGTGCTACCCGGCGGTCTCCTGGGGTGTTGTCGAGCATCGACCCAATCTTCACCATTGCTGACTCGTTGGGTAAATGGGCTCACGTGTCTGGTCCCTTGGATGTACGCAGTCTGCATCATTTGAAAAGGCGCTTGAGATGGCTGACCATCCGGCGCGTTACTCGCGGTCATGATTGGCAGGCCATTACCAGCTTACTCCACGATCAATCACGGTGGACTGCATTCATCACAAGTTCCAGCACCTCTCCTCGTCGAAGGAAAAATAAAATAATGCAATGAACAGAAACACAAGGTGAAAAACAAAATCAAATAAAAAGGGGGGGGGTTTTGCGAAGTGGATAGGACTGTCATCAGCTTGACCCATCGTCATCATTTTCCCACTTTCTCCTCCTTCCTCTTTCTCCCCCCCCCCTGTGACGATCCACCCGCACTGATCTTCCTCGCAGGTGATTTTCGAACAGACCTCTTATTCCACTTCCCCCTCTTACCCTCTTAGCGTCGACTTCCTACGAGCCGTTGCCGCCCGGTGCATAGCTAGAGGAAGAGGGATCCCAAATATGAGACCCTATGGGACAAAATTCGCCGAACACCCCGGCGCGTCGACGTGATTGCCACCAGTCTGTCTCTCTGCCTTGTCTGTCTGTTGGCTGAGAACAACCCCTTACGCTTACAGAGCAGTGCCTCTAGCAATAGTACATGAACGGCGAACGCCAACCCCTGAAACGATATGCCATGGGGGAGGGGCGATCAATGATGGCATCACATCCCTGCCCTGGTGGTATAAGGTTGACTTGGCACACTGGGGGATCCTCCCCTAATTGCTGCCCGTGAGCCCATTGTGATTATAGTTTGTACTGTACAGAAGAACCTCTCCAGTCTTCCGTCCCCTTGGGTCTACGATTTGCTTCCCGATAGCCCTTCGATCGCCGTCAATCGCTTCCGCGACTTCCAGTGTGTCAATCGCCGTGGCCTTTTTCTGCTCCATGATGTAACTTCATCGACAATCATTGCTGTTATTCTCCGTTTCTGGCGGAAGATGCAAGTACCAGGAACATTCGGTACCTGCTACCTGGTTCTTACTCAGTAGGTACTTCTTGACCGAAGTAGCCTGTATACCGGAATATCCACCGAGGTATTCGGTGTTTTACCGTACTCTGTATATACGTTTGTATGTACGTACCTAGGTACGTATGTGTATATCAATGGAATACAGTATGTAATCAGTAAGATACCTTTCAGCCCTGAGAGACGACGCCACGCCTCCCATGGCCACAATAGGCAGGTCATGGCGGTGCTTCCTTCTCTCTCAGCCACAGAGAGATTCGAGATCCTCCGGGATCGCCTGCAGGGTTGTCCATCTTCTCCGTCCCTCTCTCTCTTGCTTGTGCCCATCCTTCTTGTCCTCCTCTCTCCTCGATTCAATCTATCTGTTGTGCACGGATAAGCCAAGCAATGGATAGTCTCAAATTTGTCATTCTTTGACAATAGCGCCGAGACCGGTGGTCAAATAGGACCGACTCACGGGCCCAAACCTTCACGCCATGGCATCTGGCTTTTCCTTACTTTTTTTCAAAAAAAGAAAAAGAGAAAAAAAAAATTCTTCCGCCCTGTGCAACTGTGCTCAACGCTCAGGGCGATTCCGGGCACTTTCCCGGCCAGCCTCTGCCATGTTCCAGCCCGGCCAGACTGTGTGTCTTTCGGGCGTATGTTGTGTACATACTACATACGGTGCAGGTATCGTAACTCAACCAGTACAACAAGGAGATCGCATTGTCTGAGCCTATTCAGGTTGAAAGACGCCTCTTGACCCATTCTCCATATTTGTCCCTTCCAATGGGTTGTCGGGATTCCGGAAACGGCCCTGATCAACGATGAAAAAAAACCTTGCACTTTACTGCTCGAGCCACCTCGGAATAATAAAAACCACACAGACATGGTAAATTCTGGAAGAAGAGAGGGGGGCGAGCGGGGAGGAGAAAAGAGGGCATTTTACTTCCTCTTTACCTCTCTCTCAATCTACTCCCAGGGGAAGGAGTTCCGCATCCCTTGCTTACAGTGTCAGAGATTGAATTGGGGCCAGACTTTTCTCCCCTCCAGCTACTGTACACCACCCGTATCGCTGACGAGTTCGGCCAGATCTTCCCGATGCAATGCAGCAGAAACCCATGTCGATCGAGCCGTGTTTGGGGGAAGGATGGGGAGGGTCCTTCATTCGACACGTCTGTTTTCCAGAACCCAATCGTCCCCTTCGGTCAACGAGGCGGACTGTATTAGCCTTGGGAGTCCCAGTCAGTCAACGCCTGCAATCAAGGAAAATCTTGCAACAGCTCGTGTGTTCCGAACGGTGGCCAACCTGAGACGGTGGCACAATCGATTTGTCTAGGTTTGCTTGGGATGTTTTGCGGAAAGCAACGTCCCGATCAGAATCACGAATTGCCACCTTGGACTTTTGTATTGTTTTGTTTATTTTCTTGCTTTCTCTCTCTAACGAGATGCATGCTGCAGCCACATTCATGCAACAGCTTTCGGTTCCCGTCCCTCCGCTGAACACCCCTTCATCTTCATCATCATCTACGTCTTCTCCCTCAATTCCCTCGTATGATTATGTGTCTGTGTACCCATCGCCAGCCGAAAGTGACTGCAGTAGGTTGACCGAGTTGTCGGTGAGCATTTATGCCGGGGGATATTTTGAACTCTCCAGCATGGTTCCTTTTTTTTAACTTTAAACATGCTGATAGTTAAACCTCTGTGATATGTAGCTTCCAGATTGCCCGATTGCGTACGACGCGTGAGACTTATCATACAGGGTGAGATGTTGAGAAAGCGGTGATGGCCTCTTCGGCAAACAATTCTCGGTGTAGTCCGTGGATGCTGATTAGTTTGGAACTCAGCGTTATGGAGACCCACCAGCCATGTTTCATGGGAAGGAGATATCATTTCTCTATGTTAATATGTAGTTGGTCGCTTACTATGTAGGTTGTACACCGCCAGCCAACATGTTGAGAGACCCGTCCGTTGTCAGCCTAATTCGTGGAATTCCACTTTCCAAAACCGCGGCGTCGTGGATAGGTATCGCATCGTAGGCTCCATGTTGCCAGCTCGGTGAGCCAGCCTTGTTGTGTTCTGTCTGCCTGCAGTTTGGCTTTGGTCGATTGGCTTTGTTTTTCATGCACGGTGTGGTTGTCATGGCGGGTCGATATGGATCTTCGAAATTGGAAGAAATAACTATTCCGATACAAACCGATTCTTGCATCCGGTTGCACATTAGTCTCATGCAAGGCACTTTCCACCCGCTCACACGGCAGATACATGTCATATCAACCAAACAGAGGGAATGGGGCACTATGTACTCCGTAGTACATACAAGAGAGTTAGGTTAGTTATAGGCAATGGTTCTACGGAGTAAGTTCTATGTACATACAGCAAGAAAGTAAAAGTCTATCTAAAACCCTAAGGTCCAGTAAGGTAATAGGGGGAAAAAGAAAGAAAAAAAAAAAAAGGCAGACGCCCATGTAGGAAGAGAAGAAGCAAGAAAGAAGAAGAGAGAATCCCCCGTAATCTATTAGAGTCAAAACTCCCGTCGTGAAGAAGACCCTTGCACCACGACCCATCGACTTTATTGGAAAGCGTTCCGAATCTCCAACTGAATCTGGCCATCGCTAACATCCTTCACCGAAACGCTCCTCAGGTCCTCCACAATCCAATCCGCCCCGGCTTCCTGGAGCTGGGCAAGCGTGTGGGTCGTCGCCAGCGCAAGCACCTTGAACCCGGCCGCCTTGCCCGCGCGGATCCCCGAGGGCGCATCCTCCAGCACCACCAGCGCCGACGAGTTCTCCAATCCCAGCTTCGCGCGGCCCAGCAGGTAGCAGCGGGGGTCGGGCTTGCCCAGCTCGACGTCCTCCGCGACGACTAGAATGTCGGGATGCGTGAGGTTCATGACGCCCAGCCAACCTTCGAGCAGCGCGCGAGTGCCCGACGTGACGACGCCCCAGCGTGCGCCGGCTTCGTCCAGCGCTGAGAGGAGGGATCGGGCGCCGGGGATTTCTACGGCGTCGGATCCGTACTCTTTCGGGATGCAGCCTTCAATGTAGCTGACGTCTGCAAATATCAAGATGATTATATCGTTAGGCCTACTCTTATCGTTCTTCCTTTTTGGGGGGGGTTCTTTCGGTGTTGGTTTCACATGCTTTATCTTCGCATGGAGGAAAGAGTATGTCCCACTCATCTATTTATAGGAGGGCTTCGGATCGGCAACTTACACTCCCAGTTGGCCTTGGTGGTGTCGTACAGGGCCAAGGTATCGATACTTCGGCGACCATGCGAGGTAGCGAGAATGACCTTGGGGTCGACGCCTAGTTCCGCTCCGATTCTGTAGGATAGATCGGTTAGGATCCATATGCACTATTCATTTGTCGTTGTGTCTTGTGGTGGATGGTGGGGTGAATGTGAATCAGTTATCGGGCCGGACGAACTTGTGCCAGTGCTTGACGATTGCTAAGAAGATTCATCGTTAGGTGGTTTTTTTTTTCCTTTAAGAAGATAATGCCATGCATGTCATATAAAAAGCTCACCATCTGTAGAATCAACGATAGTCCCATCAAAGTCCGATAGAACGCCATCGAACGTGACGACTTGCGGCGGGGCAGAGAAGGAGCCTTGCGGTTGAGTCATGATGCTGTCTAAGGTCTATAGCGTGCGGTCTAAGAAATCGACGAAAAAGGACAGGCGGGGATCAGAAAGAGAGTGAAAGATCTCGAGAACGCAATGCAGTCTAAGGAAAAGAAACAATCTAAGCAAAGCAAGCGATGGTGGTTGATGGCATACTCCGGTGGAGGAAATCCGCGGGACTATCGGAGATCGGCGGTACTCATTTCTCCGGTTATCTTAGCGCGCAGAGAAATTCTTGGCGGCCGCTCAACTTTGCACAAAATTGTTCGGAGTCTCTTATCTCGGTCTGGTCTTGTTTTCCACATCTTCTCTTGATATTCCAGTGTTGCTGCTGGGAGTTTGTGTGAAGGTTATTTCAAGATGGTTAATATAGGTATGTCTGTTTGTATATCCTAGTCAATTCTCTTCTTGGTTTAATTGGGAAAATAAAATGGAAGAGGGAAAAAAAAAAAAAGATCGAAGCTGATATATCTATCGTCCAGGCAAGAACTCCAAGCGGACGCCCGTCCGTCTACGACACAAGATTGAAAAGGCTTCTGCGGCCAAGCAAAGGAAGCAGAAGAAGCTTGCGAAGAAGGTATGCTCTCGCTATTGTTGCTCTGTCTGCCATTTTTATGCTACATTATATGTTCTTCCTGTCGGCGCAATTTCACTGACAACTTTTTTTTCATCAGGATCCTACATGGCGCTCCAAGATCAAGAAGGACCCCGGTATCCCCAACCTCTTCCCGCACAAGGATAAGCTGCTTCACGATATCGAGGAACGCAAGCGGTTGAAGGCGGAGGAGCAGCAGCGGATTCGCGATGAGGCTCGTGAGCGTCGCGCCGCCCTGAAGGCTCAGTCGGGTCAGAGTGCCGAGGTGATTGACGGTCAGATCCAGCAGGATATCGACAGCGATGGCATGGATGACGACGATATGGATGAGGATGGAGACTCTTCGAACCCCATGGCTGCGCTGCTGGCGTCTGCGCGGGCGAGAGCGGCCGAGTATGAGGATGAGGACGACGAGATGGACGAGGACGACGATGAAGACATGGATGCGATGGACGATGACGACGAGGAGGAGGATGGCGGTGCGGCTCTGGATGGCGACGAGGCCCCTCAGCTTGTCTCGCAGCCTAACACCAAGGAGACCTCGCGACGACAGTTCGACAAGGTGTTCAAGCAGGTCATTGACAATGCCGATGTCGTTCTGTACGTGCTGGATGCTCGGGACCCCGAGGGCACTCGCTCCAAGGACGTCGAGCGCGAGATCATGTCCGCCGCTGCGGGAACCAAGCGATTGATCCTCATCCTCAACAAGATCGATCTCGTGCCCCCGCCCGTGCTGAAGGACTGGTTGATCCACCTGCGTCGATACTTCCCGACCCTGCCGCTCAAGGCGTCCAACGGCACCGCCAACGCTCACAGCTTCGACCACAAGCAGCTGACCGTCAAGGGCACCTCGGACACGCTCTTCAAGGCCCTCAAGTCCTTCGCGCAGACCAAGCAGCTGAAGCGCTCCGTCTCCGTCGGTGTCATCGGCTACCCCAACGTCGGCAAGTCCTCCGTCATCAACGCCCTCACGGCCCGCCTCAACAAGGGCTCCAGCAACGCCTGTCCCACCGGCGCCGAGGCCGGCGTCACCACTAGCCTCCGCCAGGTGAAGCTCGACAGCAAGCTCAAGCTCATCGACTCGCCGGGTATCGTGTTCCCCAACGCCGGCGAGAAGAGCACCAACAAGAAGAGCAACAAGAAGAAGCAGGATGAGCACGCTCGTCTCATCCTCCTCAACGCCGTGCCCCCCAAGCAGATCGAGGACCCCGTTCCCGCCGTCAAACTCCTCCTGAAGCGCCTCTCCACCACCGAGGGCCTTCTCCAGAAACTCCTCAACCTCTACGGTATCCCCGCCCTTTTCCCTACCGGCGGCGACCAGGTCAATGACTTCCTCATCCACGTCGCCCGCAAGCGCGGCCGTCTCGGCAAGGGCGGTATCCCCAACATCGACGCCGCCGCCATGACCGTCATTAACGACTGGAGAGACGGCCGTATCCAGGGCTGGGTCAACGCTCCCGTCCTGCCGGTCGTCACCACGACAGAGGGCGCCGCGGCCACGGAGGTCGGTCCCGGTGTGGACACGAGACAGATCGTCACGGAGTGGGCGAAGGAATTCAAGATCGAGGGATTGTGGGGGAATGGGGATGATGAGATGGCTGAGTAGATCAGCTGGCGCCAGTTCTGAGGACATCCATGCATCATGGTTGTATCTGGTTTGGTCTGTTGATCTAGCTTTTCATGTCTTTTCTTTTTTTCTTTCTTTTTCTTGATTTGCTGCTTCTGTGGATACCTAAAAAAAGAAGGCGTTGCAGGCCTGGTTTTCTTTGATCTTTCCTTTTTCTTACGTTGACTTGACTTGATTGAACTGGATGATGAGATCTGTGAGCTGATAGATGTTGATATTCGATTGATGAATCTAGATGTCTTTCATTCATGGTTTGTCTTGGGAGCATGGTAGATGGTGTAGGGTACATAATCTATATTTCTCCGGTAGGTACATGTGTCGACCTTCGAGGCATGTGGCTGGACTACTGTTGCCCGCCATACTTGTGCTATATACTACACGTGAGACTTATAGACATGGAGAAAATTGCCTGCGTACTGAGACTGCGGTAGATACTACATACAAAAACACCCATTTCTTATACTCCATATACGGAATGGAAAGATAATCTCCCTATATAGTACCAGACACCACTGCAATGTCATCCAAAGCAATCCAATCAAGTCAATTCCATCTACTCCAGTCACTCCACCCCACCCACCCGTGCACCCACCACAAACCAAAAAAAAAAAAAAAAAAAAAAAAATTCCTCCCCCTCGACACAGCCAAACCAATGCGAAAAGTAAAAGACAAAAAGAACTGACAAGAGTGGGATTCGAACCCACGCCATCGTAAGATGAGTAGGAAACTCGTTGGAGTTGTGAATTAAGGTATACCTTAACCTACCGCCTTGGACCGCTCGGCCATCTTGCCCAGTTGATGTGGAGAAGTTGAGATATTTTGTACTATGTTAGAATGGGCATAGGGATGAGATTTTGGGGCTTGGGACTGGGTGGATGGAGGAGTGGTGGTGTCGGATTGGACGTGGGAATATGGTTGGTGTTTGGTGTTGTGGGCTCTGTTTATGTGTTTTGGGTGTTGGTGCTTTTGTGTTCAAGTTTGCTTGGGATAGTTCGTGATGTTGTGTGGGTTGGTTATTCGATTATATATTGTTGGCTATGTATTGATAGTGAGGGATTGCACCTGTTTCAAAGTAGACAATCTCGATGATTGCCAGCAAAAGCCAGAGTAAAGGACACCTACAAGCCACGACAGCCATAAAGATAATGACGCAAGGGTTCTCATGCATGCTGTATACCAGGAATAGCAATAGAAGGGAAACACAGCAGAATGCCTAGTAAGATTTGCACCGAATACCTAAATACCTACAGAAAAATCACTAATTTATTTGAACACAGTCTCTATTTCTATATAAAACTGGAATATCAGAATCTATGCCCTATTAATATAAGTTTACCATATGGTTATTTCCCAACTAGAACTGGAACACTTCCGTCAAATGGTGTAGGACAACCAAAAGCCACCATGGAATGCAAGATACTGAATTATGGCGCCCCCCCCCATATCATTATCCCCTTCCTCCCGATTGCTATTCCTCAAGTCATTTTATGTTATTTGATCCTCCTTTCTTCTTCGCCCTAACTTTCTCCCTATTCTCTGCTCTACCCTGTAATACGATCCGGCATTCAACTAACTGAGACAACGATCCGTACAACATCTAGACCAATATGTAAGAGCTACTTTCACCTGAGTGCCTTATAACATGCATGTATTGTGCACGACTACATAGACCTAGCAGATACAGAGCCACAGAGCCAAATTCATACCCCTCCCTGGACTAGCCCAAGATTAATGACTACACCGCACCCACTTGACAGATAGACTATAGAACGTAAAGGTGGCACATGTGTGGCGACACACACACACACACAGAGAGAAAGAGAGAGAGAAAGAGAGAGAGAAAGAGAGAGAGAAAGAGAGAGAGAAAGGGAGAGAGAAAGAGAGAGAAAGGCATCACCAGGTATCCCAACGTGTACATGAAGAAATCCATCCCACATGATTTGATCTGCTAGCATATAGAGTGACCCTGAACAATTTTCGCACCACAGCCATAAGTATTCTATCCATTGCTTCAGGGCTACGGATATGCTAGTTTCAGAGACAGTTCTCTATTGTACATTGTGAAGCTATCCATCTTCTACATCGGGGCCGACGACATACAGCTCGCATAGCTGCAGACATACTTGGATACTACTTCGGTGTCTCCTCGACAAGGAAAAATTCTATGTCCAATCCATGTACGGTCTCAGACATGCCACGAATGACTGCCACTAGATACAGAGGAATTCATCACTGCTGATTATATTGCAAAGTAGATAGAAACAGTCGTACGCAGGAAAGTTACAGCCCAAGGAAATCGATTGACCGGACTAGCCTGGAATATTGGGGCTATGAGTAGCCCTAGATTCATTATGTCAAAAATGTTGCCCGTTCTTCATCAATCGGGCAAGATGGCCGAGCGGTCCAAGGCGGTAGGTTAAGGTGTTACCTTAACTGACAACTCCAACGAGTTTCCTACTCATCTCACGATGGCGTGGGTTCGAATCCCACTCTTGTCAGTTCTTTTTGTCTTTTCTTCCTACCTACTGGAGAGAAACATTTTTTTTTGATGATTTATTTGTGTTCGCGGGGTGCCATTCCTTCATTGCTTTTTTTTTTTTTTTTTTTCTCCCTGAGAAGAAAAAGAAGACGAAGAAGGCTATGGATGTCTACTTCTCGCTTTCTCTATAACTACCACGTTTTACTCCCCATCTCTACCTCTTCAAGCCTTCGCTAAACCCAGCAAAGTGACTCGATGGTATGTATACCGCCGCTGTATCGTCTTAAACCTGTCCACCACCAAATATCTTATCCACCCAGAGCAAGCCAACCAACTGTAAACGCATCTAGGACTAAAACGAACTTAGGAATACGAGCCTATGAGACATAACACCCACGTACGAGCCGTCATCCGGTTCCCCCGAATCCGTGGCCCGTAGTCATTGCATAGATACTCGTACGATTCGGCACCGAAAACAGCCCATATCCGTGTTCCACCTGGACGCATGTTTAGACAACCAAGCCATCGAGAACTCACCAATATCCGAGATACTCAACGATCGAGGAAGCCTGCAGAGAGTTGAATCTAGACAGCCTCGTTCTAGACTTAATGTCGATGCGGTGCTCCTGATACTCGAGCTCTGCTTGGTTGCGGAAAATCTGACAAGCGTTTGATTTGATGTCGGGCTGGTTGTAACGGATCGGCATTCAAGGTTGAATGGTCTAAAGCATGTCTAATAACTAGGTTACCCAGATAACCTGGAATTCGCAATATCGCGCTTGATTATGAGCTCGTCTTGTCACAGCCCGGACAAGGATCTATCCTATTCTCGAGTTGAGAGATAATACCATCCGAGTACAGAAGCACACGGACGAGCCATTCGAGGATAACAGCTAGATTCATTGTAGCCCTTGTCGTGGGACTACCGTGCCTCGCCTGTATCGCTGTACTAGTAACCAGAAAATCGGGGTACTCACGGGTGTCGATCTAGATTCTCGCTCGCTCTAGGCCTCTAAGTCCGTGGCTAGCAGCGCGACGGAACTGTGGCCCATCAGAACGATTCGATTAATGTCGATGTCAAGTAGGAACATGCTCTGGACTTATGGGCTAGGGAGTAGACAATTTCCTGCACTCGCTTCCCACTGTCACCTGGGAGACGAGCGTGTAGTTGGAGGCGGTGGTGTAGCCCCGGCGAGGCAGGTGGATTACTCCGGCCCGATCAATGGTGCCTAGATGGTGTTGGATCCCTAGCTGCCGCCATGAAGAAGCAGATGATCGGCGCGAGGGGTTATCCTGATGTGGGTTTCCAGGGACGGAAAAGCTGGGTGTTTCTCTCCATTATTATGTTTGACCCGTCGAGAAGTTGATCGGAATCCAGGGCCGATAGGAGCTGCTCTGCTCTGGCTGTAGTTCGTTGGACGATACTTAGCTCGATGGGAGTGAGGTCGTAGACAAATTATTTCTGTTAGATGGAGCTGTGATACTGGTATACATGACAGTTAGTGACTGTGAACAATGTCAAAGGATGGTATATCTATGAGGATTGTCGAGGATCAAAAATGCTTGTAACTATGTACATGTTTACCTAGCTGCACCTAGGTTTAGCTTGATATAGCACTAAAATAAGCCCATTATTCATCAATTGGCAAGATGGCCGAGCGGTCCAAGGCGGTAGGTTAAGGTATACCTTAATTCACAACTCCAACGAGTTTCCTACTCATCTCACGATGGCGTGGGTTCGAATCCCACTCTTGTCATCTCTTTTTGCTGTTTCTTTTTCCTCATACGGAGTAGTCATGGCTGGTTGCTGATGTATTTGGACATGAACGCGATCTTCATTTTACAGTGAGGCAGTCTTGGCTTCCCTGTGATATTTATTTTGTCTCTTTACAGTTTATACTTCCAATTGCACCGAATCTTATATACACTTCAGTGAGGGTGTTAGGATGTGCACCTTTGAATACGAGCTACAGCACTTCCAACTCTATACTATCTAGAGATAGACACATCCATAGTAACTATATTTTACGTAGAACTAAATCCAGCCAGTTCTGAACCGAATTCCATCTGAATATGGCCAGAAACCCAGCTCCAGTCCCCTCTGCACGACCGATAAACCGAACCGCTCTTATCAGGCGCCGAATCGCCACCGACAGCCCGTCGCGCTTCCGCCATCGCGTCGCGTATTCGAGAAAAAAGAATTCCACCTCCATAATCTGTGCCTCGATCCTGTCCCTTCACCTAACGTGATGTTATCTGCCTGAACATAATATTTTATTTATTCTCTCGATTGGATTTACTGGGTTAGATTGGCTTGGTCATTCTTTTTGTTCTCTGACCTTGGTAACTGCTGGCTGGCTTCATTATCGCCTTGGTTGATTCTCACCTCCTACCTACCTACCTACCTCTGCACGCTGACACCGACATTGACCCTCCGTCCTACCGAGCTTCCTCGACATTCTTGAACTCCAGCCGTACATAGTACACTGTACACGATCGAACATTGCCCACCGACCCCGTCAACCACTAGAAGAAACCACCCACTCACCCACCGCAGTCAAGCGCTCAAAGCAACAGCAAAGTGAAACATGCCTCGAAAATCCACCTCCAGCACACCAGGCGATCTGGAAGACACGCAAACACAGACACACACGCAATCCCCCGACCTTCCCGACCAGTCGCCATCCCAGCCCGCTCCGCAATCAGTACAAGCGACAGAGCAGCAGTTGAAGGCGAGGGCAGAGGGCGTGAGTATTGAGGTATGTCTCTCTCCCTGTAGTTCGAAACCATTTATTTCCTTGCTATCATAGAGAATCGGAACCTGGAATATATGGTGATTGTGATTGTGACTGGACTAACGAATGGATGTACAATAAAATAGGATTATCTTCTTCCTCGCTCTCTAACCCTCCGTCTTGCCAAATCCGTCCTGCCCCCGAATACCTCCCTCCAGAAGGACGCGGTGTTGGCGATCCAGAAGGCCGCGACGGTGTTTGTGTCGTATTTGTCGTCGCAGTATGTTCTTCCTTCTTCTCCTTCTCATCCCCCGCCGCCTCTTTCCTACTTTACCCTCCAGACTTCAAACCCTATTCCTCGTCTTATCCACCCAGCAATTAAACAAACAGCACCCCAACACAAACCCCAACACACAAAGGGCACAGTATTACGGCATGACTGTTTGAAGAACCAAAACTAACCGCTTCAATTTCAACCCCAATGCAGTGCCAATGAAGCAACACTCAAACGCACCCTCTCCCCGGCAGACGTCTTCAACGCGCTCTCAGAACTAGAACTCGAGGGGTTCCGACCCCGATTGGAGAAAGAGCTCGATGCGTTTACGGACCTGAAGGCCGGGAAGAGGAAAAGTAAAGGGAATTCGAGCGCGAACACGAATAATACCGGTGCTGCTGCTGCTGCTGCTGCGACTGCTGATGGCGATGTCGATGGCGGTGTCGATGTCGGTAAGGAGGGTTCAGCTGGCGTTGTCGAGGGAGGGAATGAAGGGCCGGGGAGTGCGAGTGTTGCGAGGGGCGCGAAGAGGGTGAAGAGAGATGGGCTTGGTAATGGGAATGGGGTTCGTGGGGATAATGATAATGACGAGGACGAGGAAGGAGATGGAGATGAGACGCAGGATGAGCCTGAGAAGGTAGATGAGAATGAGACGGAGGTTGATGAGGAAGAGGAAGAAGAGGAGGACGAAGATGAGGACGAGGTACCAGAGGAAGAAGAGGATCCGGATCGTGTGGAAGATCTAGATCGAGACTCGAGAGCCAAACGGACGATGGACCCCGACGCGGCGGGCGATGATGATACGGAAAGTGAGGATGAGAATGGGCCGGGGTCGCAGTTGCGAGGGGATTTGGGACTTGGATAGAATGTCACATTATTTATCTGTTAGGTTAACTGTGCGGGTATTGCATACTCCATACGAGGGAATTGAAAGTGAAAGTCAGTTGTATGATATGAGACATAAGAATCAACATTGATATTGATTGACCTTTCCATCCATCTGACTAGTGCATGGTATCCATAATCCATAAATATAAACAAGGTAATCATTCGTTCAATTGTGGTCCCTTGAATATCATCAATGCAAATAAGATAAGATAGAGACAAGCGACAAAGATCCCACCAACGCCGTATTTGCTCATAACGCCCATTCAACGACCGCGCAATGCATCGATCATTACATGGTCACGGTGTCCCATCAAGTTGTACAACGAAATAACCACGAGAAATGCATGTCTCGGACCGAATCATAGGGATAAAGAATCCCAGGTCACGCATGAAAGGACAGAAAAAAGGGCTCAATATCCGAAAGATAAAGATAAGACAACCCTTGTGTCGAAACCCCCAAACGCCAAATCCAAAGCAAGATAGTCTATCATGGTATCTTGACACCCAAACAGACAAAAAAATAATAATCAAGCAACAGGGTCTGAGCGACCACGTCGCGACCGTAGAGAAAGAAAGGTCAAAGTGAAAAAGAAGAACACAAAAACGTAAGTAGAAAGATAGACTAATGATGACATAAAGTAAGAGCCGTGATTAACTCATGCGGTCGGTTGGTTCAGCAACTCACTCATTCCATTAGGTACTGACTTGGGAGAGATCGTGTCTGGTTGACGCCAGCGCTCACTACTGCGCGTCGGCGTGGTGTCCCCCTTCTGTTGACTCAGATGAGGGAACATCGGTCCGTTATTGCGCGCGGCACCAGGAGGAAGCGGATGCATCGGTTTCGAATCGTCCTTTTCCAGTTTGACGGACTTGTCTTCGCCGCCGACCTTGGACGCCTTGGTGACTTTGCTGAAGGTGGTGATTTTGGTATTCTTGGCCGGCGCGTCTTTCTTGGTGGCGCGTTTCCGAGGCGCAGCGGCGGGTTTCTTCTTCGCGGCCGCTTTCTTGGGCGCTGGGGCCTTGGTCCCTTTGAGGACGTCCTCCAATTTGGGCCCGCGACTGGCGGGATTGGCACGCGTGTTGGTGGCGTGTTGGGTTTTCTTGACATCCTCGTCCTGGCTGGAGGACGGCGTAAGGAAGCCCGTCGACGTCTTCTGTCGCTTTCTCGGCGTCGAGACCACGATCGACACCCCTGATCCCTTCTTCACGCGCTCAACCTCAGACGAGTTGCATTCGTCAAAGACCTCCTCCGAGTGGTCATCCCACCGTTTCAGATCGGCCATTCGGGCCACTTCTTCGCAGTCGCCCGTCACCACAAGGTCCCAGCAATCCTCGAATTCCTTCCCCACGGGGGGCTCGTTGTTAATCCACATGGTCGTTCCGTTGCGGCGACTGCGGATCACATGACAGAGACTTTTCACGAGACGGCGCACCCCCGGGATCTTAAGACTGGTCCCCACCACGATCAGCGCGTCCGGGCGGGAGCGGATGTCGGCATTCATGACGGACGTGATGGCTTCCTCGTCGGGGTTATGCTCATTGTAGAGCACGATACGGGGTCGCATCTTGCCGATTCCATGGCTGCGCTGTCCAGTCTCCATGCGGAACTGGTTGTTTCTGGAGCACTCGGGGCATTCGGGCGCATCGGGGCGGTCGAACATGACGCGATCAAAGTCGCCCAGGTGTCGACATTTCTGGCATACCATTTTGTCGAGACTTCCGTGCAGCTGGATCGTGCGCGGCCACGGCGCTTTGACATTCAGGGGGATCTGCGTGGCCAGTGGGGGCATGGAAGTTTCGATGCCGTCGATATTTTGCGTATACAGGCGAGTCAAGCGACCCTCCTGGCCGAGACGAGCCAGCATGTGGTGGAAAGCGGTGGGCGACGTCTTCTCCGCCTCCTCGGAGAGCGACCGCACCATATCTTGGAAGGAGGCGGTCAGGTTTTCATCTTGGTAGACGGCAGCATCAAAGAGTAGTTTGCCGGACGCCTTTAGGTTGTGTTTTTTCTGCAAGGATTTAAAGAGACCATCGGTGGACCGAAAGTCGGGAACTATAAAATCAGATACGAATTAGAGGTAAAATTAAAGGAAGAAAACCCTGTTCAGGGACAAGGAACGTACTGCCTGCAGAAGTGGAGATGCCAGCACCGGCGATGACGACGATTTTGCGGTGACGACGAATGGTTTTGGTGAGCAGATCGATCTGGGCCTGTTGTTGGGCGTCCGAGCAAAGGCGGAGATCGAGACGCTGCGTGCGCCGCTCTTTGGGCGCCGCCGTCCGTCGCTTCTTCCGGGCGGGTGGCTGCTCTGCTTGGCAGCTCTCGTCCGCGTCCTGCGACGGGGGAGGCGAGGGATAGAACCCGGGCGGTGGTGAGGGCGACGCTGGCGCTGAGCTCAGCTCTGACACATCTGAGAAATCATCCTCCATGACGAGTGTGGAAGAAAGTGGTCGGGTTTGGACCGGAGAGGGTCGTCAGAGAGGGAGGATGAAGAGGAAGGAGAGTGTGTTGGCGTTGCAGCGAAGGGGAAAAAGGGGAGAAAGACCCGGTAGAAAAAGAGCCTTCACAAAGAGGTGAATACCACGCCCGAACAGACAATCATGGACGTTCAATTGGGAATGGATTGTTAACGGTGAACAACAAGCGAATTTAATAATTCCGGTTGATTGAAAAGTCTGAATTGTCTCGCTCCCAACCGGTAAATTCCCACGTCGAAACTCCGTGATCGTGGGGGAACGAGAAGGAAGAAGAGGAGGAGGAAGAAGAAGAAAGAGGAGGACGAGGGGAAGGGAGAGAGAAAAGGGCGCGGAAGGGCAGGTCGAAACCGAGAAAAAAAGAAAGTGATGAGGTCAAGGCGGAGGACGTCGAGAGGGATAAGAACGAGAGAGTCCGCAGGAAGTCTGGTTCTCTCTCGCTTGCAGCCGTTTTGTGCTCTGTTTATTTTGACCCACGGCAATTCTCCGGACCAGAAGGAGATTCAGAGGCAGAGACCAGATTAACTACGGAGTACGAGGAGAGCAACGGGTTGGTATGCTGGCTGGGAATGCTGTCAAGAGGGCGCCATCATGGGGTAAGAGTGTAGAGTGCAGAGTGCAGAGAGTGGACTGAAGACTGGAGACTACGGTTATGGAGGACAGTTGATCATATCGAATACCATCTACAGAGGAAGCAAGGACGGAGTGAATAAGCGAATCCATCATCGAATAGTTCTGATCCGAGTCAAAGAATGGGGAACAGTCATATCAATCACCGTAATTCAGATGCCACCGTCTCGGCATCAGATGATGGTTCTTCCAAAACAACAACAATAAGACTTTCTCCTGCTAGTTTAAATCGGGTTTAACACCGTCGGGTCTGATTGGCCGGCAGGTCGCATTGAGCTGTTGGCTTTAATTTGACGAGGACAGAATGCCCTTCCATGGGACTCGGGCTGTACACCGTAAAGAGCACAGCTTCCCCTCTTCGTCCGTAGCTCGCCCCCACGACCTGCATGCTGATCTAGCAGTCTGGGACCGGTTTTTCATCGACATGCACATATTCCCGCAGGCTCGAGCACCGTCCCGTCGGATCAAACTGGCCTGGTGTTCTCGATATCCGATCCACTCGGCTTGATGCGGGTTCACGTCGCGCGGCGTAGGGTTTCTGCCGCAAACGTCGCAACCGTGATCTGGAGGGGAGTACTCCATTTATCCCTTACTCCGACGTGGAATATTCATGTGGACGGAGCTAAACTGGAGATACTCCGTACTTTGTCTCCGTCTCGGTTAACCTTCTGGTCCCCGTCGGATCATGCTGGAATTTAAACCCATTCTGGTGTGGGGTACCTTTGAGTGAATCGATTCGATTGTAGTCAGGCTAGAATGAACTTAGCAATGCCATCACAAGAGTCGTGGTAATTAGTCGACGTGCCTGACCATCGTAGAGCAGTTCGTGAAGAAGAGTCCTCATTGGACGGACGCGTTGGCCGGGATACGGTAGACACCTGACCTCACGTGAGGCTGAGTCAGCCCGGACTCTAGAATCGGCAATGATGAGAGGGTGAAGTGAAAGTGAGTTACTACACTTCTGGTCAGGACAATGAATGACTATATAATCTGACTTATATCTTCCGTGTTATCGTCGTATATAACGAGTCTCCCTTTGTTGCCTGCGGGCTCTTTGTTGGAAAGGGCGGGGGCATAATTGCGGTGCCGTAGAGCATTGGTCATTGATTATTGATTATTTAGTGTTCTAACATGCCGATGATGATGGACGACGGTATCAACGTCGACGATTTATTTGGTGAACCCGCTTCTCTGGAATTGGGTCTACCATCCAGCACCTCTATCAAAGGTCTTGCGCAGCGGTTGGATGAATTGCGACTCTCGGGTTGTTGCCAGTAAGTTGACCTAACTACCCCATCGGCTGTGTTTAAAGGGCGGAGGCCAACTACGTACGCAGGAAAATCGCCTGGTCCCGACAGGGATGCATCGCATATATCACCCATGATACATTAGGCGTGAACCTCCGTCACTTGGAGTGTCGCCCGTCCGATGGCAAGTGGATCTTGAGCGAGGACACCCCCTTGAGCCCGGTGACCGAGGCTCACGACCGTCACCCACTCGTCCACTTGTCCTGGAATGAGGTCGGGTCGGAACTGGCCGTGGCCGATTCGTCGGGTCGCGTGTCCATCTACAACATTGCTATTGCTCTGAATAATCTCTCCGGACAGCGTCATGCACACTTTGACCCCGATGACGATGGCGGCCAGATTGTGGGCATGATGTGGCTGAACATCCAGCGCTCGGTGAGTATCGGCGTGGCTGCTGATCCGATCCACAACGCTGATATCTGACTAGGTCCATGCCTTCAATCAAGCGGCCAAGGTCCAAGGTCGATGGGCGTACTCCCCGTTTCGACGCCGTCCCATCGGCCCGCTCCATCCGGCCGGTAAGGCGGCGTTGGTTTGCGTCACCAAATCGGGGATGATTCGACTTTTGTATCAGAACCCCGACGGTAAATGGGCGGAGATATCGGCGGAGCTGAAGAGCACCGCCTTCTCAGACCGGTCGTTAACTCACGCGGCCATCGGGGCTGTCCAGGGTGGGATTGTAATTGCGACTCACTCTGCCTGCCAGAAGCTCTGTTTCTACCGGGCCCAGATCAACTGGACTCCCGCGCAATGGGATCCCAGCCAGCTCAAGCACCCCCCGAACCCGAGTCAATATCCCGTTCCTAATTTCCGCTTCATGCACGCTAAAGTCGAATCGTCCTGCAATTTGCCCTCCTTGAATCGGGACGAGGGACAAGATTCCAATGGTGTCCCTCAGACCACAAACTCTTTGTACTGTCTGACGCACCTGGACATCATCATGGCGGCTCATGACAGCCCTTCCGGCATGACGACGAATCCCTGGATCGTTGCGGTGTTTTCCATTCCTCCTCATGCTGTGCCAGATCACTCGCAACAACTCCCTGCTGGTGTTATCGTCCGATGGCAGCTTGAATCAGCACCGCAAGTATTGCATCCTAAATTCGACGAAGTCACCTCGAAGAAGAACAGCGTTCAGATGAAAGTATGAGGAAACCACGATATGGACTTGATGATTTTCGTACTGACCTCGCACTAGCCAAAAACGGCCCTCCGTCGACTGGAGGATATTCCGTGCGATAAGTACGTGATATCGATTGATCAGACGGAATTTGGAAACGTGCTGGCCATCACCTACGATGACAGTACGATCACCTTTTACGACCCCAAGACGATGGCCATCCTCAACGGAAACGATGATGCGAACACAGTGACGAGTCTGGCTCAGGCTGGGTTTAACTACCCTCCAGACACGCCAGGTTTGTTTCCTTGATCTGTCTGATCGAAGCAGCACTGATGGCATGTCGCAGGGTTATACATTGGCTTCTCCCCTAGTGGTTGCATTGCTATGACGCTTGACAATGATGGGCAACCACAGCTCAGAGTTATGGAACACACATATGGCGTGGAGAATGGGATTTCAGATGAGAGTACGTGCTGGATTAATCTGAACTATACAGTATGCTTACTTTATCAGGTAAATTGTCTGCAGCCATTGCCTCGCTGACACTTGCTTTCTGCCGTGGTTGCGGGAGCGAGCTCAACACGGACGATATCCTAATGATCCTTCGACGTCAAGTATCACCTGGTGGGTGGAACCGTTTCTACACCAAGTCACTTATTCTAACAGTTTGCCAGACGACCAAGCGACGTTTGTCAACGAAGTATACCGCGCGTTGGCCGTCAACTGCAACTTCACCCAGGAGAATGATAAGCTCATGAGCCATCAATACCTTCCCCGATGTCTCAGCATCCAGGCTGCTCTCGGTTTCAAGGATAAGTACAAGTCCCGCACCTTCGCATCCAATGTCCCGTGGACCATCCTTCAATTGCGACACGCATCCGTTTTATATGCCTTATTCATCCAATTCAACAAGGGGACTCAGAACGAAGCCCCAGATCCAGGTATGATCCGACCCATTCCATCATTTTACAAGACACTGCTAACTCTGTTCTCTAAACAGATGCCCTACGCATACTTCTAGGCAACACAAAATGGGCACTCGACTTCCTCCACTTCGTTCTCAATGACCTCCTCGACCTCGCCGATGAATTTGAGGATGTCTTCTCCGACCAGGAGGCATTTGCTCAGAAACGTAGGCCCCCCACTATCACCAACCATTACCCCCTCCCTGACACTAACAAACTCATAGTAAAGACCGCCACCTCCCTCCCCCTCATCATCCTCCTCTCCAGCATGTCGCGCGCCTTCCTCCGCTTCATCTGCCGCGGCCTCCGCGGCATCTACGCGGGTTACGCCACCGCCCCTCTCACCGGGGACGCGCGGATCTACTACGCCGAAGTCTGCCAGACGATCGACACCTCACCCGTGCGCATCGACGTGTACGAGAAATTCATCGCCGGCGTCGACTCCGCCGTGCGCCACGGCTACCACGGCGCCGGGTTCGGCGACGCCGAACGTCCCGGCCCAGAGCGGGAATTACTCGTCAATGCGCGTATCTCGCCCGTCTTGGTCCCCGCCGTGGCGACGATCCTGCGACAGACCGTCCCCGGGCTGAAGTCCGATATCGACCGCTTGGCTATCTATACGGCCGATTATAGTTGGTTGGGGTTGGGGACGGATCGTCGCGCGGAGATGTATCGGAGAACGAGGGATGTTGACATCATCAAGAAGATTCCGGTGAGGGTGCCGTCGGGTGGTGGTGATGCGGCGGCGAGACAGAATGCTGCTCCGGGTAGTGGTCCTGCAAGGAGGCGCTGTGTGCGGTGTTGTGAGATACTGTGTGGGACGTACCCGCCGCGTCCGTATCTCTCGTTCCGCATGTTGTATAAACTGGGGTATGTGCGGTATTGTATCTGCGGTGGGGGGTGGGCTTGCGAGTCGGAGGGGAAATAATGGGGAGAGGAGAGAAGGGTTGTATGTATAATAGATAAGCTAGTTGGGTATGAACGATATTATATTTTTGTTCTCGTGTAGGGAATCCTTTGACTGTGGGGAATAGTAGGAACTTGGGTGGTGTAGATGGGAAGATCAATAGGCGAGTGAGGACGGGAGGGTTGGATGTTCTACGAAGCATCACAGTAACGAGGAGACTCAGGACCCCTGAACCGAGTTCGAGATACCCCACGCCAGTACCCCAGAATGGCAAATTGCAACCCAGCATCCATTAAAGCTGCAGGCACAGCAGAGCAAAAAGTCCAACTGAGTAAGAAAAGGAAAATCATGCATCATTCACGTCAAGTAAAGCCTTCATTTATGTCGACCTTGCATCCTTTCATCTCTAGGTTACATGATCAATTTTCTCAAAAAAATAATAAAGAAACGTATTTTTTGATGAAACCGACCCATTTCCCTCCGTAAGGTATAGATAGGTCAACCCGTCATCTTAATAAACGACGTTCCCATAACTCCATCCAGATCAGATCCACACGCAGCACGGCCCTGGGGTTTCATTTAAGCCTGCAGGGAAGATGTATCAGCGATCATGTTCTGGCCATTTGCTTTGCGTGGGGGTGGAAAGAAAAGCGCAGTGTGGCGTTGTTTTTTTTTTCTTCCCAGCATGGTTCCAAATGGCTTCTCATACCTTGATGGCGAACTTCCGCTGGGGGAAGTGGATCTGCTGCTTTCTCTTGCGCTCCGTCTGCACGTGAGACTCGTGCTTGGTGAGGCTGCGGCGCAGCTCACGGGTGAGCTTGGGGCGGAGGTCAAGAGGGATGTGCTTCTTGTTCTTGTAGAACAGACGGAGCTGGGCACGCTGGTTGGCGTTGATGACGGTCAGAACGCGAGCGATCGACTTGCGAACGTCGTGGCTAGAGATAAAATATTAGTATCGTGGTTTTTTTCTCTGTTTGATTTTCGAATCCTGGAGATTGTTGGATGGAGTTTGAGATGAAAGAACGGTGGAAGAGATTGCGCCGGTCGCTTTGGCTTTTTTGTCCTTGTTGTCCTGGGTTCAAATTTCCTCCTCTTTTCTTCCTGGAATTGTTGGCCATCCTAGAAATTTGTTCCTCCACTCATTTTCCTAGCCGGCGCAGATATCTCAACCTGTTCGTTCGTTCCATTCCGTTCCAATCCAATCCAACTTTTCATCCGAGTTCTGAGGCAGGGTATTTCATTTTTCAAACGCACATTCTGTGAGACTTGGACGAGGCGCCGCCAGTGATCTGCTGGACACGGAGCTGGTTAAGCTCGGTCTTCAACTCCTCCAGCTGCTTGGAGAGGTCCTCCTTGTTCTTTCCCCAGAGCTGACCAGCCTTGACCTTGGACGACTAAAACCAAAATAAAAACCGTCAGCCATTTTTTCTCCTAGATCAAAATTTCCAGACATTCAGGGGCATCATACCATGGTGGGCGGCTTCTTGTCGTATCGTACGGGTTGTCGACGTGAAGATTGAAGATGGACCGGGTCAAATTGGATGTTCGTTGTGGGACTAGGGTTAATTTTTTCTGGCGGGTGGTGCGCCGACTAAGCGGGCACGTGATGGAGTCGATTGACGGATGGTTCCAGGTTGTGGCTGATGCATCACGATGTGGCGCGGTTCTGCCGGTTGTGGCCGCCTTGGGGGGGTTCCGGCTGAGTTGGTTTCCGTCGTTGGAGTTGGAGATGGAGAGGCATGTGAAGTGTCGGTGACGTTGTTGTGGATATTCAATCACCGGGTTATCTTAATATTACTGTCTTTTGGTTGACACTTCTCCTTCTCTGCTTGTCTGACATTTCTTGTTCCTCTGTACAACTCATGGCCACCTCGACTGGCACCGGGTGGGCTCAACTCCGGCAGCAGGCCCGCTCGCTGGAAACCCAGGTATGATGCTTCTGCCTAGTCTTGTCTCTGTTCATCGTGGATGACTAGATAGGCATTTGATGATGATCTAGAACTGCAAATACTGATGCGATATGTACAATCCAGACCGAAACCCTCTTCCACTCGTACGCCCAATATGCATCCATGACCAAACTCCCCCCGACACCATCAGAAGATGAACTCCGCGTGGAATCGCAACTGAAAGAACTCCTCGAAAAGGTACCCCCTTCTCTTTCTCCCCATCCATCCCCCCCTCCATGGCAAAGACGAACTGAACTTACCTCCTTCATTATTCAGCGCACATCCCTAATCTCCCAACTCGCCCGCCTCCTCGACTCCGAAGCAACGCTCACCTCCTCCGCCCTGAAACAAAACAACCTCGCCCGCCACCGCGAAGTCCTCACAGACCACCGCCGTGAGCTCTCTCGCCTCTCGTCCGCAATCACCGAGTCCCGCGACCGCGCCAACCTCCTCTCCAACGTCCGCTCCGACATCAACGCCTACCACGCCTCAAACCCCGCCGCCGCCGAGGCCGACTACATGCTCGAGGAGCGCGGCCACATCGATAGCAGCCACAACGTCATCGACGGCGTCCTGAGCCAGGCGTACACCATCAATGAGAACTTCGGGCTGCAGCGCGAGACCCTGGCGAGTATTAATCGGCGGATTGTGGGCGCCGCGGGCCAGGTGCCTGGGATGAATGCGTTGATGGGGAAGATTGGGTCGAAGAGGAGAAGGGATGCGTTGATCTTGGGGGCGTTTATTGGGGTTTGTTTTTTGATGTTGTTGTTTTTGAGATGATCTCGTTTTAGGGGGCATTGTTGAGGGGGCTGTGAGGGGAGGGAAAGTGCATGGTTGATAAAGAGGAGGGTTCATTGATTGATAGCCCGGGTCTTCATTCCGTCTTTGATTGTTCATATTGGTATTGGCTGGTTCATTTGGGATGGCGTTGCATGCTGGTCTTTCGATCTTCTCTTCCATTTCTATTACTATACAGGAAATGCTAATCCGATCGGCGCGCTGGCGTTTCGAAAGTTGCCGATATATATTATGTATGTACATACATGTGAATGCGAAACCGAAAGAATACTGATGATCCATACTTGAATCAATCACGGCTTCATAACCACCCTGGGCTTCAAACTGGCCGAGTCATCGTGGCCCGTCCTAGCCTCCCATTCCTGAGCCGGCAGCTCCGACTCCATGCTGATCTTCTTCTCCTGGATCAGCTTGTGCACGCCATTATTGAGCGCCTCCAACTCTTCCGGCTCGGCCGGACCGCTGCCCGCCCAGCGAATCCGACAGTTCTCATCTAGCAGATACACATACCCCACCTTACTATTCATCATGCCAATCGACTCCCTCAGCCCCTCCGTCAGGCCCTTCCGCACCATGAACCACCGCGGATGTTGTGCGGGGTCCAGCTTCGCGCGCATCCGGAACATGAACATGCGCACCAGCCACGCCTTCAGCGCGTTCTCCTCCACGTTGATATCGACCTTCTGCACGAGCGGACTCGCCGTCTGGAACGCTTCGTAGAGACCCGGGTTCTGCGAGGGGCCTGTGAAGGTCGCGACCTGCGATTCGGCCCACACGCTGGAGAACAGGTTCACGACGCTGACTTTGCCGCGGAGGAGCGCGCTCGTGTCTTGGGGTTCTTTGGGCGAGGCGAGCGTGATGCCGTTGAGGTTGGGGAAGTAGAGGGCCTTGTCGCGCTTGAAGAGTCGTGTGTTCGACCGGAAGGTCTTGCCCTCGTGGTGTCGCATGTTTGACCATTCGCGGAAGTAGGGTTTGGCGACTTGTCGGGTTCTAGGGGTTGATGGGTACGATGGTCAGTTAAATGTTATTTTTAGGAGGGGGGTAGGATGGGAGGAGAGGAGAGGAGAGGAGAGGAATAGTACAGTTCTTTCCGTCGCTCGAGATGTCGGTCGTAGTTCACAAAATCATCGCGTCGCTGTCGGATGCTGCGCGAGTCGACGCCCGAGTTCTGGCCCTCTTCTGGCGGGATGACGGTCCCGATGGGTCGGTCTAGGGTCGGCGGCGTAAAGTCTTCATCGCCGGGTTCGGGGTCGGAAGGAGAGGAAGGGGGAGCGTTCTGTTGGAATTGGACCTTTTCGGGGATCGGGGGTTTGGTGGTTGAGGGCTTGCTCGCATCGTTGCCGTTGCTGCTGCTGGCATAGTATCGAAGAGCCGGTCTGGGTCGAGCGGCGGCGACGGCGTTGCGAAGTTGGAATCGACAGCTGAGGCAGCGACTGGGACCTCCGCGGAGGAGGACAGCCTCTGGATGCGAGGACAGGAAGACAGAAGGCCTCCACATTCTTTGATTTTGCTTCTGGTGAATACCGGAGAGAGAGAGAGAGAAACACAGAGAGAAGATGAACTTCCAAATGAAGCTGCCGATGATCCACCGAATTTCCATGGCGCTAATCCCAACCTGGAAGTCTAATGGGACCAGACAGTCCCGTGACCTGGCGGCATTTTCGTGGTTTCTCCCAACGCGTTGCCTGGTCAGCGTGTCAGTCATGGAATTTTCCCGGTGGATTGCAGCGATTTGAAACTCATCGGCGCTTTCCATACCCGCGGGGAATAAAAGAACCCCGCCGCCTGCTACCTAGCAGGCAGAGATCGTATCGCCCAATCCATGGCTCACATGCCGGGAAGGAGTGAATCTGGAGAATTCCCTCATCAGCCGCCATGATGGACAGGATGGCAGATAAAAGGGTCTTTTTCCAGCGCCTCGATCAGCTGGATTGTCTGTCGGATGAACTGGAAGATAAGGAAGTCGACGATTTTGCTCGTCTTTTAGCTCGTTCGAGGACAAGAACTGAGACTGAAATTGACTCCTTTGTTGCCTCTCACACTTTGACTTCAGCTGTGAATTATAAATCTACGGCTTCAGCTCCGACGAGTCTAGCGCGAATGCGATCCCATTTGGGTCTTCAGTCCTCAGCACAAGAGAGTGCTGTGAGCTCGAGGCACGGAAGAAGTGATTCGGCCAGCAGCGGCGATCAAAAAGCTCCTGCAGCCAAGAGATTGGATGTCAACGGGCCTACGATGGAAAAGACCAAGGCTAGCATGTCATCGTCGACCGGTAAACGGAAGCGCAAGTACTCACCCATCGTGGTCCCTGAGCATCAGCAGATCTTCAAGGGGTTGAACTTCTGTGAGTGATCGGTTTTATCACCCATCTACTACATGATAACCAACAAGTTACTTTAGTCTTCTTCCCCAATAATGACCTTTCGCCAGTCCGACGTGTGCGGATCCAGCGAGCAGAGGAATACGGGGCTCGGTGGGCTCGGTCCTGGAGTGATGAAGAGAATATCACTCATGTCATAGTTGACAAGGGGTTGACTTTTCAAGATGTTTTGAAACACCTAAAGCTGGAGACTTTCCCTGTAAGTTGGGACCGAGGGTCCTTCTGTTCTTGTCTGGTATACTGACTTTGTGAAGTCCACTATAGCTCTTGTAGATGAGAGATATCCTGCAGAATGCATCAATTTCCGGGAAGTATTGAAAACGACGCAGACGCGATTCCGCGTCAAGGGGGTTCCGGTATCTCCTGTGAACAAAGAGCCTGCTCCCGCGGAGGAACCCCCTTCACCAGGATCTTTGCCGTTAAAATCGACCGGCAAAAATCAGCAGCAGGTTCCGACACCCTCTCAAAACTCTGCAGTATCAAATGACCAGTTCCGTGTTGGTGTCAGCCCGGCAGAGGAGCCTCCAGAAATGAGGCGCGAAGAGACTGCTCTTGAGGCTCCTCCTCCGCGGGAACGTGATGCGTTGGACGAAATGATCGAGGAGGCCAAAGCCGTGAAAGATTTGGTAAGCGACAGATATCTTTCAATAGAGCGTGAACTAACGAAAGACTAGCCTCTCGAGCCACTAGATGCCTCTGATGACGAAACTTCGATTGAAGAAACTGATGCGGAGACCTTCGTAGAGTCGGATTCCGAGAGAGCCATGCGAAAGAAAAGGGGGTCTATACAGAAGGATACTAAAACGAGAGGTGACTGGCAGCAGAACTTCGCCTGCATGCAGAAACATGATGCAAAGTCGAACGGCGAAGGTCCGAATACCAGGACTATCGAGGTCCTTCAGCAGATGCTAGATTACTATACCCGGACCGATGATACTTGGCGTGTCATTGCCTATCGAAAGGCCATATCGGCTCTTCGCCGACAGTCCAAGAAGGTTGTGAATCGCACTCAGGCTCTCGCGATACCCGGAATAGGAACACGCCTGGCAGATAAGATCGAGGAGATCGTGTGCACGAACCGTCTCCGCCGCCTCGAAAACACGAACACCACGCCCGAGGATCTTATACTTCAGTTGTTCCTTGGCGTCTACGGGGCTGGGGTTTCGCAGGCATCGAGATGGCTCGCCCAAGGGTACAAAACCCTGGAAGATCTCGAAACCAAAGCCTCACTGAGTCAACATCAACGGGTGGGTGTAGAGCACTACCATGACTTCTCCCAGCGGATTGAGCGCAGCGAAGTGAAGGCGCATGGCGAAATCGTCCGGCAGGCTGTGCAAAAGACCGACCCCGAAATGCAAGTCATCATCGGTGGCTCTTATCGACGTGGGGCGGCCAACTCGGGCGACATCGACTGCCTCATCACCAAGCCTGACGCGACAAGCGAGCAGATCCGTACGATGATGATGGAAGATGTGATCCCTCAACTGTTCCGACAGGGATTCCTCCAAGTCAGTCTGGCTAGCACGTCCCGAGGGGATGGATCCAAGTGGCACGGCGCGTCCAAGTTACCAGGCCGCCACGTCTGGCGTCGCATCGATCTTCTATTCGTGCCGGGGTCGGAAATTGGGGCCGCATTGATCTACTTCACGGGGAACGATATTTTCAATCGAAGCATGAGGCTCCTGGCGCGAAAGAAAGGCATGCGACTAAACCAGAGAGGGCTCTATACCGATGTGCTACGTGGGCCACGACAGGTGAAACTCACCACGGGCCGACTCCTCGAAGGACGTGACGAGCGACGTATCTTTGAGATTTTGGGGGTTCCTTGGCGACCTCCTGAGCACCGCATATGCTGACGTGCCTGACCGAAAGACAATCAAGTTTTCACCGAGGGGTTCTTTTTTTTCTATAGCATTATTTGTTCCTTTTTCTTCTGTCTTCTTCTCAAGTCTCCACGCAAATTGTTTCCTGCTTTCTTCTGTGGCCCGCCTAGGTAGAGCGGGTCGGCCGATGGGTGACAGATAATATCTGATCTGTAATTAGGGCATGCAGCGGTCCCGGGGAGGTTTTGGGACTGCATTTGTTGTTCTAAGTTTGCAGACCGACTTCTCTGCCTGCATTTGATGGCTGTAAGCTTCGCTGCAACCAACGAGAGAGAGAGAGAGAGGTCGGTTGGTTCTCACACGGCTGACGAGGAATGTCAGACCAGGCAGTACTTCATGCATCACGATCATGACTATCAATGCTGTAAGGAATGGGAGAAAAAGCGGTCACTGACAACGAGATCGGAGCCGAACTGTAAGACCTGTTTTTATTTTTATTTTTATTTTATTTTCATTTTTAATTGAATTTTTTGGTTTCAATATTTTCTCCTTTGTGTTTCTGGTAGAGGGACAAGTGTAGTACAGCAGCAGAGAGGCAAAGGTGGCTCTGGCGCACTTACATAGTTACCGGAGGCTGTAAGTAAGAATGGATGAATGGATGTATCAAGGTCTGCACCAGCGTCCAGATCGAGTCGAGTGAATCCTCGATCATCGTCCGTACTATACTCTATACTCCGTAGTTTATAAGGAAAAGGCCAGTCACCGATCTCATCACCGCCTTTCATGCGGTGAAGGGCATGGCAGCCCCCGTGACCTTCCGGACGGCGACGTGAGGGCGGCAACTTCCAGACCGCCCGTGCAAAAGTCGGCGTTTTGCCGCCAGTTGCAACATTATTCCCATCCATCCCACTCCCTCTCATCCTCTCGTCCACTCTCTCCCCCATTCTGATCGCTGCCATCCTTCTGGATCTCCCAATCTTCTCTATCAAGCTGGTCCTCCCGCTTCTCACTGCCACTTTCGCGCTCCTTTCCGTTATTTTGTGTGGTGGTGGCCCACAAATACTCCGCTGCCTTGGTGGCCACTACTATTTTGCCCGTCTATCCACTCCTCGGCTCCCTCTCCCTCCCTCCTTCTGTTGTGTGCGTCACGGTCCCTCGAAACACTCGGTGTCCTCTCGGCTTGCAATCGCGCATCTGTAAGGGAAGCTGTACTCGACTGGTATAATTCTCGAGTCTTCCGCGATTCCGACGCTATCCTGTCGAGTTCCTTGGGAGCAAGGCCCTGTTTTTTTTTCTGCCACCCTTTCCTGTCGCACCTTTAGCCCTCCATCAACCCTTGTCACGATGGGTCGCAAACCCAACCAGTTGATCCTTGAGTTCTTTATTCGCGGTCAAAAACTCGAGGATGCCAGTAATCGCTACCAGCATACCTGCAAGGCGTGCGGCGAAAAATTCCCCAAGGGTCGCATCGACAGCTTGACCAACCATTTGGTGAAGAAATGTCAAGCCATCCCGTTACGTGATCGACAACGCGTCTTGTTGCGCCTCCATGAGCTTCCCGACCTGGCCGACGGCGACCAGAATAAGGACCCCAATCTGGCGGGGCAGAACAAAGGCAAGGGGGTGGATCTGCCATTTACCACGCGTCAAAACTTCGACGGTCTCAATGTGTTGGCCGAGGCCTCGAGGCAGGTGGGCGCATCAGACCAAGGGAAACGAGGTGGTGGCAGTGGTGGTGCTGGCGGCGGGAACAATAATGCGAACGGCCCTGCATACACCCAGTCGGTCACCGTGGGAGGCAAGACAATTGTTGTAGACCCCGCGCTCGAAGCAGAGGGTTTCCAGGGACATCCAGCTCAATCGGAGCAGATTGACGAGGATGTAAAACCACCAGGTTAGTTCTCTCTCTCCCTGTGTCTCTCTTTTGCTTTTTTTTTTTTTTTTTTTTTTTTTTTTTTGTCCACCTCACGTTATTCGCCGTGTTTCTCTATCTTTGTTCGCTTTGTTTGTCGTCGACCTCTCTTCGTGTCTTTGTGGCGCGCTAATGAAAAACAATCCCACAGTGACACCTCAAGGTTCCAACGCGACGACCCTCCCTTCTCTCCCTAATACCTCCCAAGATCAACCTTCGTCCGCATCTCCCACCCTGGCCGACGCTTCGCTGACCCCCGATCCGGCTGCCAATGCTCGCCAGTCACAACTTTCGATGATCGCTGCCTCGGCCAGCGAGATGGTGCCGCAGGGGATGCCGATGGATCATGATCCTAATGTCGGACTTCCTGACGGCCTGTCCAAGTTGGGGAACCCGTGGAACCAGCAGCTTTCGACTCAGGAGCAGCTTTTGTTCGATAGCCTTCAGGAGCACGATCCTTCCCTGACCGCCGCGACGCAGCGCGCTGCCACCTTCCCTCGTCCTATCGCGATGAATCCTAACTCCCAGGCGAAGGGATTTGTGAACGAATTCGGGAACTCGACCAAGCCGACGAAACCGAAGGTTCGCGGACGGTTTTCTGCGACCCGGCGTCGAGAGGTCCAGGAAGTACGAAAGCGGGGCGCGTGTATTCGGTGTCGCATGTTGAAGAAACCGGTATGTTTAAATGAAGATTTCTATTTTTCCCCCCCCAAATCCTAACGAAATTTTGTCAGTGCTCTGGCGACAGTCCTTGCACCACCTGCGCCAGCGTTGAGAGCGCGCGTCTGTGGAAACACCCGTGCATTCGGACGCGTATTGCGGAAGAATTCGAATTGTATAATGCAAGTAAGTGGTTGTCTTGATTTTGCCGGTTTAACTTGATGAGAGAAGGCCAGGACTGACGACCGCCTTTTAGATCTCCACGCCACCCTTGCTTATCACGATGTGAGCAGCATCCGAAACCAACTCAAATTCGACCACTATGCGGGACGTATTGAGGTCACACATTTTGAAGAGAGTGGTGTCTTTGTCACCTTCAGTTCTCTCCAGGCCCACAAGCCGTCAGCATCGACACTTGACCCCCAGCTCCAGGGCCTTGGAGACGACTCGCAATTTCAGGGACCCCTCTCCGAACTCTTTCTCCTTGACAGCGACGCAGATGATCTTCCTGGAAAGATTGAAATGTACATTAAGAAGACCGCGTCTTACTTCTACGAACGTGAAACCTCAGAGTTCATGAGACCGACCTTGATGCTCGCCTCTGAGCTGAGTCAACAGAAGAAGGTATGTTTTGTACCGCAGAATTGGGGAAAGGGACCCAAGGCTGATGTTTCATAGGATGTACTGCTGGAGCGAGTTTTGGAGCTGTGGGTTGCAACTCACATGCTTGCTGACTCCGAGCTGCGCTGGAAAATCTTCTGCAACCCTACTCTTCCACCCACATCGATGCACTCTTTAGCCCAGCCTTCGGACGACGGACGCATGCCGATCGACGAGGTTACCAACGCCGAATCCTATGGACTTTTGAGCAGTCAATTGCGCGCGGCCACCGAGAAACGTGCCTCTCAGCTGAGCAAATCGGTGATGAATGATCTTGAACGACGCCTCCTTCAGCGCCAGCAGAGCGGCTGGTTTGAGACTTTCCTGGTTTCGATGATTCTGTTGAACTGCGTGGAGAGAACTTGCTGGTTGTTCCGTTCATGGGAAGACGAGACTTTTTCTCAACGGGTAAGCTATTTCCCTTGGACTTTTACTTGAACAGATTCCTAACATATAGCAGTGGCCCTTGGACAAGCGCCCCCCTTACTATGCCAGCCAAGGCGATCGCTTTTCGGACATTTTGCACATGCTGCTGAAGATGCGCAGTTTGCCGCCTAAGGCCAATCCCCGACCGGATAGTGGTGTCCTGAAGGCCGTCGATGGGAGCGACGAGCACGCAGCCCGCTGGTTCGATATGATCAAAATCACCCGTGAGTCTTTCCCCTCCATGACTACAACCAGATGCAGTGACTAACTAACATCCCCATCAGCTCTCTTCCTCGAAGAACGTCAAGCTACCGTCTTCGATCCAAGCGACTCCCGTTCCCTCGACCTCCACTACGGCGCAAAGCTTTTACCGCCAGCAAATGTCTACACATGAGTTAACTAATCGTTTATGGGCTTCGGGGGATTTAATCTGGCTTCTCAAACCCCCTCCCCCAAACAACATCGCTATCATATCATATCATATCATCAGAAAGGGAGAGGGTGCTGGGGATACGGGCCTAGGTAGCAGAGTAGCTACTACAGTAGGTATGAATGACAATTGTCAATGATCATGAGGAATCTTTGAAATTCAGCGGGATTCGTTTCCAGTATGTTTCTGTTTCTTTTACTTTTTTTTTCGTTTTCGCCCGCGTTTTCCTTGCTCGCTGTATTTCCTGTATGTTCAATAGTCAATTCTATTCTTATCTTATTTTATTTTTTATGTAATTTGAATCAATCTGATTGAAAGTGAAAATCACTTGTTTATTTATCTATCTGTCAATTCACTCATACAACTACAACAACAGCCATATATGTAACCGCCACTATATACTCTCAAAATATCCGACTTGTCTTACCTACCTACCCAGCTTACTCCCTAGCTTTTCTTTCTACTGCAAAGCAAATATGATGCATCCATAGAGATCATCCTAGCTAGTGAAGAGCTTCCTCCGACGTCAAGTCAAATAGTACCTAGTATCCATACCACCACTGGCATGGGTGAAGAGAGGAATTAGGGGAAACATTGTTTGAGTCTCACATTTAGTGAATTTGGGTAGGTATCTTTGATTATGTGGAGTGAAGTCTTTGATTGCTGATATACTTGAAAAGAGAGAGAAAGAAGAGAAGTCAAACTAGGTATCTTGTGTTCTGAGTCCTAAATACTCAAGTTACGATTCAAAAGATAGATGCTGACCAGCAAACGCAATTTCATTGAGCAAATGACCGCATATCAACCCAGCTATTGAAATATCCCGGTCAGAACAAAAAGGAAGCTTTTTTTTGGTGCGGAGAGTGAAAGTAAAGACCGCCATTTTGCCAAAAAACATCAACCTCGATATGAATGTAGATGGAGATAGTTTGAAACCGGGGTATTGATGAAAGAGAAGAGAGAGAAAACTGAGCTAAAAGAAAGCAGAACATCCAGACTGAACCAATTAAGCGCCAAGTCGAACCTATGGTCCAGAAACTGAAGGAGAAAACCCCATAAATCAACTACCAACCCTTGATGATGACCCACGAGAGAACCGCTGGCTTGGAATTCACTGGCTGAGCTCTCATAGATCTACAACCTCCATTCAGAGGCGTCGAAAGTGCTGCAATATCCGCTACTAAACACTCCTGTGACGCCGTTAGCTCTGCGGTCATAATCAGCGCTGGAAACAGTGGCATAATACTCAGGCTTGACGGTGCTGTCGGCCTCCGTGCTTTCCGGGGTGAGGATGGACGCGTCTGGGCGATTGTCGTGGTTACTTTCGTCATAGATATCCCAGCCACATACAGAGTCACCAGTGTCCCAGTCTCTGTTCTTTTTTCCGCCGTCAGTGCACCAGTCAGAGACTACGGTGCTAGGCTCGTTGTACCAGGATCCTGCGTAGCCCTTTTTAGCAGGTTTGTGGGTTCTCTTGCGTCTCACTAGCGGGTTGGGATAGGCACGGGTGGGAGTGGTTGCAGAGGTTCGAAGCGGGTGAGCATGGCAAGAATCATCCCAGTTGTAGTCATCCTCACGATTATGAGCAACGCTAGAGGTTTCAGCAGCCCTGATTACTGGAGGAACCCAGACAGATTCTGCACCAAAATTACCATGGAAATAGCCATGGGCATCATTTTCGGCCGGGCCGTCCCATCCATCGTTACGGACGCAACTCTGATCGGCGACGGGGACGTCAGCATCACACTCGGTTTCGGTATCTATCAAGTCTCCCTTGTGCAAGATCACAAAGAGGAACTTCTTGTCGTCGTCCTGGAAGCTCATGTGAAAATGGCTTGCCAAAATATTAGCATCCAGGCATGAAAATCCCTATGTAAGACAGTTTATAACAAAGACTTACTATCCGCAATACACCGCGTCGCTCTGAAGCTCAATCGAGACGCTAATCAAAAGGCGCGCATCAACCACGAGGCTCTTCTGGCTTGTGGCGATCATGGGGCAGGGTTTAGTCATGGGGAGACCCGGGTAGTTCAGAATCTTGCCATCCTGCTGGGAAAAGATCAGGAGTATCTTGCTCGCAGCGGCCATTGTGGATGAGGTAACGATGGGTGATAGTAATAGTAATTCCAAGATATTGAGGTAGTACAGTTGATATCAAAAAGTGAGAGAGACGAATGATGAGGAGAAATGGAAGAAAGGAAGTCGATGGGGAGTAGGGAGTAGATGAAATAGTAAAGAGGGAGAGGATGGAAGGAAAGAAGGAAGGAGGGAGGGAGAGACGAAGAGATGAACCAGCCAGGAGCCCCTCACATCTGAATCAACTTGGCAGGTGAATCAAAAGAACCAAATTCATCAGTGCAATGGCTCTCGCTTGTACCAGTGAAGACGAGGGGGGTTTTTCCTAAACAAGTTCACCACAACGCAACGTCCTCACCAAAACAACAACCACTTTGTACAAAACAGAGAAGATCTACAGAGAACAAATAAAAGGAATAAAACAGTCAAAAAATCTCATCAACATCATCAAGGCATCATAACCACATAAAAATGAACATCACCCTAGCCAGCTTCATCGCAAGAAAAGAAGAGCCACCCAACAGCATTCATTAAGCATACACGTCTTCATTCCCTACCCTTTCAGACTGGCAGAGAGGCACATGTCATGTTCACGGGCCCGTCGAATCACCGGGACTGAAGGAATCTTTCGTCTGTTCCAAGATGACCGCATAGAATTTGCCCTCCTCGGAGGTATCATGGTACGGTCCAGCGGCGAGAATCGACCTGTCGGGAAGCTGTCAGCACCAGTACATTCCACCTTAACGCAAGATCGTGTAACTATGTACATACCAACCCTTGTATTTCGGCTGATTGAAGATGTCCGTAAACGCTCGCAACGCACGCAGCGGCAATTCCAGAATCGAAGGCAGTTCAGGCCCCGGTCCGCAGATGGGAAGACCCAGTTTGTTGACAGGCAGATACACCAGCTCGGTGGACGAGGTATTACGCGCCTCCTGAAAGATCAGGAGACGGCGAGTGGGATGCGGAGTGCTCATTTTTGCCCGTGAAAGGATGGCTGACTTGGTAGATGATCGCCTTGTCGCGAAAATATATGTTATGTTATGCGCCACGAGCAGCGCGACTTGCCTCTTTGGGATCGGCAGGGCGCTTAGTCAGCTCCCCACTTGGTTGGCTTTGTTCGTTGTTTGTCTATCAAAGCATAAGAGACAGTTCATTCTAGACATTACGCCAGGAATATAGTAGCCGCATCCCTTCCGATGCTATGTACATACATCCGTATATATAATACTCTCATATAGAACAAAAGACGAGAAATCAAACATCAGGGTATCAAATATCAATCGTCCTTCGTCAACAGCTCGCACAGTGAACAAATCAATCAAGAATTAAAAATTACTAAGTATCAAGCTCTCCGTCCAGCACCCGTCGAGCCGCATCCAATCGCCACCGCAGCAGCCGCACATGCTTGGGATCTGGGTCGGCGGAGGTCGTGATGGTCTGGAGGTCCATGCAGACATCGCCGAGACTTTTGAACAGGTGTTCCAGCAGACGGGTATCATCGTTGTTAAGACCCATGTTGCTGTTCTCCGAGTTGGGGTGAGGGCTAGCGGCCGCCCGCACCGTCGACACGAGAGTCGATGCCAGGGCCGTCGGGGTGGCGGACCCCGTCGTCGTCGAACTAGACCGCTGGGGCGTCGTGAGTGAATCCGACTGCCAGTCTTCGTTGCTATCTCGTTGGCGGTTGGCGCGCGGGGTGCCCATGTTTTCGGACTCCTCGCCGTTCTCGTCCTCATCCTCTTCGGCATATCGAGGATGGGAAAGCAATTCTACCTTGCTGTTAGCATTGACCAGGACCGAAGGTGCGTTACGCCTGAGCAGCCTTACCAGCATTGAACCTCCTATCCCAGTACAGCACGTTATCAAAATCATCCGGATCTCCTTCCGTGGCGGTAGCAAAAGTGGCCATGGTAGAGACCGACGCGTTGCTATTGGTCCGAGAGTGACGGACAGGTTGGCGATCTTGAGTAGGTCGCGTGGTTTCGACGGATGAAGTCGAAACTTCACTTTTCCGGCGCATTCGGCTCTGCGTGTAGTTGCCCAAGGCACTGTGCAGAATAAAATGCTCGTAGTCGAAGGCATCTTCGCGTTCCTCGTGAGGCCGGGAATCCTGGTTCGCAGGCACCGCGGGAAAGGATCCGAGGGGATCTTGGAGATCGTCATCCAACGGCTCGCGCAGAATTTCATTCAAAGCCTCCCGGTCGATTTCCGAGCCCGACGAGCCGTCCGTCTCGTATTCTTGAGCATCCTCATAGAGGCTCTCGGTAACGGACTGGTTGTCGTCCTCCACCGGCTGGTGGGCTCGGGAAGCGGGCGTGACGTACCGTGCGGTGCCGTTGACACCGACTGCCTCCTGTCCATTTCGAGCGGAATAGCGTTCTCGGTTAGAGTCGTTGGATCGCCGCTCCCGAGGGTACTCCGGGCTATGTCCACGCCCCGGGTTCAAGTGGCCGTGATGATCCCTCGTTTCCAGCGGGTTGTTATACCAATGTTCCGCCGCGGTGAATGGACTTGGAGTTCGCAAGCTCTGCAAACTCCGTCGTCGTAAATTATCCTCCTGTGCCTTGACTTTCAAACTAGATATCTTGATGTGCAGCCCCTTCATCTGATCTTGAAGATCTCGGACCTGAAGCTGCGACTGGGAGCGAGAGGGAGGATCATAGGTTTGGTAGCTCGAGTCGAACTCGTCTACAGTCGAGAGCTGATCCTCTTCTTCCGTTGTCGAGATCCCCAAGCCTTGAGGTGTATCAGAGGGCTTTTGTTCTTGCAAGATTGGCTGAAGGGAGTTGATAGACGCGCGATGGGTGAGATATGCTCTGTTCGGGGCATATTGGAACGATCGGTCATCATTGTTGAAGTTCGAGGCGGTGCTCGATCCCAAAGCACTCATGGACCGTGACAGATTGGGCGAGGCGGGTTGTAGACTTGACAAAGATGACGACGGCAGGGTGGTCTCGCTATACACGCGCGAATGGCGATTGTTCGACGAATCCTGAGAGGACGAGTACGTTGCACGAGGGCGTAACGTGGACGCCCTACGATCAGCCCGGGAGATCGATTGGTACAGGCCGCCGACTGGTTGACCGAGTCCGAGTGGCTGGCTGCCGGATGGCGTTGGCGACGTCGGTAGTGACGGGGATACGCGCACTGACGAACGAGCCCGCGTCAGGTTGCCTTCCATGAGCTGCAGCGGATGCCAATTAGTCGTGAACAAAGCTTCCATTTGATTTATTCCAACATACCGTCAGTCGCTTCTTTGCATTTTCGAGAATCCTTTCCGCCTCGCTACTCAATATCACCGACGACAGCTCATCGGCCGGGCTCCCTTCCTCCGTGGTCGACACCACGCTCAGTCGTGAAGGGTCACCATTGGTGCCAGTCTCAATGGCCCGAATAGCCTGCCTTAATTGATCATTATTCATGCTGTCAACCTCCTGAGGCAAGACACCCTGATCTTGTGCACGCCCCTTGGTCCCTTCCGAAGAGGTTTCGCTAGTGGCACTAATTGTCGAGCTAGACGAGCTACTCCACGCACCGGCATCCTTATTTTCGGTGTCCTCCGCGACGCGATATGGCACGGGAGAGCTTGCCATCCCATTACGCGCCACGAGGTGAGCATTCTTCGAAAACCCGCCCATGTATGATGCCGGCGATGGCGTTTCCTCCTCTCCGATATCCGATAAGCGGCGACTAGCCTCGTGACCCTCGTGCAGCCACGTGTGGCGCGGAAAACCTATTTTTTGCGGTCGGTAGACGGGCGCATAGGTACCGTTCTTGGTGGAATCGTTGCTGAAATCGGTGGACGAGGTTCGAGGTCCGTAGAAAGATTGTAGATGGGACAAGGACGGCAGGTTGAATGGAGGGGATGGAGTGGAGGACTCGCGCTCGTTCCCGTCAAATGGCAGGATCATATCCGGGTTCGATAACGTCGGCGAAGGGGGGATTATGGGCGGGGGAGGTCTCGCATCCTCGGCAGAGGTTGTGCCATAGGCCATTTTGTTTGTGACTGGGAGAAGGTGAGAGATCACACAAGAGGGGCGTGATGGGCCAACGACAGAACCTAGATTTCGAACGACGAAGCGATGATCCCACTCAAAACGAGGCCATGGAGGACGAGCGGGAGACAGTCTGCTTTTCCGTTCGGAGAGGGTGTTTAGATCTGCAAAGCCAAATGAAGGTAAAGAAGGGATAAATCTATTAGCTGTAGGTGGGATGTAGATGCAGTCGCAAAGCCAAAAAATGCAAAGCAACCAGATCACTCGATTAAACCAATTGATTAAAAAAAATTGCCAAGAGTAAATTGATAACAAGAGAGAGAAAAAATTAGAGAGCGACAGAATAGAAAAAGAAACGAGTGAAAGAGGGGACAAGTATTAAGAACTAAGGAATTGGGGATTAAGGATTAAAAAAGCAATTATAATAAGATGTAGAACAAGAAGTTGCAACAGCAGTCAGAAATCAGCACGACAAGAAGAATAACGAAGGAAAACAAACCAGAAGGGCATCGTCCATTGGGCAGTGACTTTCGTCTCTCTGTCCCTGAATGAACCACGGTCGGTTTTTTTTTTTTTTTTTTTTTTTTCTATTTTTCCCTTCCCTTCGTGACTGTCCCCGAAAAGGCAAGGATCTGAGCCGTGGAGATCGACCGTTGGTGAGGCCGGATTCAATAATAATCACTAATTTCTGGTAGTAAGATTGGACTTCCTTTTCATTAATTTCCCATGGGGCCGAGAGAGGATTGGTTTGACATCTCCAAGACTCGGACGGTCAGACACCACGGCATGCCAACAGACAGGCCGCGACAGGAACAAAGTAAATCTGGAACTTGTGGCCATCAGAACACCGCAGGATGAGTGGGCCAAGTTTAAAAAACGACCTGCAGGCGGAGATCGTCATCAAACCAAGATTAGATGGGTTAAGAATATGCTTGAAGGCCACGGTCCTTGCGCCAGTCCGGCTTGAGGAGAAGCCGACCGGCTTATTCTTAGTGCTGGACTGGTTGACCCTGAGGGGTTGGAACCCCTGAATTGAATGGGGCGCAGGATGGAGATTTCATGCAGGTGTGGTCGATGGATATTGGATGCAAACACCCTGAATCATGCAAACAAAATGGTATAAATAGATGGGCTCTTTCTCATTGGAAATGGAGCTGCAGATGAAGAGAAGCACAAGTGACTAAGCACGGATAACTTCAAGATCATCGTCAATCTTTCATCTTCACATCTCAACTAACTACAGGACGGAGTCGATGAAATGATTGAAATAAGATAAGTAAACAAGGCCATTACCAGAGAGCCAAATTGCCTCTTAGACAGACTTAGGGGGCCAAGGAAAACGACATAGACCAGGGTTCAGTTAATGCCGAGACCTGAGGACAAAAGAACATGCGCACAATAAGGAACCGTTGAAGAAAACAATGCCAATGAACAATCAATGATATGATTAAACCCCGAAAAGCCGGTACTATCTCCTGGTGGAGTAGTAGAAAGTGCAGGAACACTATAGAACGCTCATCTGAAGATCAATGGTCACCAGAACCGTGTCGAAAGACGGTCTAATTCTTCATCGAGTTCGAGTTCAACTCATCCACGTAGTCTTGGAGGCTAGTCTCCTTGGGCTCGTCGGTCAGATATGCAACTTCCTGGTGTTGTTTCGCTGTGATATGTTAGTGGGCCTGTCTTTGTCGTAGGATTCAAAAGCATTCAAATATCTAGGCATGAGGCAGCACTTACTATAGACCCCAAGATCGTTCCACTTCCGACGGATCTTGTCAAGCTCTGTCTTCACGATGCTTGGGTAGTCAATCTCGTCGTTTGGCTTGTTAAAAGCGTCGTTCAGCGCCTGCAGCATGGTGCCCATAGTTTGCCAGGCTCCTTTCAGCTTTCCAAGCGTTTGTATTGCAGGGTTAAGAATTTCATTGAGGTCATGGACTTCGGTCTGTGTATTAAAATTCACTTATGGTCAGCTTTGATTGGGAATTACAGTGTCACCAAGTAGCGATCCCATCTCATGGTGTCCGAAAACGGAGAGAGAGAGAGAGAGAGAGAGAGAGAGAGAGAGAAACCCACCTTCATGTTGGTGACATGGCCTTGCACAGACCCGACGATCCGAATCTTCTCCTGGTCCGAGGTGATGATGTCCTGCAACTTCATGATCGCATCGGTCAAGTCGGCAATGTCCCCTTCCATGACCGCAGTGACAATGGCAGCGGCGATGGCACCAACGAAAGGGCTTTTCCTAGGTGTCAGCTCACAATTCGGATCCGGGGGACAATGGTCTATTGTTACTTACATCCACTCATAGTAGGTTTCTTGTCGCTCTATGAGGCGGTCTAGCTCCCGAGTTAGCACTTACTATTCGATGATTCGGCGGGAACTCGCCTGCATTGATATTGCTCTGCTTGGACTTGATCAGGGCGGTCTGCTTTTCGATGTCTGCTTTGATATCTTCGATGTCACCATACTCCTGGTCCAGAAGATTCTGCAGCGTTTTCTCATGGCCCGACAGGTCGGTGGCATAGCTCGAGCATCGGGTCTGAAAGTCACCCAGCTCGGTCTCAACTGTTTCTGCCGCAGTTGCGAGGTCGGTGCAATCTTTCATCTGCATGTTCGCATACTCTCTGACCAACTCCTTCTGCTCGTTTTTGTCGTCTTCGTTATCGGCTTCATTGTAGGCATTGACTGCCTCGAGCATCGCCTAGTAGAACGAGTCGCCTGCCTCGCCCCTGGCATTGTCACTGTAATCCCATATTGCCCCTGCAACATCAACGGCCTTAGCCCAGGTGCCCTTGTTGTCGCCGTCGTCGAGTAAAAAATTGTTGCAATCGCCGTTGATCTGATACATGTGAAGTGTCAGAAGATCTCTATCGAATAACGTGTACATCATCATCATCACCACCACCACCACCATCATCTAGGTTGTACAACGTACAGTCTTAAAACTAACAAGCATCTTGTCAACTGCATTCCAGACATCGGTCGTAAGCTCAGACTCGCTGGTAAGACCCATCTGAGTCTGGTAGCTGGAGCGAGACAAAGGAAGCTTTCGACCTGTTTGAGTGAACCGGTTCAGTGCTGCCATGTCGCTGCGAGCCAGAGTGAAAGTTTGGGTGTCATCGTCGCGCTTCCCCATGTAGTTGTCGTCGTCTTCGACGTACTGGCCGAGGGGATACCATCGGGTAGGGTCATCAGGGGGTTTGTCGCTCATTTTTATATTGAGACAAGGGATCTTTCTTCGTCGTCTAGATAAGCGCTTTCAGAGTCTCAGACAATGCAATTGAGGATGAGTTTGGAAGTGGGAATGAAGCATGAAGAGGAGTAGGCGGTAGTGCCCTTTATGTTTCGATTGGAACGGTCCTTGCTGGGAATCAACACGCCGACAGTGACATGGATGAGGTGTTGAGTGCGTCACTGAGCGCCACTTGGGCCATTGCGTAGATAAAACAGAATAGTCCAGACCAGTCTTTCTAGCTCAATCAATCCACGATCGTCTACGTATATCGATCACATCAATCACACGGTCTGAATAGAGCCCTTGGTCCAACACAATTTCTGAGAGCATAAGAAATCAGTGTCTCGCCCCTCAACTTGCATCATACTGCATTGCATAGTATATGAACTGTACGCTAGTATCCCACTAGGCGATGCAGAATGACCCAGGTTACTTTTTCTTGCGGGCAGGCCCCGAGCAGGGTTTTGTGACAGCTGGCAAAATGGCTTGAGCTGAAGAAGAAAACATCAGAGATGAGAGCAGTATTAGGGTGATATTGCAGGTTCAGCTGCATTGCTTCAGCATTTCAGATAGCGCAGCTCCCGCTAGCTTTGTTTGCGGGGGAGCAAACTGAGGACAACGGTACTATATATGCCTATAATACTACACATGATGCATAGGGCATCTGCAGTTGTGCGGGGTATGTATAGTATAGGTCCCAGAGACGGTGGAGTAGCTGAGAGACGACCGAATTTCCTCAAAACTCAATGTCCTGCACGTCCAGATCCCACTCTCCCTCGGGTAAGTGAGAGTACAAAACCACTCAGGAGTCTTCCCGATCTCCCCCCGAATGACGCAACTATTATTGACTGGCATTTGGATTGAGAGACAGCATTCTTCAGTGGCGTCTAAATATTGTCGGGGAATAATGGCACATGACGTAAATCGGCGGATATATATGTATACCCACGCCCATCTATCTAGTTTCGAGATTGTGGGTTGGAACGTATTCACACACCAGAGAAACTAAAACTGCATTCAGTTTCCTTGCCGAAAATGTCTGCTAATGACGAAGACTTCCTCACTCCTCGAGGCTTACTTATCCAGGACAGTTTTGTTTGTGATGGACCCTCATTCAAGGACTTCTCGAAAGCTGTCGGTGCAAGCCTCGAGTTGCCATACACCCAGGAACGGTTTGAATACTGGAGTGGATTGTCCGGGATGGGATGGAATGCTGTATGGCCTCTACTTTGTCCCGTTTGCTTCCCGATTTGTGCTCACGATGAGAAGCTCATCAGCGAATTGCATCCCATTCTCGACATTTGTTATACTGTAAGACCTAGTCTGTTTTGCTCCGACGCCTAGTCTGTTTTGACTTATAAATATCAGGACGTGCAGTCCACTGTTACTCTCGGGGTAAGTTCTTCTAATTTGCAACTCCTTGTCTCATTGAGCAAAAGAAAAAGGAGAAAAAACTCACACTGGTCCTCTTAGACTTACTTCAGTGAAGTAGGCACTGTCTGTGACAAAATACTGGACACTGCATCCTCAGCACAGACTGATTACGGTGCGGAATACATGATGCTCTTCCAGACCTTGCTCGAACGTCAACGGCTGATTGCCCGGAACAATAGATGCCTTATTTCAGGGCTTGAATGACCTTACAAACGATCCTAACAACGAACAATTGCGGGCCAAAGTACAAAAGTTAACTGCTGACCGTCTGGATGGTGTGACGGCACTGGAGAAGAAGACAGACGATACCTTCGGGGGGCTGAAGAGTGGCACGGATGCAGTGAAAGATTCCGAAGATCGACTCAAAGCTATTGTCAATGGTTTCAACGTCTCACAGATGGAGCAAGAACTCTGCGACTATGATCCGGAAGACTATCTGGAGCAAGATCTCGCCGCACTGAAGTACATCAGGGTAAGTACGACATGGTTTGTTTTTTTTTTTTTTGAGTCGGTCAATTGGCGGATGGATTGATGGTTGAGATCTTACCCCCAGGAAAACTTGACAGCCATGAACATGCAGGCTTCGTCAGACACGGCGATACACAACCTGCAACTAGTCTTAGGCAAGACCAGCCCTCCATCAATTGACCTAAAGCAAGACTAAACTTCGTGAATATAAAGGTGCCGTCCGTGTTGTCATAACAGACCTCACGGCCATCGGTGACTCGATTGAGCACCTCACCGTGCCTGCGAACGAGATTATCCTCGGGCATGAAAAGGCAAAAATTATCAGAAAGTGGGAGGGTCTCAAAACAGATGGTAAGAGACTTATTCCTCAAAGTGAGAGTAAGCACTCTGCTAATTGAACCCATGAAGTCCAAGATTTCAAGGATAACTACCTCTCCTGAGTCTTCTCGCTATCATACGAGAAGGGATGCGGAAAGCCGATGGTTGTGGGTAGCCGGTAATGATCAGAGTGATTGAATTCGGCAAGTTTGTCCCAGTGTAGGAAGGATGAATCCTCGGGTGTTTTGTATTCAGGACTGTCGCCGCGGATATGCACTAGAAATAAGCCCTTACTACTAAGGGTTGACCCTTTTTAGTGCAGCGGTATTTTTTCCACAAGGACAAAGGCAATATCACGTGCGATATAATTCAGCCTTTGAGAATGATCTCTGTCATGGTTCTTGTCTCCTTTCTGTCTACAATTATTAAAAGCCTTCTCGTATCTAGGGATAAGATCCCCAAGAATGATAAATTGGGAAGTCGGGAAAATGGAAAAAATCAAATGCTTTTTATAGCTTTCTCGGTCCTATAAAAATACCTCGGACCCTGTACAAAAGAGATATGCAAACCCTAGAGCCAAAAGATCCAAACAACATTAAAGAATATCATCAGCTTGCACAATCCCCACAAATACATAAAAAAGACAACCCCCTATCAGATGAACTAGATCTTCTCAAGCAGCAGCTTCGCGCCGCTGCTGGCAGGGCCTGCCTTCTTGTTATCCTTCCCGGAGTCCACGGCCTTCTGCAGAGCCTTCTTGTTCTTCTTCAGAGTCTTCAGCAACTCGTCCTTCTTTTCGAACTCGTCTGACTCCGCCAGAGCCACAACCACGAAGGTGTTGGATCCGGTGGCCCACGCCATGATCTCATCTCCAATCCGCTCATATAGGAGCCCGTGGAAGTTCAAGGCGGGCTCCACCTTCTCCACTGCTTTCTCGGCGGGGTTGAATCGGCCACCCTGGACAAGAGACTTCAGCAGCCGGCCCACGAACGGCAAGTCCTTGGTGTCGGCTCTGGATTTGGCAGCGGCGGCAACGGCGGACAAAGCAGCGCTCTTGTCTCCGTCCGCATCGAAGAGGACCTCCGAGATGAACTGGCAGCCAAAGCTGGTATCAAGCAACGCGTCTGCACGCGCAGCAATGAGCTCAAGGAGATTGGGAGATGCAGCCTTGATCAGTTCCTGGCGTCGCACTGCAGGGTCCTTCTTCGACGTCTCCTTGCGCACCTCGCGGATCTCTTTGAGAATCCCTTGGTCGATCTCGGGCAGGAGCCACTTGACCCGGTCTCCAGCAAACGGATACAGCACTGGAATACGTGCCGTGATGTCGGTCACCTGGAGGAGCAGTTCTTCGATGCGCGCTTCCGCATCCGAGCCCTGGTTCAGAAGCTCGGGGAAGATCAGCTTAGCGGTAAGCTTGGTGTCGTCGATCACTTCATATGCAGCCAAAAGGACCATGTGTCCGTGGAGATCGCCCGCCATGACCTTGATGGTGTCTCTGTAGAATCTGGTGAGTTGTTTCCGATCCTTAGCATTAGCGTAAGCCAAGGCCAGACACATCAACCGCGAGCCAGATTTGGTGAAAGCCAAGTTTTTCACCAAGTCTCCTTCTTCTTCGCCCTTGAGCAGCTCGAGGAATTCGTTGGCCTCCGAGCTACCGGGTTTCGTGTTCAAGAAGTACTGCAGCATAGCATCGTGAAGCATTGTAAATCCGGTACTTTGCTTCTGAATAAGTTGATTGATAAGTTCGCGGAGGTAGTTCATGATAGGGCCCCTCTTCTCGGGGGATTCCTTCAAGATTTCGGAGAGGTCGGCGGAGGGCGACTTGTTCTCGTCCCTGAAAACCACGAATTCCGCTCCGTACCACTCCCGAAGGAGAACTGCCTTCTGCTCCGGCGTCGCAACCATGCGGTAGATATCGTCGAGAATCCAAGACCCTTCGGGGTGACGGATAAGTCGCTTCACGTTGCCGTAGAACTCGGGGATGATCATATCGCGGGTCTCGTTATCGCCGTGGACAATCAACTTTCCGACCAAGAACTTAGCATATCGACTCTGCGCCAATTCATTGTAGTGACCCTTCAGTTCCTTTGCGATCTGCCTCCGCTGCTCGGTATTCGCATATTTCAGGGCGGTCTGAATAACACGGACCGAGTCGTGCTTGAACACAAAGTCCTTGACCCGTCCAGTAATGATTCCAAAAAGCTCGGCGATAAGTTTTTTTCTCTCCTCCAGGGGGACGTGCGACTTGCGACGCAGACGTTCCCACAGCTGCTTCGAACGGAGAATGATATCGGCGTTGGGTCTGGCGGCCTTGCGCTCTTGCTGGAGGGCCTTCTGCTTGATGTGCGATTCGCGAGAGTTGTTGCCATCTAGATTTAGCAACGATTAGCTTCAATTCGGCATGCCAAAAACAGTGTAAAAGGAAGGTTCAGACATACTCTTCGCAGGCTCTGCAGATTTCTTTTCTCCTTCCTCTTCGTCCTCATCGCTATCCTCCTCATCGTCCTTCGCATCCTCCATACCAACGTCTTCATCGTCCTGGAATCCACTCTCCCCCTCGACATCAGAGTCCGAAACATCGTCCAAGTCAAACTCATCGTCATCTTCGTCATCATCCTCCGACTCCTCGACCTTCTTCTTAGCCGGGGCCTTCTTGTCCTTCTTTCCGGACTTGTCACCCTTCTTAGGCCCAGCCTTCGAGGCGGCCTTCACCGGCGCGGACTTGTCTTTCTTCGCCGAAACGGCCGTCTTCGTCTTCGTTCGTTTGCCGTTGCGCCCGTCGGCGGCGTCAACGGGACGTTTCACTCCGACCATGGTGATAAGTCCTAGTTTTTTTCGGTGAGATAAATTAAAAAGATAGGACGAAAAGAGGTGGAATTGTTCAAGCGGAGCAAATCTAAGACAAACGCCGCCGGCTTTGATAATTTTCTGCGCCGATAAATTTATTGCCGCGGGTTTAGTCTTTTTTTTTTTTCTTGAGGGCGGTCGGGGCGAGGTTTGCACTGTTTGCATGTCACTGATAAGCAAACGGAGCGATTTTCATCGGATGATTTCCAGGATGCTTGCCAAAGGAAATGGAATGGGAAAAGATGGGGTAAAAAATAATAGAAAGCAAGGTGCAGTCAATTCTATAATTGAAACATAGCACTAAGTGCATTACAATCGATCGGTCCGTATACAGCAATGATGATCAAACTACAAATCATCCCAACAAACAACCTCAGGAACCAACCAAGTCGTAGGTAGAAGAAAGTCGGCAGGTCAGGTCGCATATCTCATTAATCGGCCCCAGTCAAACGCCCCGGTAAGAAAAGAAAAGAAAACCCCCAATTTCAGTGTGCTTAATCCGAGGGGGATTTCGCGCTCAGCCCTCGCGCACTTCTGCGGCCTCCGCGCCCGGCGGAGGGGTTTTCATGGAGCCAAGTTCCGAGCCTACGTTGCTCTGTCCTCGTTTCCTACCGGGAATGTGAAAGCCCAGGTGGGAGGATTTGGAATTTGATGATGATGTTTGCGAGTCACCGGTGAGGTCGCCGAGTCGCGAAAAGATGCCCTTTTTCTTGGGTTTCGCCTCTTCGTCTTCGAGTCCCACGTCCTCGAATTCTTCCTCCATCGATTCGGGTTTCCTGTCGAAGCCGGAGTGTGCGCGGGAGGGCGAGGTCATGCGGGAGAATCGAGAGTCGAGGGAGGTTCGAGAGGGCATTGCGTCGCTGTAGCTGACCGGGGAGCGGGCGGAGATGTCCTTGACAGTGAATGTGAGCAAGGGCTTATTTTTCCTCGTGCGAGATGTGAGGGTGTTTTCGAGGGATGTAAACTCACGAATGATCGTCGATATGAATCAAATGATTCGCGTGATATAGAGAAAGGTTCATTCTCGTCCACTAAATCTCGGTGATTTGATGATTTCGATGAGCCTGGGTATCGTCGCCAGAAACTCGGTCTCTCCGGAGGAGATGGCTATTCATGGAATTTAGCCCATTTCGCGGGAATGAAGGTGAACAGGTAATGTAGTTGAAAGAGTAAACATTATGTGCATTATTGCGAAGGGGGGTTTAGATACCGGAAGGTAGGCGCCATTGTCGTCGACAACTACGTTTCACGGCCAAGAGTGAGCAGGGTCGAACCGTTCGCATCGTAGAGAACATACCACTTAGTTTATACTCGGGCGGTTCGTCCGAACTTTTCCTGGTATTCACGGCGGTTGAACTGGTGTTTTCAGCAGATAAATGGCCATTGTTGAGGTTGGTATCGGAATCGGTCTCCCCGCCATTAGGCGCGGCGGACCTCTTGGCCAAGAAGTTGCGGAACGGAACCATGATGAAATAGCAAGAGGGGGCTGAATGCGCGAGAAAGAATCGGGCATAGGGCTTCCGAGGCCAGCGCGAGGGGATGGGGAAGGAGAAACGGGCGAGCAACAATTCTAACGGGGCTGGAGTCTAATGGGGATGGAGGTTGGGACAGGAACAAGGACAAGAAGGGTGGCCAAATTGAAGGACTCTCCAGCCTCACATGATCAGTGGTTCGGTACAAATTATGAGGTGAGGTGGTGCTTGTATCCGCATTGATGTAAGGAAATATGACGGTCTTAGTTGGATGATGGTCCCCCTCGGCCACTTGGACGCTGCAATTTCTCCGGCGCTGTAGGGTTGCCCCACCGGCTGTGGGGGTGTCTTTTGTGTCCCTTTGTGCTGCGGAGGTATGACGATGACTGTCCCGGCGCTTATTCTGAGGATGGCATCCATGGATGGTGCCTGGATGGTGCCTGGATGTGATACAACTTTTCACACGGTGAGAATCCACCTCTTATCATCTGCTGGTACTGTGGGTTGAAATATGCAGGAACCGGATCTGGCTGGGTTTGGTATATCCTCTGCATTTCTGCATTTCTGCATTCTGAATAATTGGTCTCGTTTGGGTATTGACCCTTCTCTTTCATGGAATAATACTCATCACCAGTATTAAATATTGCATGTAGAGTCCCTCTCATTTATTTGTATCATTTCTAGGACCTGTTCATCAGTTCCGGATCCTTCCTGTGCCCTGACAATCACTTGTCGAGATGTTTGCTGGGGTTGCTGTCAGTGACAGTATATAATAATTAGATATATGGCATATGCCTGAGGTTGCCAATCATACGTTATCTGCTTCATGCCTAATCATTTACTGGTTCATATCATGCTGTGAACAGGACTATATATACTCGTAGAGGTAACTGCTTCCTAGGATAGATATTGTGGGTGCTGTTGCTTTAATTGGGCTAAGAGGGTCGTGCGTAGCTAGGGGGGGGGGAAATTGAAAATAGGTAATAAACCTAACAATATCTCAAAAGGGTTGTTTCTTGCTGTGATTATCATAGCTAAGTTAACTGGTGAATGATTACTGAGGATTGAGGTAAGCGATGGATTTTTGTGACAAGTGAAACACTTATTTTACTTTTTGGTCTAAATCTGTAATCTGTTACGGATAGTCGAGCGGGAGGTCAACCGCTAAGCCAGTAACCTTGCTTCGGCGTTCGCGCCAGCGGGAGAGGTGCCTGGTACGAATCCGGGGGTTGTCATTATACTCGTGCAAGTAATTCACGATCGCTATAAGGCACTAAGCAATGAAGATGACCCTTGAGGGAAGCAATTCTGCAGAGACATCTTCACCCTAGGATGGCGTCACCAGATTACACCTACCCGTTACAGGGAAGTTGGCTGTTTGGTTGGACAACTGTTCATTTCTTCTTTTTGCTTCCCTGATTTCTTTTTGCCGGATATCCTCGCCGCTTCTCTTATAACTAGATGTTCTTTCTGGCCAAAATCCAAAGTCTGGGACACCGGACACCCCTACGGTAGTCTCGATAGCCTTTAGTCTCTCTCCTTTGGTTGAAAATGAGATTGATTTCTATTTAATTCTGGTATACTGCCATTCATAGCCCCGATCCGCAGGAGTAGCGCAAACAGATGCCTGAAATATAAGGCATGAAGCATCCAGGCAACCAGGAGTCCTCATATCCGCTAGTCCACGTGATTTCGTGACGGCTCGACGCGTCCACAACAACATCACGGAGACTGCCTGGCGGGACTCGAATCGTAGTCATTTGCCACCTCAACAAATTTATTGCTCGGTTTTCTCATCCAGCTTCACGGAGTTCTCCCAATCTCCCTCCCGAGTCCTGAGAATTGACTGGAAACCCCTCCTCAATATAAGATAGTCAATCACTCGAACCTGAAAACCAACATTAAACACGTGTTGCGCGTCGTGCTTGCTCCTCCATTGAATCAAAATGACCGCCGATATGGACACCCAGAACGAATACGACGAGAGCGGGCTTCCTGGCCCAGGTGCGCCGACACCACTGTCTGCTTTAGAGGTGAGAACTTCTGATTATAGTACGCGTATGACATTGGATGCTGATCGATGGCTTGTCACACAGGGAGTGGCGGGGCTTACGGCCAGAGATATTAAACTGTTTGTTGAGGAAGGCTACCGGACGGTTGAAGCGATTGCATATACGTATGTGCAGCACTCATCTTCCCCTTGCCCTCTTTTGGCAGTATTGATTTTGCTGACCCGGCTCCAGACCTAAGAGGGTATTAGAACAGATCAAGGGCATCTCCGAGCAGAAGGCCACAAAAGTCCTCGTTGAAGGTAAGCCATGAACACCACTCAAATCGGGACCGAGTTATGTATCTTTGTTAAATTTGATGATTAACTATTTTTTTTTTGAACAGCTGCGAAGCTGGTTCCGATGGGATTCACAACCGCTACGGAAATGCATGCCCGACGAAGCGAACTAATCTCGATCACAACGGGTTCAAAACAACTGGATACTCTGCTAGGGGGTGGTATTGAGACGGGCTCGATCACCGAAATCTTCGGTGAATTTAGAACCGGAAAAAGTCAAATATGCCACACGCTTGCGGTGACTTGTCAACTTCCTTTCGACATGGGTGGAGGTGAAGGTAAATGTCTTTACATCGACACCGAGGGAACTTTTCGACCGGTGCGACTTCTTGCCGTTGCCCAGCGATTCGGTCTCGTCGGAGAAGAGGTCCTTGACAATGTGGCATATGCTCGCGCGTATAACTCCGATCATCAGCTACAGCTACTAAACCAAGCATCGCAAATGATGTGCGAGACCCGATTCTCGCTGCTGGTTGTCGATTCTGCAACGTCGCTCTACCGAACCGACTTCAATGGTCGGGGTGAATTGTCATCCCGCCAAACTCACCTGGCCAAATTCTTGCGGACCCTCCAGCGATTAGCGGACGAATTTGGTATCGCAGTGGTCATAACAAACCAAGTTGTTGCGCAGGTGGACGGTGGCCCCAGTGCCATGTTCAACCCCGATCCCAAGAAACCAATTGGTGGTAATATCATCGCGCATGCCAGTACGACCCGACTCAGCTTGAAGAAGGGCCGAGGCGAGACCAGAGTCTGCAAGATCTACGACAGTCCTTGTCTCCCCGAAAGCGATTGCCTCTTTGCGATTAACGAGGATGGTATCGGGGACCCAAGCCCCAAGGACTTGGAAAATGAATGAGGAGGTCGTGTCTGATTGACCGTTTAGCCATGATATGACGATTAAGACGTGCGCTTATTTAATTTTGCTTTCGAGTTAGTACATATTAGATAGTTTATTTTTAATTTACAGCACAGAGTATGCGAAATTCCCTTTAGTGAGACCGTAACGGCAATAGTCGTTACTCGAGTACCTGGGTTCATAGAGGAAAATATATATATATAAATAAATAGGAATGATGTATGATTCATGAAGCATCAAAGAGTGGAAGGCGGACAGCCGCGTTTGTTGAAGGTCCGTGCCAAGACTTTGTTTTTTCTGGGCGGAAAGAGCTGCTGCGGCTTCTTCACTGCTCGATCATTTCCACTTCCACCTCCACCTCCCCCTCGGGCAGCGACAACCCCATTCTTTTCCTCTGCGACTCCCGGCCATGGAGACCTGAGGTGACTGATTCTTCCCAAGATCGTCCCAGGTGGTTTGTCGCAATTCCGACATGGCTAGAATTTACAAAGACACCCGAGTCGACCTCCGGCCGTACTCGCGGAACTCCGTCTTGACCATCCGCATCCCAACAGAAGCGAACACGCCAGGTCGCGCCCGATTCGCAACATCCCCCTTCACGAGATTCGAAGAACCGATCGCGAAGGACGAAGACGAGTTTTCTAAGCGCTTCCTGACCACCCAGGGGTCTGTTTATTTCCGCAAGCGCAGCGTTTATCCCCGGACGTTCCTATGGAGGGTCATCGACGATAGCAAGGTCTTGGAGGTCCAGTGTGTGGATTTGACAAAGGGGGGAATTGAGCACCACGAATATAACGTGACCTTGCGATTTGATTTCAAAGAAGCGATTATTCCGTCGGGAGTTGATTTCGCCGATTTGGAGGACCACGAAGTGCTCAGCGTGTTTGTTATTACAGCCTCCAACCAGCTACACACTTTGACCCTGCGCCCGGAATTCTTTCGACGGACGGAAGCAATCGATGAAAACGTTTCGGACTGGTGCAAGTCCTGTGTTCCGGCACCCCTCACATTCTCTCACCCTCACCGACTACACGCTAGCAGCCCACTGGAGCTGTTCATTTCCCTCGACAACGGTTCCCTTTTGCGCCTGAGCAGGAAATCTAGCGATGATGGTAATACCACAATCCAAATCCCTTCGCCTCCGCCCACAAAAAGCGCGTCCATCTAACGTAGTTTGCTAACATAATATCTTTTTCAAGGCTCGCACTGGACCCCATTGACTTTTGACGAAAGAACCTGGGGATCGTCAATTCGAGGCTTGGTCAGATGGCATGCGCAACCCTCGATAAAATACAATGGACGTAATCTCGACCCAAATCTCGCCAACGCGATTGCTACCACTTCCGATCAGACCTACGTTTTTGCGATCTGTTTAAACCACACCTTGAAGATATGGAACCTCGCCACGAATAAACTGGTCGCGACAAAGGATCTGCTGGGTCGCGAAATACCACAGTCCGATGCGACAACATACTCGCTCAATCCGTCCGAATCATCTTTCATTCGAGTTTTCAATGTCGAGAGGGCACTTGATGGAGGCTACCGGTATTACCTCATCACATACTCGCCTTTCGAGGATGGCCGCTTCAAATTTTGGGCTATCAAAGGGGGGCTGACGACAGCCCTTGAAATTGAAGATCTCTTCCCCGATGCTTCGCTGAGGCCTCTGGACCCGGATACGTCAGGCAACATGTTCTGGACGATTGCGGATTTCGAGGTTAAGCCGGCGGAAGAAGGAATGGGAATGGAGCTATGGGTACTTTGGAGAAATAGCAGCATGTACCAGCTCTACACACTGCACTTCAATTTCGAGAGCTTGACTACGGACTGGGATAACAATTGGGTATCGACGGTCATGGATACTCGCGGAGAAGCGCACCCGCCGCTACCGCCGGTGTCCTCCGATGTTGAGGACCCGACTGAGAAGTGGTTGAAGTTCCTTCTACACCCTAACAGGCTCTCACCCGAGGCGCTTGAGACCGCTTTGGCCATTTACCAGGAAGCTCTGAAGCCATTGTCTTCGCCCAGTGTGTTGAAGAAGGACACTCCTCTCTCTGAACGTCTCTGCTCCACAATTGCCGCCACCGTCTCACTCCGCAAGTACGCCGACGACGAAATGGATTTCATGCGGTATCGAAGTGATACAGACTCCAAGTGGCGCCAATTCTGGCAAATTGCGGACGATATCAACAGAAGAAGATTTGAACCGGTCACGCTTGCGTACGATTCGTATTATGAGATCCCGTGGCTGCTACTCTCAGGCGGTTGTGCGGTGATTAGAGAGTGCAGCTCTACAGAACTACTTTTGCACAATTCGGGCCCGGAGCTACGTTCAGAGGGGCCCAAGATCGTGGATCGCTGGAGACACAGGAACCTGGGCACGGAAATTGGTGATTCGTTCGAGGAGGCGTCTCATTTGATCCAAGTTGCTTCGGGATTCCGGCGGAGGTTTCCCCCAGAGCTTGAGGTGGCTTGCCTAGGAGCCCTTGAAGCAGAGATGTTCACGGAGCCCTCGTCATCTATCCCCGATAGGATGGACGCCTTCCGCGAACGATGTGAATTCGGGGAACAAATCTCTAACAAGATCTATGACGGCCTGGTTGGTGCTATGAACAAACGCCTAAACATCTTCAATCTACGGAATGATGTCTTTTACACTATCATCGACACGATTCCGCTGGGCTTCCCGGGCAAGGATTCGGACCTCTTGGCCACACATTTTGGAGTCAAGGTCACCGTCAACGGTGTCCAGGAGGCTATCTTCTTCACGCGTCAAATACTCATTGACCTTCTTTCCCTGGCTATCTTCGTGGATGGTGAAGTAGAGCAGGAGGAAGGCTCAGATTTTGACGCCGTTGAACTGTTTGCCTCGCTGATCACTTTACTGCGTGAATATGAAATGATGTTGTGGCTCAGCTCGAACTCTCGGAAGTGTGCTGATAGGCCCACCGGTAGTTCCGGAGACCTGACTCCTTCGACGTTTTCATTGAAGGAATCGCCGTCAAGAAACAGCAACACAAGGACGGCAACCATCTTGGAGGACTTGTTTGCCACCGATATTAAACCCCGCCAGACCATCGGCCTACCCCAGAGTTATACTTTGAGTCTCGGTATTCGAGATGTTCTGTCGTGGGTCACGCGTCAAGGGGAGGTGGCCTATCCAAACGCACTGGTCTACATCCAATGTGATCTCATTGCGAAAAACAACATTGATCTTGCTTGGGATTTCCTCCGCTTTCAAGCAAGCACATCTTGGGCGACCTACGTCAAAGGCCGCCTGTACGTGGCTATGTCTGAATTCGACATTGCAGCCTTGTATTTCCGAAAATCTGCATATCTGCTCTGTAAGTCTGGTCTGGTCTCTAGGTCTGGCATGATTCTTGCCCTCTAACTTATTTTATAGCGTGTGGCAAACCACTAGGTAATTTGCACGAAATGTCGTCGACTCTTTTAGACATTTTCTCGGTAGACTGCTTCCATAACGGTCTACCGAAGTATTTCCAACACATCCTATCCATTTTTGAACAGGCTCGCTCGTTCTCCCATGTTGCGGACTTTGCCAGTCTTGCACTGCAGGCGCTGGCGAGCGAAGGATACTCGGAGCAGGACCCGGAGTACCTCAGCCTGCGAACGGATCTTCTTTCGCGCCTATTCTATGCCTCTCTTCACAACTGCCAATTCGATCAGGCGTACTCCGCACTTGCCCGCTACAAGGACCTTACACTTCAAAAGTCTGCACTCAGCTCTTTGATCACGGGCATTTTGGCCGCCTCGGGGTCTGGCACTGCCGGCCTTCAGCAGATTCTCCACTTCCCTACGGCGCTTGTCCCCAATATCGCATCCTATGTGGACGAGGCCTTGGTCTCTCTTGCCCGGAAGCAGACGTCATTTACCTCCTACCTGGATAGTGGGAACCAATGGGCCGACGGCACCCCGGACTACCAACGAATCTTACAAGCGTATCGTATTGCACGGGGTGACCATCGCGGCGCCGCCGAGATTGCCTACCGCAATGTCCAACGACTCCGGAACTCGCGGGACAGCTCTTCGGCTTTAGTTTTGGCTAAAGGCCGCACGGAGGATCTGACAGCCGCAGCCGGAGAAGATGACCCGGAAAGTCAGGAGATAAGACACGAGCTTTTGTCGCTCATTAACCTGCTTGGTTGCGTCGACAAGAGCGAATCATACATTCTCATCGAAAAGGACGTCCCCTCCCTGTCTTCTGCGCCGCCGTATAGACGCCGGAGCCTGCAGGCGGATGATGATGGAAACGTATTTATGGACGATGCTGAAGCTGGCTCGCCCACCCCTTACGGTTCCAAGCGCAGGATCAGCTCTAGTCCCACGGCCATCCGACCTGCCAGTCGACGAGGAAGCAAATCCTCGACCACCGAGACCGCCGGTCCCCGCCGTCGCGTCATAGTCACACTCGACCACCTACGTCGCGAGTACCAAAGCGAGCTAGACCGGGTCAGCAGGATCGAACGAGGCGATTGGGAGTTCGGGGCTTTTGATTCTGACGAGGCTGATAATGATGATACGATGCTACTCTAGATATCTATCTATCACACGAGTTAGCCATATGATTGTGCTTTTTGCCCCCTTTCCCCTTGTCGATTTTTTCTACACTCGTCTTCTTGATTTGAGCTCTTGGACTGCACTTGTATTCTAGGCTAGATATTCTTTTGACATGTTAGTTTCTCTGGCGGTGAAAAGAATTCAAAATTTGTAGGGGCTTTCTTTTTTTTTTCTTTGTGTACGGTGCTGCACCATAGGAGGATGGACGTGCTGATTCTTTGTCTTGTTCTATTTCCTGCATGATCCGTTGGGGCGTAATAATTTGCATTCAATTCCGGGATACATATCCTTTTGAACTCTCCTTGCATAACGTACTCAATAGTTCACGTAGGTGTACGGAATAGGCAGCCCGTCTCTCCAAAATGAACCCACTCCGTAAAGAATGGATCTTCTGGCAAAAAAGTGGATCTATAGGTTAACCATCTGGTCGTCAGACTTAACGGAGCGTATCGAATACGCCTCCCATTCCTTCTGTCCCTCGTAGCGAAATGACCGACTAGCTAGGTAGACAGAGAGGCTGGAACGTAGTTAGTACCGAGTATACCTAATTCCTGAATTTTTTCTGGGTCTCGATACTCACAGCCTTTGAGTGGAGAAGACGAAGATGAAGGCTACCAAGGAGATAGGGATCCGGTTAGCGGTTATCTCCGCCTAGACCGGGCTTAATTCCGTGTGTTGGGGACCGTTTCTATGGAGTTATGGATGTATGGATCTCGGTACGCAGATTGAGAGGTTTAGGTGGTTCTTTTTGGGGGGATGGGTTAAATAGCTGGTCTTTTCTCTCCTTCTATCTTTCTTTCTTGTGGTTTGAATTGGTATAATTAAAGCTATCGATCAATCTGGATTCTGAGTTCTGAGTTCTGAGTTTCAGGTTCTATTATATTGTGTTTACGCTTTTCACGGATCTTATTCCCATTCTCTCTCCACCGCTATCTCTATATCTTTCTTGTCTGAGACGAATTGCACTGCAGTGATAATGCCTTCGATCGTTGGAAAGGAAATCTCGTTGGACGGGTTGGGTCTTATGCGTGAGTTCATCTTATCCGTCCCTCTATACTATACCTTTTCTTTAATATATATCAGACCCTGGAATGCACAGATGACTGACATGTAATAGGACTCACCTGGCCCGGCTTCGTCACCCCCGAAGACCAAGCCCTGAAAACCCTCAAAACCGCCCTCACCGCCGGCGCAAATATCTGGAACGCGGCAGACTTCTACGGCACGCCGTCCTACAACTCGCTGCACCTCGTGAACCGCTATTTCAGCGTCTACCCGGAAGACGCGGACAAGGTGGTCTTGATGGTCAAGACGGGCATCAAGGATATGAGGACGGTGAGTATGGATTGCTCCCGCGAGGGACTGAGAGGGTTCTTGGATAATGCGCTGCGCGTGCTGGACGGGAAGAAGAGTATTGATGTGTTTGGGCCGGCGAGGATCGATCCGAACGTGCCGGTTGAGGAGAGCGTTAAGGCGTTGGAGGAGATGAGGACTGAGGGCTCCATTGGGGGCATTCAGTTGAGTGAGGTCCGCGCGGACACGATCCGGAGGGCGGCGAGCGTGGCGAAGATCGATATGGTCGAGGCGGAGGTTAATATTTGGTCGCAGGAGGTGTTTGAGAATGGGGTGGCCAAGACGTGCGCGGAGCTGGGGGTCGTTTTGGTGGCGCATACGCCGCTGGGGGCGGGCTTGTTGACGGGCACGGTGAAGAGTGCGGAGGATGTGCCGGGGGTGTATATCGAGCGGGGTTTCCCGCGGTTCCTGCCCGAGAATATTGCGAAGAATGTTCGGTCGGCGGAGGAGATTAAGAAATTGGCTCAGGAGAAGGGTTGCACTGCGGCGCAGCTGGCTTTGTCGTGGGTGAAATCGCACAATGGGAGACCTGGGATGCCGGTGATTGTGCCTGTGGTGGGAGCGCGGTCCGAGGAGAGGGTTTTGGAGAATGTGAAGACCCTGGACTTGAGCGATGATGATTTCAAGAAGATTGCTTCGATCCTGGAGGAGTTTCCGGTTGTGGGAAAGCGATTTCCGGATCACACGTTCAAACTTAATGAGTATTAGATAGTTCTGAGTAGTGGTTTAGCATCCTCTTCACTCAATATAATTAATGCACACTGAGAAATCTTGTTTCTCGGCTTTGAGCCACCTTTTCCAGACATTTGAACGTAGATGAATCTGCTCTTGTAGTTCAGCTAGCAGCCTCTGGTGTCCAGGTAATTGTCTCTGCTGTAAAGCCTGCATCCGTTCCAGGATAGACTGTCTCGTTGATTCTGAGATGACGCCTACTTCCTTGGCCACGTAGAGATGAAAAACTGGTGAGGCTACCTGTACGCTAGAAAGGTCGGAAGTGAGAATTCTGAGAATTGCTGTACGGAATCGAGCAGCGACACCTCTAGACTGAGCGAACTAGATGTAGTAGATCGATGAGCTCTATAATTGAGATCATATTGTCTGTAGAAGTTCTGAGCAGGAGGGTGCTTTGCTCGCGAACCATCTCAGCCAGCAAGATGAGGACCATTCGAATGTGTTATTCCAACCCTTCTTCGTTATGGTCCGTATAATGTAATGGATCTAGTAGAATGGTGGTGAGAGACTTTGATTTGCAGAAATGAAAGAAAGCAATTTGGGACAATCGAGAGTCAAGATTCAGTCGGAGTATGGGACCCACCTAGCAAAACACAGGAGTCGAGAATACTGATTGGCCACAGGTCACGTGACAAAAAGAAGAAGAAGGAAAAATGACAAGAACGAGGTTCGAACTCGTGCGGGTTTCCCCAGCAGGGATCAGTAACTGAGTTGTCACTTACTACTCCGGATATTAGTGACTGATGATCCGGATGTGGAAGGATGAAGGGGGTTATGACGCACAATCTGCCGCCTTAACCACTCGGCCACCTTGCCTTTCTAGTACGAAGATCGCCATATTACGTATTATAAAGACCATTTGAGTCGCAACTTTTTTGATATCCCTGGGACTCCAGTCCAGCCCTGCCATCAACGAACTTATGACAAGACCATGATGGAGTGGAAGTGAACAAGTCAAGCTGTCGAGCCTGCGGGAGTCGACGGAAGGCTGACAAACTGATGTCTGGTTTCTCAGGCCTGAATCGGGGCCCACAGAACCAACCCTGGTATTTGGTAGGGTCTTGCGTATTGGTTATGGGTGCATAATACTGTTCTTAGATGCAACTGAAGATCTGATATTAAAACATTATGTGCATGTGTCTAAAATAAATATACTTTCCGGCCTCCCGACCTTGGGAGGACTTTGCCCCAAGCCCTCGAATATAGCTGCACACAAAAGCAATCCAACCAAAAGCGATAGGGAATTAAACTAGATCCAAGAAAGCCGCAAGTATGAAAAGCAAAGGTAGAATTTATTTTGAGCGTACGGCGTGTCGTATACAACCTACTCCGACTCTTCCAGCACTGATTTCGCATACAGACTGCTGAATTGAGAGTCTGAAGCAAGGAGATTGTAAGGGTTTCCTGATTCGATTATACGGCCAGAATCAAGCACGAGGACTCTGTCATAGTCGAGAATAGTCTCAAGCTTATGGGCGACTGTGATGATGGTGTGATTGGCGAACTTTTCTCGGATGATTCGTTGCATTATCTCGTCGGTTCGAGTATCGACACTGAGCCGAGAATGATTAGTAAATGCATTATACCGAAGAGATCGCATATAGAACATACCTGCTGGTAGCCTCATCGAGAACAAGAATGTTGCCTGAGCGCAAAATTGCCCGAGCCAGGCAGAAGAGCTGCTTCTGTCCTTGGGATAGGAAGAGCTCATCAATGTCCGTATCAAGACCTCCTTTTTCTTGAATCTTTGTAGAGAGCTGGACGGTCTTGAGAGCTGCCATTATGTCATCATCAGAACAATGACCAGTTGGATCGATGTTCTCCCTGACACTCCCTTGGATCAACAATGGGCTTTGGGAGACGCCGTTTATGCGTGAGCGTATCTCTTGACGGGGTATCTGAGATATGTCGATCCCGTCAATCAGAATACTCCCAGACGTGAGATCAACCATGCGGAAGATGCTCATTATGAGGGAAGTTTTGCCACTATACGCAATGGGTTAGCTTCTCGCTGGGCTGAGATTGTGTGACGAGGTTACCGACCTGCCAGTTCGCCCGCAAATTGCAGCTTTTTCTCCTGCCTGTATGGCAAATGAAATGTTGTTGAGCACTGGCTCGGAAACCCTAGATGCAAGCTATTTGTCAGTAAGTTGCTTGGAAGGTTTCATAGAAATACATACCTATACTCTGCGGAAACATTCTCGAATGCAATTTCACCTCCCGAAGGCCATTCTGGTGGTACATCCCCTTTCTCATCGGGCTGATCCTCCGAAGCCACATTTTCACTGAATGACTTCACGCGCAGTATTGAGCCAATGTGAGTTTCAAGATTTGTCCAGAATGTGACCAGTAATTTGATGCTTTGGCTGAACAGGATGACGTTGAGCAGAGCGACTCCAACATAGCCTGCACCAATTGATCCTCTTAGTGTCACGACTAGAACAATCAGGATAACCGCAATCCCAGCAACGACCATATCTAGCGTCAATGTAAGCCACCTTTGGATGGCATAGAGGAAATAGAAGGGCCTCTGAGAGTAGTCAAGCAGCCGATGGTTCTTATCTTGCAATGCTTGTTGCCATCCAAAAGCCCTCACAGTGGTTAGACCCCCAAGACAATCGGTGAAGTGAGCGTAGAGAGGCGCCTTTGCCTCGAGATCCAAGAATCGCAACTGCCGCGAGGTGCGAAGGTAAACTTTCTGTATGCTGTAGATTGTGAAAATGACCAGCGGGAATGAAATGGCCGCATATTTAGAGGCAATTCCCATGAAAACCATCTGACACAGGCAAAGGACAAAAGCTGGCAATATCGAGTAAGTTCATGAAAAATCAAAGATGGCATAAAATAGGCATTTTACAGAAAGATGATCGGCAAATACTTACTAACGAATGTGTTTATGGCGGCAACCGGAAGCTCCATATCTATAAGTTGGAGGTCCTGGCTAAATCTGTTGAGAATAGCTCCGGTGTCCGTACTTGAAAAGAATAGCATAGGCGCGCTTCGAAATCATCAGTAATTCTCATTAGATGGTTCAGTCTTGTAAGTTACTCACCTGAGCACTTTACTCAAGAGCTGACTGTGAAACTTTTCGCCTGACTTTGGTACCATGTTGATAATCATCTGCCTAAAAGTCGGACGTTCAATTAGTACTGAGTAAGGCCATCAGCTTCAATGACCCATTATATACTGACCGACAACCGACTATGAGAGATATCATGCCGACGGCACAGAGCATTGCATATATTCCAATGTAGTATCCTGTTTGCGCGCCGGGATGTGTCTCATTCGACCGAGCCCACCATTTTACCCAAATGCCTTTAATTGAAGTCAGACATCTTGGCTATCACGTAAACTGAGTGAGATAAAGTCGATACTTACTTGGGAAGGATATACAAAACACGAATCCCGTCATGGCTACAATGAAAACCGTCGTCGGTAGCCAGCCGATAGAGCGAACATAATAGAGGTAGATTGAAACATCACCCCCGCTTCCGAATTTATCGATGACAAATTCCATGTCTTTGTCGTTCGGATAAACTGGTGCCTTTGAGATTTCCGGTTCGGGGAGGCTTTTTGCCTTGAAATCCCAGTCAGGTGCCCCTAATGCAAAGCTGGAGACGTATCCTCCGGCGGAGTCAAGTGCTTTGAAGCTTCCTTGCTCTGTGATTCGGCCTTCAAGATCAAGCACCACGATGTGGTCAGCGTAAGGAATCCGTTTTACTGTAGATACTATTAGCTCGAGACCTCTAAACACAAATAGCACCCAGATCAAAACTGACCAGAGGAAGAAGCAAATATAACCGTGGAGCCGATCGAGCGGAGCAAGCCATGAGTACCAATTAGCTCGTGGAAGATGTGATTCTCAGTTGCTGCGTCCAAGCTGCTTAGAACGTCATCAAGAATAACAATATCTTTCCTGGCGTAGACTGCTCTTGCGAGTGCCTGGAAAGTCACTGCTATTAGCCGAAGCACAATACTTGTAAATCAAAAGGTGATACACACAATGCGCTGACTTTGCCCACCACTCAGGGCGACACCTTTGCTACCAATCACTGTCTGATCTCCTCGTGGGAGCTGCCGGAAATCTTCGACGAGGGCGCATGCAGCTATCACGGATTTGTACCACTTTTCATCATAGCATGACATTGCTACAATGCTGTCCTTGATAGTCGCGTTCATGTGCCAGGGGACCTGATCACAATATGCGACACTCTGGGACGATAGGGCAAGGCTTCCGCTGAGACATGGAGTCTCTCCAAGGATAGCTTTGAGCAGCGTTGATTTTCCACAGCCAGATGGCCCAACAATGACAGAAAATGATTCCCGAGGAATGGTGATAGTTAAATCCTTGAGGAGAGGATCTTTCTCCATCTCCCATCCAAAGCTTGCTCTCTGAATTGTGATCATCTCATGTCGCAACGCCACAGACACGCCCTTGAGAGACTGTGATGAGCTCGACCCATTTGTGGAACATTCTGAATACCCAACCAGCCCTAAACCTTTCGACTCATGAAGAACGTCGACCGGCTGTGGCGTTAGTCCGCATCTGGAATCCACATGGCTTTTCATTTGAAGGAATTCTTGAATTCTCCTGAAAGACCCGACCGAGCCGACGAATGTCATCAGCGCCATTACAAGAGATAATAGCGGATCTGAGAGGAGAGCGAAAAGCGATAGGGAAGTGTATGCATTCGAAGTGCTGAGAGCTGCATCATTCCCCCTGCTATGCGATATGCCGACAAACGCGCCAAATGTAAAGATCGGCCCAAAGATGCGTGTCATCCAAGCTGTATAACTTGGTTAGTTTGCTTGATATCAATATTAAGTGCTGTGGTCTCACCAAATCCCAGATTCAAGACTAAGATTCGTCGGAAACTTTTGGATATTTTTAGCTCCTCCAGACGCAAGCCATGAACATGAGTCATGAAGAAGTGGCTGAGTCCAAGTAGCTTTATTCCTTTCATCGAAGCAAGCATCGACCCTGTTGAGGAGATACGTCTCTCGATAGCCTCAAGCCACATGGCTTGCCTCGAGACAACAAGCGAAAGTGAGATTAAAGATCCGACGAGCGCCACTGAGTGAAGGAAGTTTTGTTAGAATAATGAGAAAATGGTAGGAGAGAGGAGGATACTGAAGGGGAGGTCAATGCGAAGAAAGACCAAGGATACCCCCGACACTGGGATAAGATTCAAGCTTACCAAGTGAGACCGCGACCGGCACAACGCAGGAAACTCCTAACTCCCGCTCAAGGAGAAAGATTGCCAAAGCTATCTCTAGAGTATTCCCCCAGATATCGTGTATTGTTTGCCAGCCCTGCACGATTCTCTCGATGTCCGCACTCATCAACGTGAGAGATGCCGCCGGATCGGCATCCTTCACGCTCAGAGTACCTGCTTTCTTATAGACCATGGAGACAACCCCTCCTCTCACCATTGTAATGACACGGTACGTCAGATGTTGGTATTGTCCCATGGATACCTAGATCTCTAGTCAGACAAAGCTCGTCGCACGATAAAAAGGAAATGCCTGGGGCACCCACCGCCATTCCCGTGTACACGAGGATGTAGGCACCAATCAACCCGTATCCGGCATTGGTAGTTTTACTCGTATCTGGTTCTGCGGTGAAGGAGAGCGATCGGTGCAACAGTAGAGGTTGACAAACGTTTAGCGCGACGAGACAAGCTCGTGGAACTATGGCTGCGAGCAGTTGCCACGAGAATGTTCTGAAGATTGTGAAAAGGAATGCATTGTCCCCTGGGTTTTCCACTGAGTCATGTAAGCTTGGGTGTCGATGGCAGAAACTTTGTATCTCTGGGCCAGTTACCTTGGTTCCAATTGACTTCCAGGGCATTCTGGAGTCTTTGCGAGCCCAGAGTTTTATCGAGGGCAAAAAGATCTTCCACGGCGAGCTGCTTGAAAAAGCCCTGCCTGAATAAAGGATTCAACCACAGGAAGAAAGCGCGATTCAAGAAGCCAGCAGTGGCTTCTGGTGGATAGTCTCTGTAGTCCTCCTTGAGAAGGCGTCGTTTCTCCAGTGCCTCAAGGAGCAGGAGAAGAAGTTTGACCCCAGTAGCCAGAGAAGTAACTATAGCGATCGTTCTTCCGGATCCCCCGATACTTCGAAGCCATAATGTTCGTGTCTTCGCGATATCAAATAGAAGCGTGGTGAAAAGATAGACGTTGAGAAGAAAAGAGGGTCTAGCGGAGCGATTGTGTTCGGAGTAGGAGAGGATGCCCAAGAAGATCACCCCCACCGCGGTCACGGTATTCGTCGCAATGGAGGCGCGCGTCCGTACCGCCGAAGAGAGAGACCATAGTGCAACAAGCGCAAAATAAATTGCCCCTAGGATAACCCATGTGATCTTTGAAAGTAACAGTCAGGGTCAGCAGGGCGTCAGAAGTTGAGGATCAATGCCATTGTTCGAACAGGGAATTGCACATACAGTTTTGATCCATAGAGCCCACGAGCCCGTTACTTTGCGCGGCTTCCGAGATAAAAACCACAGGCGAAATGGGGCTACTATCAACAGCATGCCCAGAGGAAGCACTCCTAAGATGACCTCCTCGAAGAGCAAAGGAAAATCAAAATTCCCCCGACAGCCAAGCACAGGGACGCGAAGAGAATCGTCCGCTTGCTGGCATGGCAGAGACAGTAGACGCGCCTCCATGGTTGCTGTACTATGAGCTCTATCTACAAGCGAATGAATACTATGGGCAGATTAAAATGTTATAGTGACTGGACTGTTCATTCTGATTTCCGCCCAAGTTCGATTGAAGAGAAGGGCTAGACTGCAAAAGATCTGCCGATTTGCCTTTGATTTTCCTGCTCGTGGATGGGCTCATGATATACTCCGAAGTCAGTCTGAGATACCTGGTGACCGAATGAAAATTTCGCTCAGGTTTCTCATTTGTACTATTTTAGACGATTCTTCATACCCTGTTGTTTGGTAGGATGTGACTTTCCTTGTTCAAAATCTTACATATTTTTTTTATTTTTTATTTTTTTTATGTAATTCTATTTTTTGTTGATATACTTTTTTGGGACCAAACATGTCCCTCATGTTTGGCACCAGCTGATTACTCAAGGCGTATCTCGTATACTCGCATTGATCAAGGCACATTCCAACCGACATACGCCGTATGTAAGTCTTGCCCCAAGATCTCCTCCTGCCTGATTTGGAGCCCCAACCCCGGGAAAGAGTATAGGGTGTCGCCACGATATACATATTACCGACGATCCCTAGGGAGTACATGAGCAAGAGTTCGGCTACAGCGTGTGATGATTTGACTTGTTCCGGAACTACTGCGCTACTGCGTATTGTTGAAGGTAGCCAACTAGGTCGGGTAAATCTCCGGTTTGTTATTTAGGGCGAGACTTGGATGAGCGCCAGGATCAGAAATCTCCTCGCAGATATCGAGAGAGGCGACAGCGGAATTGCTCCCTCAACACGAAGAAGACAGCTGTGTCACCTTGCGAGCAAATCAGCTGCCCGAGAGTCGAATCCATCGTGGACACTCCACTGTAGCTAGCCTCGCTCAGCGCCTTGTAACGGCGGGTTTTCCTTTGACTATGAATAAAATGGACCTCTCATTCGAGTAGGAACCGCCTCCATTCTCCACTTCCACGAACCGTTTCAAAAGTACGGAGTATGGAGCACACTCAGCATGAACTGGCCCGACGCTTACGCATCCAAGAGACTAAATGACTAATGATGGCGTAAAAACCTACACCGTATACGCGCCTTGTTTGCATTCCCGGCTTGCACAAATACTGTGGTCTAGTCGTGTCTCATACATGCTGACTCCGTTAGCTTGGACCTACTCGTGGGTGCGCGAGGAAATCTCAGATCGCGATAATCCTTTCCAAGGGATCATGGAAGAGCGACGAAGATTGTAAGCGGGGACGGGGATGAAACGGGACTCCGAAAAAAGCAAGAACATCAAGTGTCAAGAAGACCGGAACTGACATCAGACAGCTCAGTTCTATTCCAAATAATATTTCCGGCTGGCACCCGCCAATTCGTCCCTAATTCCCGTGACAGCTCGACCCGGATATTCATCCCTATCCCAATTGTGGACCGATTTCCCAATTGGGCCACGAGGGTGTCTAAGGTTGGTGCCACATCAGCCGCAAAAAGGATAGCCAAGAAGGATTCTCAGCCAGGGCCAGGACATTCTCTCAGAAATAGATCTCTGCGGGAGTGCGGGATGCAGATTCACTACCCAATCCCCCTTGGTGGCGAAAAGCCATCTCCGTCCCTCCACGAATGAAAAGACGGTGGCATGCGGAAGATAATAGGGGATGCGCAGTCATGATGTCCCCACCCCAATTGATCATTGGGCCAAGCCCGTTAGGACTTGGGGATGTTGGTGAAGTACCCCCGTTGCAAGTCCGGAGGGTACTGTCGGGGTCCAACTCGAACGGGGGTTAGAGGTGAACGGTACAGGCATGGCTAAAACTAGCGAGTGGCAGTGGATAGGTAGGGCCTAGCCGAATTCTTAACCACTTTTTGACTAGTAGTTAGTTAACAGTGTCTTCCGACTTCCAGGTAGAATTCTAAGCCAGCAGGGACCCGCAGGGTAAGACTCAACAGTACTGAGCAGTGAGCACATCGTAGATATTAGGCAACGTGTCTACGGAGTGTTCGTACTCCGTAGGTACCTACCTACCTTAGTTGGGGGATAAATGGAAATGATTGTCCTCAAGGTGACCGATTAACTTAGAACGGCAGTAGACCAAGATCCCGTCCATCAGATCCCGATATCACGAGTGCGCCTAGGGGAAGACTAGCGAGCTTTCTGTAACGATTAGTGATACTATTAGTCCAAGAATTCGCGTTAGTGAAGCAAATAACGACACTAAATCGTGGTGGATGGCGAACATGGGTGAGCTAGGGGATTCCTGAATCCTGCGTAGATGCGCTAGATGATCTGGGTGGGGGAAAGCCTTGGTTGACGGCGACGGTCCTTCCGTCCCACTACTGGTCCGGATGACAGCACCTGCCCGGAAGATCATAGGTGGATGATGCTGCCGCCCCTGGTCTCATTGGTGGAGAAGGGGGGTCAGTGGCTGCCCGAGCTATACCAAAGCAGGCTAGTGCAATTAAAACAGGGCCGGGACGCGCCACTCTTCCAGGTTTAGTTGTTTACTCCCGTAGCAGGGTAATTGGACCGGGCAAGTCCACTCGACTTCGTACCTCTTGGACAGGCCAGGCCACGAGCCCAGCACTCAGGTGTGGGCCTCACAGACGCAGGGTGAAAATTTTTTCCTTTCTCATGTTTTATATTTCCTTTTTTTTGGAATCTCCAGTTTCCGTTTTCTATCGTCTCGCTGCGGCCTGACAGTTGGCATTCAGCTCCGATCTGATGACGGTGCGCAACGTGACATCGAGGAGCAGATCAATTGTCATCGTTACGATCTGGCTTGGATCGGTGCCCTGTTTTGGCTTTTGACTTTCTGTCTTCCCTTTGGCTTTCTCGGTTCTGCCCCTTTATTCTCCGAAAACTTTGAAGATCATTAGAGATCCGGCGCGGGAGTCAAGAGCCGAGTGGGGCGCAATTTACTGTATCCCACTGGCAAACGGTAGAGCTATATTGGTTCGATGGAGGAAATCGCTACGAACTTTGAGCGTGAAGAGCAAATAGAAATCGACGAGTAAATGAAAGGAAAGTCGGAAATTGCTCGATCATGCAGACCATTCGCTAGCGGTTATAACCGAGCGGTTTTCCTCTAGTGGCACACCCCCTTGCAGCCCTTGCATTTAATTAATTTACATATGGCCGGTTGACTTTCGAAATTGATGCTTGTCTAGGCCAGTTGCATCCCATCCCAGACATACTACGTACATATGTATGTACAGTACATACGGTGTACGGAGTATGTGACCTCTCGATAAAACAGCTGCGGTTAAATTGGATAGAGAGAAAAATTTAAAGAAAAAGAAAAAGAACAGACATACGATGTACATGGAAATATTATAGACGAGAAAATTTTCCGACCACATTCTCGGGTAGTCGGCTGTAACTGTCCATATCAGAATCAGAATCCTATAATCATCGGATCAAGGGATGAAAAAATCCCCCCGGGTTAGGGCCGAGAACTCCGCCCCTGTCTATATACGGTGTACTCCGTATATGCACGTCGGTGGGCTCCAAGAAAAAAAAATCTCCTCATTCCGGAATACAGCGTCTTACTTCTCAACAAAGCTTTCCATGTTTACTCTGTATCAATTGTAAATAATCACTCGGTTTACTTGGCTTCATGAAGATATATACCGCGTAATGCCGTGTACTGTGTAAATATACTACACGGTTTGGGGTAAGATGATGGATTTATTTGTTTACTTATTATTGTGTTTGTTATTAGTTTGTCTATTTTTGATATTAAACATTATCTGTTTATAGAGAGCTGCATAATTTGACTAGCAAGGGGAGGAGGCATAGAAGCCAGCCAGCTCTTCGATAAACACCGGTGGCGTCGCTGCAGAAAAGAGAGTGCATATGCCATGAATGGATCGTTTCCCTCCCTCATGCTCTTTATTCAACGCTTTGATTCCGTCGACTTACCGCCGAATGTAGGTAGGTATAGTACCTGCATGGAAATGTATTGGTATCGACCTTCAATTGAAGATAAACAAACTCACAAGGCTCATATAGTCGGCCATTTCAAATGCGCCATCCCAGTAGAAAATGGCGATACTTTCTCGTATACGCCGATAGTATGCCGATAGTGTGTCATGAATTCCGCGCGCCCAAGCCTTTCACTCGTTAGCACTCGGCCACTAGGTTTGCTCGGAGATAGTGGAGGCACTAAGACTCCGTCGACTAGCCGACACATCCCGGATCTACCATCGTAGCATACCCAGTCTAGCCCCAATAACGGATCATCCTCAGATTCTGTAATCTGTACAATAGTTCTGGCCTGGTTATCCAGGTTTCTACTCCAGTCGGTCACCGCAATGGATCCGTGGATGGCGCTGAGACCCGTGCAATTTACGATACCTGACTAGGTAGTTACTGTAGGTACATGAAAGTAGGTAAGGTGCCTTAGGTACGAGGCTATTTCCCAGACCCCGTGATCGTCCAATCACAGATTTTCCCCCCATCGCTTGGCCCCTTTCGGCTTCCCTGATTTGACTCCTCAAGTACAACAACCTCTTCATCCGGAACCTTGATTGTCAATGAACCCTGCCACGGACTCGGGGTCTCAAGGGGAAATGCAGCTCATCATTTGGGTCGATTCTCACATCAAACTTTCTCTCACTTGGGTGAATCCTCCGTTCGTCAGCAGCTGGCAGTGTCCCCATCACGCAGCCTGGCGTGGACCCAGAACATCCACCTGTCGTAGCGTGACAGGACCCCATGAGTCGCTAAATATTACGTAGGATCATGTTGGGTTCGAGACCCAGCTCGAACGGCCCAGGATTGTATCCGGAAAAAATAATGCATGCAGGGTTGTCCCCTGATGCCTTCCGCTTTCTCGCTTTCTGACTGCTTGTGTTTCGATTATTTTGGGCCTGGCCTTGGACATGCTCCACTCTAAGGCATCCCAACTCCCCAGGCTCCAAGCCATTCGCACATGGGTTCTCATCCCCCACGGCTAGCAGTGCCTACGCACTCGAACTACTTCTTTTTGCCCCCCTTTGGCTTCAACAAGTCGGCGGAAGGTGGATTCCATGAGCCACGGCATACTAGACTGGCCAATCCTCAGACCTGTGGCCAATATCCTGAACTCTAACTCTCGTCATTGGACCTCGCTGGCCTTCGTATTCGACTTATGGATAATGTCATTGTTTGTGAGCAGCTAGAGGCACTGCTACGAAGCCCCCCTTAGCGAGCTCGATTAGTCTATTTTTGTGAAATGGGATGAAAATTTTTAAGGAGGTCTGATGATGAAGTATCCACGGATCTTCGTCTCCAATTTAAAGCTAAGAACAGGTACAGAGTTGAGTACTGTCAACCGTGTCTGTTGTTTACTTCACACTCGTTTTTAGATTATTGCAGCTCTTCGGAGTATTACTCACAAGAAACCATGGCTCACCCTGCCCAATGCTGCCTCCCTAGGTTCAGCCCTTCCTCCCGTGGGCCCAAACGGCCTGTGTCGATGAAAGTCAAGACGGCTCCATCACAGAATCGGGAATTACTGGCTGCCTGGCGCCGGGAGGAAATCCACTCCCTTCTCCAAACCGCGTGGGCCCTCCTCCTCTACCGCTACATCGGATCCAAAGACGTTTGCTTCGGCTATCAATACCTTGATGGCCCTGACATAACAAATCCGTCGACCTTCAGTCTCACCATCAACGAAGATGACTCCCTTCGTGAGATTCAAAATAAAGTGGCAAGCAGAAGTGTTTTGCCTCAACAATATGGGGCAAACACGGAGTCTCATCTGGCCGATGATGGCTACACGCCATATAATACCGTTTTGATGATACGCATCTGCTATGATTCGTCGAATGGCACCGGAAACACTTTGCTACAGCCAGTTTTGGCTATGACGCTCCCGGATAAGGTGTGTTGATCAAGGAAAATGAAAGTTTATCTCTCCAAGGGCTATCTAACCCATCATTGCTAGACTCGGGTACGACTCCACGTGAAAATCCTGGAGAACGATATCAGCATGTTTCTGGAATCCTGGAATGATGAGGTTTCTACGGAACAAATGAAAAGCATCGCTAGTTACTTCGAGAGAACGATATCGCAAATCCTGTCGGGAGAGGACATTGCGGTGGAAGCGTTAAATCAGTTTTCGGCACAAGACTGGTCCCGAATTTGCCAATTTAACGCAGCGATTCCGGAAGAACACGATCGTTGTATTCACGAGAAAATTCAGGAACAGGCGCTCATTCGACCGGACAGCGAGGCTGTATGCGCTTGGGATGGGAGTTTCACGTACAGTGAATTGGACCTCTTGGCTTCCCGGCTTGCTGTTCATCTCCAAGCGCAGGGAGTTGGACCCGAAGTCCGCGTTGCTCTCTGTTTCGACAAATCCGTAAGTGGTGATATGGTATTCTTTGCTCTTTTTGTTGCTTATTTTATTCTACTTAGAAATGGTACGTTGTCGCAGTGTTGGGAGTTCTTAAAGCTGGAGGCGCCTTCGTGCCTCTTGATCCAACGCATCCAACATCCCGTCTGCAGTCTCTGGTCAGATCAGTACAAGCAAACATCTTGATATGCTCCAGAAACCGTGAAGGCAATCTAAAGGCCATTACGGAGAACATAATGCCATTGGATGATCAAAGTCTGAAGGAGCTTCCGGCTCTCTCTGAAGAGAAAGAGCTTTCAACAGAAGTGAAAGGCCACCATGCAGCCTATGTGATATTTACTTCAGGCTCTACTGGAGAGCCTAAGGTACGTGTCCAGTTATTTCAAGCGAACCCACGTGTCTAATCTCTGCAGGGTACTTTGGTTGAACATAAAGCATTTGCGTCTGGCGCAGCCGCTCACGCACCTCGACTTCGTATGTTCGACAAAGCAAGAGTATTGCAATTTGCTGCACATACTTTTGATGCGAGTCTTGTCGATATCTTGACTACATTGATCCAAGGCGGCTGTATCTGTGTGCCCAGTGAGGGGCAGCGATTGAACGAAATTACCCAAGTGATCAACGACATGCGTGTAAACCATGCTTCTTTGACGCCAACATTTGTTAATTTCGTCGACCAGTCAAAGGTACCAGGGTTGAAAACACTCGTTCTAGCCGGAGAGGCAATGTCTCAATCGCACTTGGACACATGGTCAAAGATTGAGCTTATCAATGCCTTTGGCCCGACTGAATGCTCCGTTGCAGTAGCCGTGAACAATAAGATGACGCGGCTCTCCGACTGCAGAGATATTGGTCTTCCCACTGGTGTTCGCCCCTGGATAGTGGACCCAGAGGACCATGACAAGCTTGTTCCCGTCGGTTGCGTGGGAGAGATGATTCTTGAAGGACCTACGCTTGCCCGAGGCTATATCAACAATCCCGAAAAAACCGCAGAAGTGTTTATTCACAATCCAGCTTGGGCGAAGAGTGAGGATGAAACCCACTCCGACCGACGATTCTACAAAACTGGTGACCTGGTAAGATATAACTCCGATGCTGGCTCGCTGACATATATAGGACGAAAAGACACTCAAATCAAGCTCCACGGACAGCGGATTGAACTGGGAGAGATTGAAGATAACCTGAATACCGACCCCGCCATTAAAAATTGCCTGGTTTTCCTTCCCAAGTCGGGATTTTACCAGGGCAAATTAGTGGCTGTGCTATCCTTGTCTACAGATGTAGACTCTCAGTCGGGATCGGATGAAGTGCCTCTAAGGATTCTCGAACATTCAAAGAAAATGGCAGCTGTTACCGATATTCGTCACCGCTTGTCATCAAGATTACCGACATACATGATCCCCAGTGGGTGGCTATGTGTCGAGTCCCTGCCTCAGCTTGCATCTCGTAAGCTTGATCGAAAAGCCACCGCAAGCTGGGTCGCGGGCATGGAAGAAGACCCGGATCGTGACCTAGCGAAACTTGGCGACTCCTCGACCCAAGAGGTCATCCGATCCACAAATGTGACGGAAGATCGACTGGCTTCCATCTGGAGCCGCATCCTCAACATACCTAAAAACCACATCAGTCTCGACGAAAGTTTCTTGAGTCTCGGCGGAGACTCCATCGCTGCGATTACTTGCATGGGATCTTGCAAGAAGCAGGGTCTTGGAGTTACAGTTCAACAAGTGCTCCAAAGCAAATCCATTCGGGCTTTGGCAACACACGTCACTGAGATCAGCCAGCCTACTGTGTATGAGGAGACGATCGAAGAGCCATTTGGGCTTTCGCCAATCCAAAAACTCCATTTCAAGGTGCGGAAGGAGGGTCAGGGGTACTTCAACCAAGGTGTTCTTACCCGCCTGAACCGGCCCATCAGCGATGACGAACTTTGCCGTGCAATTGAAACCCTCGTCAAACGACATTCTATGCTCCGTTCACGATTTACGGACATGGGTCCTGAGGCCGGAGTGCGACAGCACATCACCGAAGATATTGTTGGGTCTTACCGCTTCCGATCGCACAGCGAGACCAGCGAACATGAGATTCAACATGCCATTTCGAATAGCCAGTCTTGTATCAATGCATTCGCCGGTCCAATGATGGCAGCTGATATCTTCCGTGTCAGTGGCAGGGAAAATGTTCTCTCGATGACTGCTCATCATTTGGTGGTTGATATCGTTTCGTGGAGGATTATCTTGGAGGATTTGGAGGAGCTTTTGCTTAACCCAAGCGAAGATCTGTCCCAGAGTGGCTCCCTTCCATTCCAAACCTGGTCTCAATTACAGGAGGCGCAAATCAAGGAGGTCGAAACCGCGGACAAGGCTGAACTAGACAAAGTTCCCGCCCCTGATTTTGCTTACTGGGGACTGGAGGATCACCAAACCACGTACGGAGATGTGGACTGCGAGACCTTCGAGATGAGTCCAGAGGACACGCACGCCCTTCTTATGGAGTGTCATAGAAGCCTCGGAACCGAACCAATTGACATATTCCTGGCGTCACTTCTCTACGGATTCCGACAAGCGTTTACTGATCGATCGCTGCCTGTGATCTACAACGAAGGCCACGGAAGAGAAGTTTGGGATCCCACGATAGACATTTCGCGTACCGTCGGCTGGTTTACCATTCTGCAGCCCATGTTAATTTCGAATACTGCTTTGGATGACCCTGTCGACGCAGTCATCCAGGTGAAAGATCTCCGCCGCCAAGTTTCAGACAATGGACGGCAAGACTTCACACGCCGCGTCCTCGCAGGGGGTCCACAAAAGTGCGGCCACCATGGGCCTATGGAGATCTCGTTCAACTATGTCGGTCAGCATCGAGACCTGCAGCGGAACGATGGTCTATTCCAGCTCATGAACCAGATGGCTGGAGAGACTGGCCGGGGTGGAGGTGCTGCTGATTTCGGTGAAGAGACTCCTCGTTTTGCGCTCTTCGAGACATCAGCACTTGCCGTTCATGGAAGGTTGCGCTTCAGTTTCTCCTTCAACAGGTACATGAAACATCAGGAATTAATTCGGAACTGGGTCGCTTCCTGCCATGATACCCTAAAATACCTCGGAAACAAACTGCAGTCCCTAGAGCCAAGACCTACACTAAGCAGCTTTCCACTACTGTCACTCAACTACGGAGAGCTGGAGACAATCCTCTCGAAAAAGCTCCCCAGTATTGGAATACACTCTCCCGACCTAGTGGAGGATATCTACCCATGCTCGCGCATGCAGGAGGCTATACTGCTCAGTCGCTCTCGTGATGATGGTCTCTACGCTGTTCATGATACTGTGGAAGTGAAATGCTGGGAGGGTAAACCAGATGCTAATCGTCTGAGTCTCGCATGGCAAAAGGTGATTTCTAGACACCCAATGCTACGAACTATCTTCGTGGAGAATTTCACCAGCCAGAACTTGTTCTGTCAAGTCGTTCTCAAGACATTCGATGCCCGTCCTAGTTTCGTGAGGTGCTTGAGCGATGGTGATGTGCTAGCAACTCTGGACCGACAACAGCCGATGAATTATCATGAGCACCGACCATCCCACAGGCTTACTATCTGCGAAACAGCAAATGGTAGGTTATTTTGCAGAATTGAGATGAGTCATACCTCGATGGATGGTTCCTCCATTTCCCTGATCCTTCGAGACCTGCAGTTGGCATACAGCGAAAAACTTGATGATCACACGCCAAAGTTCAAAAATTTCATCGACTACCTCCAAAATACTCCTCAGCAGGACACCATCGACTATTGGTGCTCGTATCTGTCAAAGTTCAAGCCTTGCCACTTGCCCGTGCTCACCGATGGTGTCTCTGCTCCTAAGCAGCTCAAAACCATGCGGTTGAATTTTGAACCACTCGAAGAACTCCAAAGGGTCTGTGAACAAAATGGACTGACCTTATCGACTGCTTTTAGCACTGGTTGGGGTCTTACACTTAAGTCCTTCTGCAATACCGATGAAGTCTGCTTTAGCTACATGACATCCCTCAGAGATTTGCCTGTCGAAGACATCGAGTCGGTTGTTGGCCCCGCCATCAGCTTGCTAGCTTGTCGGATGAACGCCTCGGGTAGCACTCCACTGAAAGAGGCCTTGAATCAGGTCCAGAATGACTACATGGAGCAACTGCCTTACAAGCATGCCTCGCTCATCGATATTCAGCACGCTTTGAAGCTATCGGAGACTTTGTTCAACACTGGAATCTCTTTTAGGAAGCTCCCGAGCTTCAAGAATTCGCCCAGAGAAGCAATCGAGTTCGAAGAGCTTGGATCGATTTATGACCCAGCGGAATTTCCAGTTTTTATCAATGTTGAAGTCGCAGACGATGAAGTTCGTTTGGACTTGAATTACTGGACAACGGCCTTGTCGGATGGTCAAGCACAGAGTGTCGCTCGTACTTTCCTCAAGCACCTGGAAAACATCGTTTATTTCCAGGACAAGGAGATAAGTCTCTTGAACGGGATGAGTGATTGGGCCGAGAACCAAATCGCAAGGTGGAATGTTAGCGTTCCAGAGAGACTTGATCAGTCTATCCACGAAATCCTTGACGAGAAGGCCAAGCTGCAACCGAATGCTCTAGCACTTGTGGATGGAGAGGGCAGTCTTACATACACCAAGATCAATGAAATGTCTTCGATCCTAGCGACTTATTTGATCAAGCTTGGTGTGAGCGCTGGGGCCTTGGTTCCGATCGATTTTGCCAACTCGAGTTGGCAAATTGTCTCCGTGTTGGCGGTGCTTAAAGCAGGTGGACTCTGTGTCCCAATGAGTGGAGGTTGGATACAGAACACCGATCAATGGCTTATCGACAATGGAGTGCAAGTTGCTCTTGCAACTCCCACCAGGGCACATGTTCTCGAGGGTACTATCCCATATGTTATCCTTGTGGGAGCCTCTCTCTTCAAATATCTCCCAAGCTTGGACGGGGAGTTCCAGTTCTCTATGGACCCGTCAAATGAAGCCTATGTGGTTTCCACTTCGGGAGAAAGTTCGACGCCTCGACCTGTTGTCCTCACCCACCGGACTATCCTCGCGAGAGCAAAGGCCTTTGCTTCAGCGCTTGGCATAGATGAGAAGACACGGTACCTCCAATTTTCTGCATACACATCTGGCATGTTCATCGAGGAGATCTTTGGTGTACTTCTGCGCGGTGGATCTCTTTGTATTCCATCAGACAACTCTCGCGAGAACCTTTCAGCATCGATCAACGCATTGCACGTAAATTGCATTAGCCTAACTCCGTCACTCGCTTCCTACTTGCAACCATCGGATGTTCCAGAGGTTAAAACTCTGGCGTTGTTCGGAGAAGCTCCGCTAAAAAGGTTGACTGAAACCTGGTCTCCGAAAGTTCAGCTGCATACCTTCTACGGAACAGCCGAGAGCTCTTCAGTTTCCATCCACAAATCGATTACCGATGTTTCAATGAATGAGGTGCTGATTGGAGCAAGCAATGGTTGCTTGGCTTGGATTGTTGACCCCAGTGATCATGAGGCTCTGGTTCCTATAGGATGCACTGGTGAGCTCGTGCTAGAGGGACCTGTTGTTGCCGAAGGTTACTTGAATGAAGAGGAGAATTCAGCAGGAAACTTTATCGTGGATCCTCAATGGCTTATCGCTCTGCAACAGAGCGCCGGAAACTGCGACGACGAGACCCCTGACCAGGCAAAAGCGCCCCGGCTGATGTTCAAGACGGGGGATTTGGCTCGTTACAACTCGGACGGGTCGCTTGTTTTCATGGGAAGAAAGTCAAAGGAGATTGGATCACCGTCTCAGGCGCATATGTGGCAGATGGAACAGCACATCAACGCATTCTTTCCACCTGAGTACCGTTGCGTCGTGGATAAGCTCGAGGACGAGCAGGAATCTCCTAATTGCCCAGCTGTCTTCGTGCTTCCCATGAACGACAACGGTACCGTCCTTGAAGATAGCCTTGCATTGATTTCTGGAGCGTCTCCTCAGTTCCACGATATTGTCGCCAAGCTTCATACCCATCTCTCACAGTCTTTGCCTTCGAATCAGGTTCCGAACTTTTACTTCCCAGTTTCTCAAACACCCTTGAACCGAATCGGCAAACTTGATCGTCAATTACTGAGGATCGCTACGCAGAATATCTCCGATGAAGCTCGACTAGAATTCAATTTCAACAAATTCAATGAGTTTTGGCGAAGCACACTAGCCAACTCGGTGCTTAGCCAATTTCCATCGCCTTCCACTCGCTCACAGACTTCTGCTAGCAAAACCAGCCAGGCGAATGCATCTTGGTCACAGACTGCAAAATTCAACTCTGGGTCGAAGGCCACTATCCTCGCAGCATGGGCACTGACTGTCTACGGTTATACTTCTGAGGATGTTTGCTTTGGAGAATTGCTCCTGAATCAGGACAAGAGTGCGATAATAGTTCCTCGGCGGTTTATTGTCAACGAAGCAACCGTCATCGGGAATTTCCTGAATACTGCACAGCAATGTCTAATCGCAGCAGAGCCTTTCCAAAAAGGAGGACTTCGGCGAATCCGCAAACTCAACGGGGACACCGCGCGCGCATCCAACTTTAGAAACCTGGTTTTGGTTTTGAACAACTGTGGAGGACAACCGAGTTTCCAAGAGCACTTCAAAGATAGCTCAGCGCTGAACGATGCGTCTCATTCTTATCCTCTGGTACTGTGTATCACTGTTGGGGAAGAGGGTATTGAATGCAGCTATCGGTTTGATCAAGAGACAGTCTCTGCTGCCCAAGTCGATCGAATAATGGCTCGATTTGGGGATTATTTCAACGTCCTGAACTCGGAATCCAAGAAGCAAGACTCAATCAGTTCAATGGAGATCCATGATGAGCAAAATGCTTATTCCATCACCGCAGATATGGATTACTGGAAGGAATATCTGTCCGATGTTGAACCATGCATTTTCCATGCTCTGCCCTCAAGGACGCATCGGGATGGCTTCGGATCCACCGAACTGAATATTTCCTCTACATCCGATCTGCGTGCCTTCTGTCAAGATGCTAAAGTGGACACCAATGTATTCCTTCAAGTCGTTTGGGGCCTGGTTTTGAGATCTTTCACAGGCCTGCAGGATGTCTGCTTCGGGTACAGCACCACCCAACAGTCTGACTCTGCAATAGTTATGACTTGCAGGCTACGGCTTATGGACAATGTCAAGCTTGAAGAGGCTGTCCAGTCAAGACAGCAAGAATTCAAGCAGATGCTGCGTCATTCTCTCCCTTTGAGTGAGGTCCAGCAGGAACTCGCAATTGACGGCACCGCTCTTTTCAACACGGTCTTTAGCTCAAACGAAACAGGTTTGGTCTCCAATGGAACGTTCGACTCGGGTGATTACATGATTTCCATTCACGCAGCAGTCACAGGATTGGCGGGGAAGGTGCTCTTCACGTATCAAAAAAACGCGTTATCAGATGACAGCATCGCCAACATCGTTGATTGTTTCGGCCAAATTCTTGATTCTATGATCAGTCTTGGCAAAAATGGCGCCGTTGGTGAGGTTCAATTTTTCAACAATGCTTCGTGCCAGAAACTTCTTGAATGGAATTCCACACTGTCCGAGCGACCCGACAAATGTGCACACGAGATCATTGGTCAGCAAGCTCTAATGCGCCCATCAAAAATAGCTATCTGCTCTTGGGATGGGGATTTCAGCTACGCCGAGATTGATGACTTGTCCAACAGGCTTGCCAGCCACCTGAGAGGCCTGGGTGTCAAGCCTGAGGTATTTGTGGCAATGTGTTTTGAGAAGTCAGCCTGGGCTATCATAGCGCAACTGGCTGTCCACAAAGCAGGAGGAGCATTCGCGTCTATGGATCCTAGCCACCCGGAAAGCCGACTCAAGGGCTTGGTTAATGACATTGGTGCCAAGATTATCCTGTGCTCCTCCAAGTACCTGGACAAAGCCTCCAAGATTTGCGGCACGCCATTTGCCGTTTGCGAAGAAAGCATTAGGCAGCTTCCGAATCCCACCCCTCTTGATCCAGCCTTAAGCCCGACTGTCGACAATGCAGCATATGTTATCTTCACCTCTGGAACGACAGGAAAGCCGAAGGTGACAGTGCTTGAGCATGTTGGACTTGCCTTAGGCTGTACTGCATTCGCCAAGCCGCTGAACTTCAGCACAGACACTCGCGTGCTCCAATTTTCGAACTTCACCTTCGATATCAGCATCCTCGAGACAATTGTTGTCCTCATGGTTGGCGGCTGCATCTGTATGCCATCTGATGAGGAACGACTAAATGACCTGCCCGGAATGATACGGAGAACACAAGCCAACACCACATGTTGCACTCCATCCATCATCAACACATTAGATCCCAAGACTGTTCCTGGACTGACCACAATTGCTTGCGGTGGAGAGAAAATGATGGAAAGTCATATTGAACGCTGGGCGGACAGATGTGTCATCAATGCCTATGGGCCCTCGGAAGCAACTATCGTCGTCACATCGAGCATGAAGATCAACCAAGAGGGAAAGCGTCTCGATGTCGAGGGCAGTTCAATCGGTACTGCTATGTCGGGTAGAACGTGGATCGTTGACCCGCATAATCATCGCAAACTTGTCCCGGTCGGTGCCATCGGAGAGCTTGTCCTAGAAGGCTGCAACATTGCCCGAGGATATCTCAACAACGAGCAAAAGACGAAACAAGTTTTCATCCGTGATCCTGAATGGACCAAGCATGAGGGTTTGAAGAGTATTCTTGAGAGAAGGGATCGCATGTATCTCTCTGGAGACCTTGTTTATTACAGTCCCGATGGCTCGATCCAGTTCATCTCCCGCAAGGACACTCAGATCAAGCTTAATGGTGTCCGCATTGAAGTGGAAGAGATTGAGCAACAGTGTATCTCGTATCTGCCTCCAGATACCCAGGTGGCTGTTGACATCATCAATCCAAAGGAGAAGACGATGGCAAAGTGCCTGGGAGCCTTTTTCACCATCGAGGAACAAAATTTCGAGCCGAGCACAGCTTCCCAGCTCTTGTTGCCTATGACTGAGAAAATTACTGAGACTGTGAAAGCCCTTCAGGCCTCTTTGCGAGAATCTCTGCCATTGGCTATGATGCCGAAGCTTTTCTTTCCATTGCGACGCTTGCCCTTCTCTTCGACAGGCAAACTCGATCGCAAAGGTCTCCGTACGATAATTGAATCCATGTCCAAGGAACAATTTCAAAGTTATACCAGCATCAATGGGGGTACTAAGCAAGTTGCTCAAGGTGGAGTTGCCGGGGAACTTCAGGGTCTTTGGGAAAAGGCCCTTGGTCTTGCACCGGGCTCTGTTGGCGCCGAAGATAGCTTTTTCGGGCTTGGTGGTGACTCTTTCTCGGCCATGAAACTTGTTGGTGCTGCGCATTCTCGTGGAATCTCACTCACCGTGGCCGACATTTATGCCAACCCCATTCTGCTGGATATGGCAAAATGCTGTGGAATATCAGAAAAGGAGACAGTCGAGACTAATGTGCAGCCTTTCAGTCTGTTATCTGCTTCGGTTTCTCGCGAGGAGATCCTGGCGGACGTTTCTGATCAATCTTCTGTCCCGCAAAAGTTGATATCCGATATCTATCCCTGCAGTCCGGTGCAAGAGGGTCTTCTTACACTGTCTATCAAGCAACAGGGGGCATACATTGCCCAGCCTGTCTTTGAACTCGCCGAAGGTCTCGATATCGAGCAGTTCAAGGCGGCCTGGCAAGAGACCGTGAACCAACTGGATATCCTTCGAACGCGTATTGTCTACACAGACTCCATGGGTTTCATCCAAGCAGTGATCAAGAAAGAAACGATCTCTTGGTCCACTGCAGACACAGTTGAAGAAGTTCTAGATGGCACTTTTGGATTGTCGAACCACAACGGAGGCCAGCTGGCCAGTTATGCAATTGTTCAACCTCAGGCCTCCTCGACACGCTACTTTGTGTGGACCATTCATCACGCACTTTATGATGGATGGAGCGTGCCGCTGATTCTTCGAAAAGTAGAGGAGGTCTATTCAAAGGCGTCGAGCAAGACGACAACGCTCCCTTACAAGAACTTCATCAGCTATCTTGAGGATAGAGACATGTCTAAGTCGGATGAGTTCTGGAAATCTCAACTTTCAAATCTCTCTTGCTCTCCGTTCCCGCAAAACAAGTCAACTTCACCAGATGCTGTGCGGGTGGGTAACCGACACCACAGCAACATTGGAATCTCCCGATCCCAAAACCTTTTGGGATTGACGCTCCCTGAGATCATTCGTGCTGCCTGGGCCATTGTGGTATCTGTTCACACTAGCTCCGACGATGTCTGCTTTGGTGAGACTTTAATGGGCAGAAACATTAGCTTTGCAGGCGTTACAGATATTGCCGGACCCGTTCTTACTACAGTGCCAACGCGTGTTCAAGTCGATACCGATACTTCGATCACTCAATACCTGCAGAGGGTTCGCGAATTGACCACCGTGACCATTCCGCATCAGCATTCCGGACTGCAGCGCATTCGCAAGCTCAGTAGTGATGCGTCGGTCGCTTGCGACTTTCAGAATCTTCTGGTAATTCAATCAGAGGAAGGAGCTCTTGACAGCTCTATCTGGGCTTCTGGAAATGGACAAACCAGCGGAGACTTCTTTACCCATCCACTCACTGTTGAGTGCAAGATCAATGAATCTGGTCTGGATATAACACTTCATCATGACGAGGTTGTCCTGGACAGCTGGCTGGCTGAAAGGCTTATTCACCAATTCAGTTACGTTCTCGAGCAGTTGCTTGCGGTTTCCAACGATGATACTCGCAAAGTTGGTGACCTTGAGCTGCTCAGCGCCTTTGACAAAAAAGATATCTCTCTATGGAATCAGAGAGACGTCCCTGCCGTTGAAAGATGTGTCCACGACATCATCAAAGAAAATTGCTCAGCCCAACCGAAAGCCAAGGCCGTTCACGCTTGGGACGGTGAGCTTTCCTACAAGGAACTGCATGATCTTGCGTCCTCGTTTGCGAACTACCTTAGCTCTCGTGGAGTTGGACCGGAGACGTTGGTGCCTATCTGCATGGACAAATCCCTTTGGGTTATTGTTTCTATCCTTGGTGTTCTCATTGCTGGTGGAGCCTATGTCCCATTGGACCCATCTCACCCGACGTCAAGACACAGTGAAATCATTGAAGAAGTCCACGCCCGTGTCATCCTCTGCTCTCCTCAATACCGCAAGCGCTACGCAGGTCTCGTTAAGACTATCATACCTGTTAGCAAGGAGACAATAAGAGCCTATGGTGCCTTGACAACTGAGACGCAAAGCCCTCAAACAGCTCAGCCATCAAATATGGCCGTTTCAATTTTCACGTCTGGCAGTACAGGTCGACCCAAGGGAATCATTCTTGATCATCGGGCGCTTGCCAGTAGCGGCCTGGCTTTTGGCCCTGTGGTGGAAATGAATCAAAATTCCCGATCCTTCCAGTTTGCGTCTCTTGCATTTGATGCGGCAATCATGGAAACCCTCGTGACTTTGATGCATGGTGGTTGTATATGCATCCCCAGCGAAGAGGAGCGTTTGAACGATGTTGTCGGCGCCATTCAGCGTATGGGCGTGAACTGGACTTTCTTGACTCCTTCTATCGCTAGTATCATCGAACCTTCAACGGTCCCAACGCTGGAGGTCCTTGTATGCGGTGGAGAAAAACTATCACGAGAAGTGATAAACAAATGGGCTCACTGTATCAAACTCATGAATGGATACGGTCCGACAGAAACCACCATTTTCGCTGTGATCAACCCTGAGGTTTCTCCCAACACGGATGCCGCTTGCATTGGCAACGGTATCCCCTGCACTCTAACTTGGATTGTGGATCCTGAGAACCATGATCGACTCTCTCCCTTAGGTACCATTGGCGAGTTGGCGCTGGAGGGTCCTGCACTTGCAAGAGAATATCTCCGAAACCCCGAAAAGACAACAGAGGCCTTTGTCACAGAACCAGCTTGGATGAAGAGCTTTGCGAACTCGCTGCCGTCGCCTCGGAGAATCTACAAAACTGGTGATCTTGTCAAATACAATCCAGATGGATCAATTTTGTGCATTGGTCGCAAAGATCACCAAGTCAAGCTTCACGGGCAGCGCATGGAACTTGGAGAGATTGAACATCGCCTGCATGAGGACCCGCGAATTCGTCACGCCATCGTGATTATGCCCGGGAAGGGACTCCTTCGGCAGAGACTGGTCACTATCATGTCCATGGAATCACTCAATGTCGACAAGAGCATTATGTCGGATGAGACATGCGAACTTGTCAACCAGACTACTATGGAGCGTGTCTTACCTGAACTTGTTGACATTCAAAAGAACCTCGAGACGCAGCTACCCATATACATGGTTCCTCAGACGTGGGCCGTGATCAAGAAACTGCCAATGCTTGTTTCCGGAAAGCTAGACAGAAAACGGATTACAAGCTGGATTGAGAATATTGACGAGCGCACCTATGGCCGGATTATGCAAGATTACGACGACATCAAGCGAGGTGATGTTGAACCCGAAGAGGAAGAAGAAGAAGAAGACCAGGGAGCCTTCCTGAATGCTCTCCGTGATATTTTCAGCCAGGTGCTTAACATTCCTTCTCACAAGGTCGATCTCAACCGTTCCTTCGTCAGTCTAGGTGAGCAATACTCCTTACACATATACCAACCTGCAAAACGATATGAACTAACATGATTATACAGGTGGAGACAGTATTACGGGAATGGCCGTCGTTTCCAAGGCTCGTAAGCAAGGAATTGAAGTCACATTGCACAGTGTGCTTCAGAGCAAGTCTATAACCGAGCTTGCTGCTGCATCTGGTGTGAAGACAAACACCATCCAGCGCAAGGAGAAGTCCGGTGAATTGTTCGACCTGTCTCCTATTCAAACGCTGTATTTCGAATCGGCCACTGCGTTTGATGGTAATGCTCGCTTCAACCAGAGCATGACGGTTCGCATCACCCAAAGGATCAAGCCTGAAAACTTGGAGCAAGCGATCAAAGCAATTATCGAACGTCATTCCATGTTCAGGGCCCGCTTCATCAAGTCGCGGGGAGGAAAGTGGCAGCAGAAGATCAAAGATGTCAGTGGATTCCACCCAATTTGTGCAGCGAAGCAAAGACTAACCTACGCTTACAGGATGTTGACAGTTCCTACCGGTTCCGCATTCACGCGGTCAATACTCCGAAGACAGTGCTCCCCATTATCGGAGAAAGCCAGCAGAGCCTAGATATTGAAAATGGACCAATCTTTGCTGCCGATCTGTTTGAGGTTCAAGGTCACCAGCAGATCTTGTTTCTTACAGCCAATCATCTGTGTGTGGACATGGTCTCATGGCGCATTGTTCTGCAGGACATAGAAGAGTTCCTCGAATCTGGGTCTCTTTCTTCTGAAAAGGCACTCTCATTCCAAAGCTGGTGTGAAGTGCAAATGGAGACCAGCAAGACTGAAGTCCGCAGTATTGAGCTTCCTTTCGAGGTTGAGACGCCCAACCTCAGATACTGGGGGATGGAGAATGCAGAAAACGTATACGGCAATGTCAAGATGGAGTCTTTCACGTTGAGTGAAGATGAGACTGCATTCGTCCTAGAGCATGGTCAACACATTCTCCGGGCTGAGGCCATTGATGTTGTGCTTGCTACTGTCATCCATGCCTTCCGTCAAGTTTTTGTTGATCGAGATATCCCGACGATTTACAATGAAGGCCATGGCCGCGACGTGGAAGACTCTAGTGTCGACCTTTCGAGGACAGTCGGTTGGTTCACAACTATCTGCCCCCTGCGCGTCAACAAGGGCTCAGGTAATTATAATTTGGACTCCCCTGATATGAGCTGGTGCTAACATTGGAATAGACATCATGGAGACCTTGAAATATGTCAAGGACACAAGACGCCAGGTCACCACTGATGGCCAAGCTTATTTCGCGCAGAATATGCTTCACCAGACTGGCGCTACGGAGTTCCCCGTTCCGTTCGAGATCATTTTCAATTATCTCGGTCAGCTTCAGCAGCTGGAACGCGACGACTCCCTGTTCCAGCTTTTCGGCACTACGTTCGACAGTGAGAGACTCGAAGTGGCGGGAGACATGGGTCAGAAAACGCCTCGGTTTGCCCTTCTGGAAGTGTCAGCAATCATTGTCAAGGAAAAGCTTCATGTCTCTTTCAACTACAACCGACAGATGAAGCATGAAAGCCAGATTCTGGAGTGGATGACTGAGTGCAAGAGAATCCTCGAAGAAGACTTCCTCTATTACAAAGATCGCGTCCCCGAGCCCACCCTCACCGATTACCCCTTGCTCAATATGACATACGATGGGCTACGAAGCCTGGTCAAAGGCACTATCCCGAGCGTCGGAATGAGCTGGGATGAGGTCGAAGACGTCTACCCTTGCTCTCCTGTTCAGGAAGGCATTCTGCTCAGTCAACTCCGTGATCCGCAGAAATACATGTTCCATGTAGTCTTCGAGGTTCGTCCTTATGACCAGAGGAACAAGGTCGACCCGGCCCAGCTTCGAAAGGCTTGGATGATGGTGGTCAATCGTCACCAGGTTCTGAGAACCTTGTTTGTTGACAGCAACTCCAAGGGCGGTTCTTTCGATCAACTTGTCATCAAATCGGTTGGGGATGAGATTGTTGAATTCCAATGTGAGGATGATGTAGCACTCAAGACAATTGATAACATCAAACTGCGCGATATCAACGATAAGAGATCTTCGAAACTACCTCAACAGCTCACAATCTGCCAAACAACCTCCGGTCGTGTCTTCATGAAGCTCGAGATGAACCATGCCATCATTGATGGTGGATCCGTTGCTATCATCTTGAGAGATCTTGCATTGGCATATAACAACATTCTCGCCTCAGCATCAGGACCACGTTTCAGCGAGTACATCAAGTACGCACGAAAGCAAGACCAAAAAGAAGCGTTGACTTACTGGATGAAATACCTGTCTGGAGTGCGACCTTGCCATCTGTCGGTTTCCGCCGAGACAAAAGACGACCGTCAACTAGGCTCTCTGATGATGGATTTCAACCGCTTCCCTGAGCTACAGCAATTCTGCGAGAAACACTCTGTCACCCTCGCAAGCCTGACCATGACTGCCTGGGCGATTGTTCTCCGGAAGTTCACAAGATCCAATGATGTCTCGTTCGGATACCCATCTGCTGGTCGCGATTCACCGGTTCCTGGAATCCAAGACGCGGTTGGAATTTTCATCAACATGTTGTGCTGCCGAGTCAACTTTGCGGTCAACCACACCCTTCTTGACGTCTCGAAGATGGTCCAGGAAAACCACATCAAGAGCATCCCACATCAAAACTGTTCACTTGCGAAGATCCAGCATGAACTTGGTCGTCAAGGTCAAGCGCTTTTCAACACGACCATCTCTATTCAGAATCACTCTGAGTCCAAGGTTGTCAAAAAGGATATGATCTCTTTTGACACTCAGTATGCGTTCGATCCAACTGAGGTAAGATTCCCCCATCTTTCAAACTAAGATAATTGGACCAGAAACTGACTGTTATCTAGTACCCTGTGACAGTGAATGTTGAGACTGCCAGGGGTCACGAGGGCATCTTGCTCAGATTCTGGACAGACGCTGTGTCCGAAAATCGAGCAAAGGACCTGACCGATTCCATTGCTAAAGTGTTCACCTGCTTCGTTGAGGAGCCATCCCGCCTGGTTTCTGAGCTGGCTCTCGCCGGTGAGCCATTGCACATTCATGACCATCCCCCGGGGGGTCCTGCTCTGTCGGACTTGCAACTACTTGATCACGATTATCTTCAGAAGTTGATTGATCAGCGGGTAAATGAGGCCATTAGCCAGATGATCAAGACAGGCAAGCTTGTTCTCGCCCAACCTGATGGCCAGGATAAGAACCAGTCCGACGAGTATCAGCTCAAAGGCTTGGATTCTCCCTTCCAAGCGGATGACGCCCGGAAAATGGCTCTCTCGGACTCCGTCCCGACTCTAATGGGCGACAAGGAAACAAGCGAGCTTGAGGGTCGCCTTCGCAAGCTCTGGAACACAGCCCTCGGGCGGTCCGAAACCGCCGTCAAGCACCAGGACAGCTTTTTTAAGCTTGGTGGCGATAGTATAACAGCCATGAAAATGGTCGGAGTTGCCCGCGAGGAGGGATTGGTTTTGACTGTGGCCGATGTCTTCAACAATCCCGTATTCGGAGATATGCTGGCAATTGTCAGCGAAAGAGCCAGTCCGGCTTCTTCAAGCACTAGCACACCACCCATGACGCCTGAAAACGAGAGAGCTATCGAGACTCCGTTCATTCTCTCTAGACCTGACACGCCAAACGAGCTCACGGTCCTGAGATCATCAGAGGTCGATTCCGCCTCCCTTCGAGCGGGGATCAGTCCCAAAATTGGCGTCTTCCGAGGGGGTATCGCGGACGTTCTGCCGGTGACAGACTTCCAGGCCCTTTCCTTGACTGCGAGTCTATTCAAATCAAGGTGGATGCTGAATTACTTCTTCCTTGATGGCCAAGGTCCACTGGATATCCGAAGACTCAGAGAAAGTTTCCTGCGTGCTGTCGATGCGTTCGACATACTGCGCACGGTTTTCGTGTGTTTCCATGGCCAGTTCTTCCAGGTCATCTTGCGCAAGGTCCGGCCGGAAATCATCGTATGCGAAACCGACAAGAGCTTGGATGATTATACCGAGTCCCTGCAGCAGCAAGACCGCGCGCAGATTCCCCGTCAAGGGGAGCAGTATGTGCAGTTCTACATTGTGAAGAAGAAGATGAGTGACCAGCACCGCATTCTGATTCGCATGCACCATGCCCAATTTGATGGTGTATGCCTTCCGAGAATTATGTCTGCCATTAAAATGGGATATGAAGGTAGCCCTATTCCTCCCACCCCATCCTACTCGAACTACATGCGGGTTCTTCCTGTGTCGATCACTCCGGAACACTATCAACACTGGAGGACACTTCTCAAGGGATCCCAAATGACAGAGGTCATCCGACGTGAAGCTCCCAACAACTTCCAGCATATTGGCGGCTTCACCGAGCAAAAGAAAACCATCCACTTCCCGCCAACGGTCCTTGAGAATGTCACCATCGCAACTGTCATGCAATCCGCATGGGCCATGACACTGGCCAAGCTCTCCGCCCATGCAGACATCGTCTTTGGTCTTACCATCAGCGGCAGGAATGCCACCATTCCGGGCATCGAAGCCACTGTCGGACCTTGTCTCAACATGATCCCCGTCCGAGTCAAGTTTGGCGAGCACTGGACTGGCCTGGATCTTTTCCGCTACCTCCAGGACCAGCAGGTCGCCAACATGCCCTACGAGTCCCTGGGCTTCCGGGAGATCATCCGGCACTGCACCGACTGGTCTGACTCCACCTACTTCACGACCTCTGTTTTCCACCAGAACGTCGAATACGAGGGCCAGATGCAGCTGGACGACAACCACTACCGCATGGGCGGCGTTGGCGTCATTGACAATTTCAACGACCTCACCCTCTTCTCCAAAGGCTTCCCCAACGAGCAGACGCTCGACATTTCCCTCGGATATTCTGTCAAGGGTCCCATACAAGCCCCCTTCGCCACTCAAGTCCTGGAAATGGTCTGCGAGACAGTGCAAAGTCTCATCGCCAACCCTAACATCCCCCTCCCCTCCCCTTCCACTCTCCGCTCCCTCTCCTGCCAAGTTGTCAACGACCTGCCCCGTCCCTCCGACGAACACTTCCTCTCCTCCCACCTCAACACCCGCAGCATCTCCGAGATCCTCGTGCATTCAGACCTCCTCACTCAGACCTGGCATCAAGTCCTCTCTTCCAACAGCAACAACGTGCCTCGAACCGGACGCACAGAGAGAGACCAAACCCGCTACCAGCTCAACTCCTCCTTCTTCGAACTCGGCGGTGACATCCTCAGCATGGCGCAGGTCGTCTGGTTGCTCGAGCAAGAGGGTCACCAGGTCCGACTGGAAGATCTCCTCGAGCATCCGACTTTCCTCGGCCAATTGGCTGTTCTGGCTCTCCATCACAACAACAACACAGACAGACACGACGAAGATGCTCTGAGGAATGACAGCAACAACAATGTCACCGCTCCGTCAACTGAGCTTATCACGTCCTCGCCTCCCCCTGGCACAGCATCGGGGTCTGAGTCCTCCAAGGCGTTGGCCAAGAAGGGATCGTGGAATCCACTCGGCAGGGCTTTTACTTTGGCTCGAAGATTCACGAGGTGGGGTTCGGGGTCTGTGTCGTCGAAGAATTAAGATCGCCTCCATTGCTCAACGCTTTCGTCCGCTCTGTTTGGGTTTTTATTATTGTCTATCTTTTGGTTTGGTTTTGGTCTTTCTGTTTGGATTTGACCTTTGAAAATTGATTTACTTGCGTATATATATGCATGCTTATTGATCGGTTTCTTATGTTTTGTCCTGGTTTGTCTTGATTTGGTTTGATATGACAGCGTCCTGCCTTCTTGGTTTCCTATGTTCGTATAATATCTGTGACCACGCACATTCGCCTGTCATTTATGGTTTACTTTGTTTTGTCGTTTGCTAGAATCGATTTGTCTTTGTATATTCTTTCGATAGATTCCATATTTATATTATATCTGTTCTTGTTCATTAATTTCCATCGGTATTTGCCTTGAGGACCCTAAGTTCGATCGATTAATGCATGGATGCTATAAACTAAATTATAAGTCTGATTTGGATCATTTGCGATTCCAGCATGTAAGAATCAAACATTTGTGTTGTATATCTTATCTTTCAAAAGGTTCCATTCATCCAAGCATTGTATTCATCATCTTGATTAAACTTTTTTGTAACAAAAAATCAAAACATAATTATCGCTGATGGTGGTATCTCAAAGACATAGTTAGTCTCGCTCTCTTTCTTTCTCACTCTCTTTCCTCTTTTTCATGAGCATTATATGGGTGATAGAACGACCTTTTTCTTGATGTATTTTTTCTTTCCTCCATTTCATTCCGGTGTCAAATAAGTGAAGACGGGAAAACTCTAGTCAACCTCGCTGACTACACTTCACCAATACCTAACAAATTATATGTAGATTAAAGAAAAGAAAAAGAAAAGGCAAATTAATACCCATAAACTGACCCTCTCGACCACTTCCCCCTCGCGCGGATCCTCTTCCCAAAAATATAAAACAGATACGGGATCGGGATTAACGCGATGGCCACGAAGCCCAATACACTGGATGCCCAATCGACGCCCATCTCACGGAACATGATGTGCGCGAAGAGCGGGAAACAGCCAGCGAAGAGACTGCGCAGAAAGGTATTCGCGGCGACGGCGCTGGCGGCGACTTTCTGGAATGTGTCGATGAGGTAGTTCAGGGCTGCTTGGAAGATGGTGAAGAAGCCGAAACCCATCAGGACGGCGCCGATGAGGGGTCCGATCCAGTGGATCTTGGGGTCGCCCGTCCAGCCGAAGATGAAGAGGCCTGCGGCGAAGAGGATGGACCCGATCATCATGGGGGGTAGGCGGGCTTCGGGGACGGGGAAGTCGTTGTTGGCGCGGAGGCGTTTGATGTAGAATTTTTGGTTGAGGAGGTTCACGGCTGCGGCGAAGAAGATGCCGACGAGGTAGGCGAGGAAGGGGAGGGCGCCGACGAGTTGGTTCCAGCCGCGCACTTCTTGGAATTCGACCGGGAAGGCGGCGAGACTGAGGTAGATGATACCGTAGACGAAGGAGGCGTAGAGTGCCACGAGGAAGCAGATGGGTGTGGTGAGGAGGGCGAAGGGTCGGATGAGGTATTTGTTGCCAAGCTCTTTGAAGGTCACGTCCCATTCTTCGTGGCGCGCGTGGAGCGCCCAGTTGCCTGTGTCGAAGCGGAGGCGTTGTGCTTTGTAGACTAGGAGGACTGGTGGGTAGCTTTCGTCGAGGAAGAGGACGTCCATGACGAGGAAGAAGACCATCATGATGCCGGTTAACTAGGGGGGGGAGGGGGTTAGTCGGGATGTTCTGGTGGAGGGTTCGCTTCTAACGAAAGGGTCTGGTCTCACATATTCCGTCCATCTCCATCCAAGGTAGCTTTGGCAAATGGCACCGCCAGCAATAGGACCTAGCACCGGGCCTCCGACAACGGCCATGGCATATCCTACGATGGCCGCGCCTCGTTGTTCGGCTGTCCAGATATCGCTCAAGACGCCACCGGTGTTGGTGATCGGCGCGGAGCCAAAGAACCCGGCGAAGAATCGAGTGAGCATCACTGTTTGCAGGTCTTTGGCCGCAGCCGTACCAAAGGAGAAACAAGCGGCAATGAAATATGGTAACAAGACCGCAGGTTTACGCCCGTAAACTTCGGATAGCGGAGCCCAGACGAGAGGACCCAGACCTGAGAAAGCGTTAGTATATGCGAAAGAACCAGATGGTAAGTAGCAACCACCGCTCAGGACCAGCAGAACATACCGAAGCCAAAGAGTAGCAAAGAGGTACCGAGCGTCCCAACTTCTTCGCCGACTCCAAACTCCGAGTCAACTTGCTTCGTACCAGTCGAGTAACTAAGCCCGAGTCAGTCCTTCTATCATAACCACCAAAACCGTAGGATTCAGCATACATGGAACTCGCCCAGGTAGCACCCATCGTCGTCAGACCATATAGCAAGGTAGTTATACATTTCTTCTGAAACCGCCAATTGATAGGCTTATAGGGATCATCCGGACCATCAAAGTCCACGATGACATCACTCGTGGTTTTAGTATGCGAGAGCGGATGGGTAAAGGGCGCATCCTGACCGGGCTCTCGACTCCGAATCCTTGAGATCACCGAGTGCGCGCGATTCTCAAACACCGACAGACCTGACGCGGCAGTTGTCTGCTTTTCCAACGTTCCGTTTTGATGCGGATCATCGCGCGTCACTTGTTGCTCTAAGGAATCAATGCCGGAGGATGAAGTTCGCGACGATCGATCTGTTTCTGCTCGCGTCATGACGATAAGGCATGAATCGCCACGCTTGATAAGAGAAATTTACAAAGTTCGCGAGGTCAAAACCCCCGAGTTGATAGTCGTCGGAGTAATAAAAAAAAATAGACTTTCAAATCCAATATAGGATTTCTGACATTTGACAGCAAAGGCCAATGTCGATCAAGGCGATCTTCCAAAAAAGACAGCAACAATTGAAGATTAAAAATTAGTTAGGTATGGCCCGACGTCATCACAATTGGGAAGAGGAGAGGATAAGTCTGGGCATTTCCCAAAACAATTTGACAGGAACCATAGCTTATAAGGCAAGATCCTTTCTTAAACCAAAGAGAAAAAAAAAAATATGCTTTACCCCAGGGCCGATCCATGGCGGACAGGCAAGCCGACTTAGCCGGACCAGGTCCGTTATAGGCGCTGAGAGGCCATCGGACGTCCGATAACTAGTCCGAAGGAAGGCATTGGGCATTCGCTCGTGTGTGGATTGTGGAGACAACTGCAAGCGGTGGAGGATGGACTCGTCAGTCTAAGACTAAAAGACCACTAGAAAGACAGATTAATTAAGAATCAACTCATCGGTTTCCAGGATCTGCCATTTCTAATCCTGTCCCTCCGCTCTCTTATCTTCTGTTCATCTGCAGATTGGACAATCTCTTCCTGACTGCTGTGGCCAAGACGCGGGAGGTAGCCGTTGCAGTCGGGCAAAATCCGCCCGGAATATTCTCCGAGGCCCAAAGCTCCCAAAAGTTCCCCGTTGGAGACTTGGAGTGGCGCCTCGGCGACTGAACGATCGCCACTACTGGCTGGTCGGAGATAATTACTGGAACTTGTACCCCGGTGGGTTCTTGGGGGTGGGGATGGGTCGAGGGCAAGCTTTTCTTTCATTCGGTTGGAGGTGGATATAGATGGGGAACAAGGTAGTATTTCACTTGCATTGAATGAGTCAATCCTCAATCGCCGATGGTCATGGTCAATAATGATTGATGGTTGATGGACGGTTGATGCCGAAGAGGATGGCAAAAGTACGGAAGAGAGAAATCGGAACCTCCGCCAGGCTGAAAAGCATCACGGGATTCCCGAGTCATTATTAGAGAACGTGACCACAGCTGCATACTTGTAGGTAATGATAGTGCATACAGAAAGCAATGCAATCAATATTTCGTAGATAATATCAGTCAGATAAAATAAATGATAAGTCACAAAATCCAGCCTTTTATGTATGTACCCTCCGTTCCCATTCCCTCTATTCGCCCGGTATCTCATCAAGGTATCAAGTCTTTGACAAGCCATGTATGTGTGCAATCAATCAAGTCTACATGTTTTCATTATACATCGTCAATTCATCAGCTGGTGCTGGAAGAATGCATGTTCTCCCACTTTTGCACCGCCTCCATCGCAGCCGTCACCTTCAGCCCGATCCGGGTATCCAGCTCGTAGCTTTCCCATCGAGACGCCTTCTCGAGATACTCCTTGCACTCGCGCACCTTCTGCTTCTCCAGCGGAGTCGCCGAACTCGCCTCGCCCTTGGTGGTCTCGGCAGGAGGACTTCCCGAGCCGTCGCCGTGGACGGCAATGTAGTTCGGTCGCTCCATCCACATGTTGGCGGCCATCTCAAAGTGCGCGGCAGGTTGCACCCAGTTGTCCTTGAGGTGGCCCGTGAACAGGGTCTTGTCGTGGCTCAGCACCGAGTCCTGGATCAGCTTCCTGGCCTGGTCATGTTTGCGCATCGAGCGCCAGACGGCGGCTCGCAGTAGTTGTAGAATGGCCTTCTCTTCTGGGCCCTCGCGCGACCAGTTCTTCTTGTTGGCGTCGTTTTCGGACCAGGCCAGGTTCTGGAGCGATTCCTCGAGTTGCTCGGTCGTCATGCGACTGTGTCCGTTCCAGAAGAAGATCATCTCCTCGATCGGATCGACCCCCACGGCGTCGACTAGCGGCACCTTCCATTCCTTGGCGCGAGCCTCCCATTTGGCAATCTTTCGTGTAACGAAGATGTCGAACGGCAATTGGCGCGCCATGAACCGCTTCTTCCCTGCCAGCGGAGGCGCCATTCGGTAGTACTCGGTCGCCTTCTCCGCGTGCTTGGCCGCCAGCTCGGCGTCTCCGCTGCTGCTCCGGTATAAAGAGAGGTGCGATGACCCCGCAATATAATAGTACAAGGATCGAGACCAGGAGTTGAGATCCACGCACTAGTTTATTGGTCAGCATATCATCCCCCCTTGGCAATTTCATGAATGGAAGATCAAATACCTCGAGGAATGACTTGGCACAAAGCTCGTGCCGGTGAAGGTACATCGCATTCAAACTCCGTTCGAACACGCGCAAGGCTTCCACCTGCTGCAGCGGACTCTTCTCCTCGCCACAGAGCAGCTCCAACGCCCGCTCAAGATTCTTGTTAGCGCCTTCCATTCGCGATTCTTCGAGGAGCCAAAGTTGACTCTTAGGGAATCGCTGCCGCATCTTTGCGAGGAGGGACTCGAGCCTCTCCTGGGGATATCCCTGGACATCTGCGTCGTCGCCGGGGACTGGATCGGGCATTATGTCGCAGTAACGCACGAAACCGTTGTAGTACCCGAGGATTGCAAACGCAGCGATGGCGCCAATCAAATTATGAAACTTACTGGCCTGCCACAGCATCCTCAGGCCTCGTTCCTTGTCGCCATGGAATCCAATAATTCCGAGTAGCTTGCTAAATGCCGGTGGCACCATCGAGATCAGCAACAGAAGAATACCAAAGCAGAAGTTAGCGCCGGAGTGCACGAAGACGTCGATCTCATTTTTGAAGATGTCGGAATCCGGGTCGTGGCTTAGCATGTCAGCAGGACTCTTGGTCGAAGAAGCGTCCGTTGTCGATTCCTCTTCGCTGGAAACATTGATGTCAGACAATTTCTGCGAGAGTCCCGCAGCCTCGACGGAGGAGTTCGCATCGGGGTTTGCAGATGCGTCCAGACCCGAGGCGCGGCTGGAAGACTGCAAGAGTTCGGTGGGAGTCGTCCCGCCCGACTGGTTCAACTGCATGAACTTCTGCTCCATCTTCAAGATCCCGTCCAGGGTTATATATGCCTTGCGGAGCTTATAGAATCCTTTGATACTCTCCGTGAGACTTTCGTTGAGCACGCCCACCACGGCACTCATCAGCTGTGCCATGGCCTGGCAGAGCGCAAACTCGGTGCCGGGCACATAGATCTGCGAATGGTACGAGTTCGGCGCATGCGAGTTGTGCTGCGCTTTCTGCTGATCATTGTAGGCAGTGTTCTCAGCTGCATTGAGTCGTTCCGACGCTACGGAGAGGGGAGCAAGCAAATCAGTCATCGACCACTCGAGGGAGAAGCCCACATGACGTGAGAAGAGATCCGCGAACCTTGACGCATCACCTCCTGCTCGAAACCTAACGTCGCCCGGATGAATGCGACCACGCCTCTGCCCAGCTAGAAGATCGGAAATTCCCCACGGTCAGTCTCCGAAGCCACCGAAGAGGGCGCAATTCAAATACACACATTGTGAAAGGACGAGACTCCCTCCGAGAGACCATCTTCAGCGCCGTCGACATCGTCATTCAGGATAAGCGTCGCGGCTGTGCTCGGGATCGGTTAGAACGTGACGTCTTGGCCCCCAAAGCGTAGGGCACGCGAGCATTCAGCTTACCCTTCATCGCATCCTCGACTGCGCCCCCACCCACGATGTCAGTCACAACGTCCAAGTTTAATGGAGAGTGAACGGAATACTCACGATCTCGCAATTCAGTCAACGAGTCCAGCGACTGTGTGTTGGCGGCTGGCTTTTTGCCATAGAGCCAGGAACCTACTCGAAGCATATTGCACTCTGAATCACCGGATGACCGTGGTTACAGAGCGAATAGCAAAAGGGGAAATGGAGAGAAGGTTAAAGGAAACGACAGTAAATGGAAAGAGAGATTCGATGTGTATATTAAATCGATCGAATCGATCGAAATTCCTTGGTTTAGAGCGGGAGCCGCAGGGGTCCGAACCCCGAGAGAAAACGGAATGCGAGAAAGACAGCGGTTCCCATCAAGTGCATCACCTGGAGGACGAAGCACCAAGTGAAAGACACGGGAATGAGTGGGTGTGTGAGAGAGGGAGGGAAAAGAATATGAAGAGGAAAGGGATAAATACGAATAAAGGAAACGTCCAGAGGGTATCCGTGGTCCACCGAGTCGGCGAGGCGGAGCATAACCGCACCGGCCGTGAGATACCAGCGAGAGGGCAATACATCATCGAAGTACCAGTAGGGCAGGCCACCGCATCTCGCCCCCTTCAGCCTGTTCCTGGAACACACGAATCGCTCTATTCCTGTGAGGGTCCATCCAGTAGATACAAAGTAGTTAGAAGATAGAATCAACTCTGAAATCCCTACAAATCCCATTTATCCCACACCTTCCGACCCGGCCGACCACGCCTCAGGCCGGCAACCGCCTTTGTCCGCGGGCGGTGAAGCCAGCATCGCCGCCACTTCTCCAGCTCAGGTCAACCGCAAGTCTTCGTCATCAAATATACTTCTCTCAGCTACTCCACCGGCCCTCGTATCTCGCGCTCCTTCTAGCTTACTCCTACCGACTCCTCCAACAACTCGCTCATCCACCCACACACACTTCCCGCCCACTATGTCGAATACAGCGCAGCCCCAAGATAAGGCCGAGCCCTCCCAGCAGCCGCAGCAACAGAAGCCCCCCGTGCTCGAGGAAGACGACGAGTTTGAGGATTTCCCCGTTGAAGGTGAGTCAAAACAGACAGACAGACAGACCGACCCGCGACGTCATCCACACTATCCTCTCGATGTTTCCGGTTCCCCTACCCGTCGACGTTGCTCCCAAACAGCTGTTCGAATCGATTGCGCTGACCCATCTTCGTTCTAGACTGGCCTCAAGAAGAAACCGAGCAAGCGGCCAACGGGGCGAATTCCCATCTGTGGGAGGAAAGCTGGGATGACGACGATGCGGCCGAGGACTTTTCGAAGCAGTTGCAGTACGTGCTTTAGCCTTTATCTTCTCTTGTCTCTATCTCGCTATCGACCTTTGTTTCCACCTGGTCTTGGCTTTCGATACATACCCCGCCTATCATCTCCCCTTTATGAGCATGAGCTTGAGCTTGAGCTGTCGATCTTGCTAGATGCTCATCTACCTCCTTTCTCACCTCTTCTCCTACCTAGCCCACTCATTCTCCAAGGCAGAACAATCATTGCTAACAGCCTTACTCCGCCCAATCAGAGAGGAATTAAAGAAAGTCGAAGCATCTCGTTAAGATACCCGATTGACCGTGTGGGGGCTTATGAAGTCGGGGAAACAAACCAAAAAAAAAAAAAAAGGAAAACCTTGTCTAGTCAAGTCCTGGTCTAGGTAGCTTTTTTATCTCGATGAAAGCGCCCATCGATCGATCAGCAAATCCACTTTATGATGAACCAATTCAACACGATGAATATCCAATATCTGTCAAAGAAACGGGGGTACCTTAGGCTACACCATAGAAACCGAAGTGATTTGGGATGGAAGAGAGAGACAAGGGAAAAGTTTCGGTTGGGTTGATTTGTATCTCTCCGGTGAAGTTGGCGGCAGCTGGTTACCGTATGCTGGCTAGCTGATGTAGCTCCTTCCCTTGAAAGCTGGGTGGAGGAGGATGCAGCATACATACTGGACGGTGCGGTGTGCTGTGTGTTTTTGAGCTGAGTGGGATCTTTCCTCGACCATACATAATTCTACCTACCTTGGTCTTTATTACCACTCTCGCTATCGCTATCTAACACCATGTATGGTTGTGTTTGCAAACCGTGAAATGGACGTCAGAAGTGTAACTGAAAATAGAGCATTTCGCATTTGTCCCTCCGCGGCATACTACACTTTCTATCCTAGACGTATTTACAGTTATACCTATACTCAACTTTCCGACTCGTCATGGGCATGATAGATTACTTCGTGGCGATCTCATAGTTTAGGACCCGTTGCTGTGTTCGCTCAATTATCAGAAACGAGATCATGAAGAAATTGGAATATATTTCAATTTTTTTTAATTAAATTCAATGTCGTACATTACATTCGTCTCAGGGGGTTGCAAATTAATAACAGATCCCGCCATAAAAAACATAAAGGAAATCAAGGCTTTATACATGCCAATTGCATCCAAGAATTTTCATTGGACAATTTTACCCTGTTTCCCAACGAAATATTGGCTAGGTTGTTTTGTTTACTTACTCGACAGGGCAGCAACACCGGGCAGCTCCTTGCCCTCCAACAGCTCCAGAGAGGCACCACCGCCGGTCGAAACGTGGCTGAGCTTCTCCTCGGCGCCGAACTTGGCGGCGACGGTGGCGGTGTCACCACCGCCGATGATGACGATGCTGCCGGACTGGGCGGCCTTGACAGCGGCGTCGAGGGTCTTCTTGGTGGCGTTGGCGAAGGGCTCCATCTCGAAGACACCGGGGGGTCCGTTCCACAGGATGGTCTTGGACTCGGCGATGGTCTGCTCGTACAGCTTGACACTCTCCTCGCCGACGTCCAGACCCATGTAGCCGTCGGGAATGCCCTCGGCGTCGGTGGCCTTGCCGGTCTTGGCGTCGGCCGCGAACTTGTCGGCGGTGATGTAGTCAACGGGCAGGACGATCTTGACGTTGTTCTTCTTGGCCTTCTCGACAATATCGCCGACAATCTTGCTGCCGGCCTCGTCGAACAGACTGTTGCCGATCTTAACGTTCTCCAAGGTCTTCTTGAAGGTGAAAGCCATGCCACCGGTGATGATCAGGCTGTTAACCTTGCCCAGGAGGTTGTCGATAAGCTGGATCTTGTCAGAGACCTTGGCGCCTCCGAGGATGGCCAGGAAGGGGCGCTGGGGCTTCTCCAGGGCCTGGGCGAAGTAGTCAAGCTCCTTCTTCACCAGGAAGCCGGAAGCCTTCTGGGGCAGGTCAACGCCAACCATGGAGCTGTGAGCACGGTGGGCAGTTCCGAAAGCGTCGTCTGCAGAGGACATAATCCGTTAGATAATTGATCACATGGATGCACCACCATTAGGTTACGAGGTCATTTGGAGGAAGGGGAGGAAAGCTTACTGATGTAGATATCACCCAGGGCAGTCAGTCCCTTGCGGAACTCGGCGACCTGGTCCTTGTCGGCCTTGACCTTCTTGCCCTCCGCGTCCTTGTAGCTGCCCTCCTCTTCGGCGTGGAAACGCAGGTTCTCGAGGAGGACGATCTGACCGCCGGTAGCCTTGTTGACGGTCTCCTCGGCCTCCTTGCCAACGCAGTCTTCCGAGAAGACGACGCTCTTGCCGAGCAGCTTCTCGAGCTCGGCAACGACGGGCTTCAGGCTGTACTTGGGGTTCTTCTTGCCATCGGGACGGCCGAGGTGGGACATGAGGACAACAGCCTTGGCGCCATTCTCGACGGCATACTTGATGGTGGGCAGAGCACCGACAATACGCTGGTTGTTGGTGATGTTCTTGTCGGCATCGAGAGGGACGTTGAAGTCGACCTGTTTGGTTCGGCAGCATTAGCAAATGTGCTCCTCCATACGGGAAACACTCCCCTGAATCGAGGAAAACTTGGATAAGAGCATACCCGGATCAGGACACGCTTGTCCTTGAGGTCGACGTCAGTGATAGCGAGCTTGTTGGAGAGAGACATTGTGAGGGTATAGATCAATCAATCAATCAATCAAACTATGTCAAAGTCAGGTCAGCGAGAGAAGGAGAGGAAACAAGGTAAAGGACAAGGAGTGGAGGGGAAAGAAAAAGGCGGTACCGCTAACAACTAACATCCTTCTTATTACGTTCACGGTGAGTTCTGGCGGGGTTGTCGCACTGGTGGGGCTTCCGGTGAGAGATTCGCTGACGCATCGGGCTGTTGCGGAGGTGATGTCAGTCCGCCGTGAATCGACGACGGAAGCAGCCGGGCCGCCGACAACACGATAACTCAGGCTACTTAATAGCCTCGGGTCTGGCCAGCCGTGTCGGGTCGGTCTTGTCTTTCTCGTACCTTTGCTGCCCTTGGCCTCGTCCGATGATTGCCTGACAGATGGATACCTTACGAGATGTGTGGCCTGAGGACTTCCGGACTTGGGTCCTATCCCCTGTACGTCCTGTACTTAACAGCCGTCCATAATGATACTCTTGTTTTGCTTTCTGTCTGTCCTGTATAGCGAAAGTTTGAAGAGAACGCCTGTTGAAACATGGACGACACCGGATATTAAACCTGTACACCATCCATAAGAGCCCGATCAGAACACCCCTCCATGCCAACGTCCAACGCCGGGTAAGTAGAAAAACATGAAGAACGCAAGAAAATACCGGTGAACGAGAACTACTAGTGAAAAGAATCAAGCGCAGAAAGGTGTGATTGCATCTTGAATTAGTCCTCTTCGGAGGAGTTGGTCAGGGACAGGTATGCAGTCCAGGCAATACCGATGGTGGATACAAAAGGCTACGAAGAAAATGCAAAGTCAGCCTCGGTTCTTGCACAGCGCTGAGAAGCGCAAAGGTTCACACTTACGATCTGGAACTGGATGGGCACAACGCGGAAGTTGAGGATCTGCACCGCAGGCCAGAGAACGAAGTTGGCCTTGAGAGTCGGCAAGAAGACGTCGCGGAACTTGCGAGTCAGCGCTCTTCTTCCACCACCCTCGGCGACCGTCATGAATGTAAAAAAGCATGTCAGACCTACACATTGACGGTTAGCAACAGGGTCTTTCTCGATTCATGGAAGGGGCGCTCCGTACCAAAAGGGGCGAAGATGAACTGATCAACGGCAACCCGCTTCAAAGCCGGAAGAGTCGGACTCGCCTTAGTGAGCGGGAATGCTCTCGACAAGAAACCGTACCATTGAAATTGAATCGGGGCCATGAAGAAACCGTAGGACATGAAACGAGTTAGGCGCTCGAAATCGAAAGGCTGCGGCGAATTCCTTGAGAGACTAAGCTCTCCAAGCGCCGGGGGCTTTTCCTTGTCCAAATCATGAATTTCGATGGAGATGAAGTCGCTGCCATCGGTCCGGTCACTGGTGGGGCGCGATCTAAAGGCCGTGATAAGTTGTGCAGTAGTGTCCGCGATGCCACCGAGGATCTAAAGTCATCACAATTTAATTAATCTCCGTCATAATCAAAACGGCAATATGGGGGGCGCATTGCGCTTACCGCGTTGGTCACCATAGTAGTCAACACTGTAGACAACACCTATGTTAGCGGGCGCTTATATCCCTTGTTGGGGGCGAGCAGAGGCTTACCCGGCTTTTCCGCATAGTAGGAGTTGAATTTGGCAGCCAGCCGCATAGCCGCCGCCATTTCGATTAAAAAGATAATTGTATGAAGGAGAGGCTATTAGAACGGAAATAATCAGCGAGACGTTATCATCTAATTCAGAGGCGAGGAACGAGGGTTGACGTTGAGGGAAAAGGGGAGGTTCCGACGTGCAAGGCAGAAAGATGAGCGCATCGTTGCTATGACATACCAGGCGACCGTAAATGTACCTCCGATTAAGTCCATCCAGGATTCTGCGGCGCGCCACGGTGAACATCGTGAAGTCGGGTGAGACGCAAGTCTCTTAAGAGGCGAAAGGAAAAGGGTCGAGGACAAGGAAAAGATGGCAAAGCTGGGTTCCCGGCCGGCGGTATTGAGCAAAGTATGACGCAAAAGAGGGTATGGAAAAAGGAGAGCGAAATGACAAAAGAAATTACACCAGGGCAGGGCGGTAAGAATGATCGATAGTAGAAATTAACTAGAAGGAAGAAATTCAGTGGGTAAAATCTCCACAATAACGGCAGGGAACAGAATGGATCTACCTTGGAGAGCCGGATGCTCCTTATAGTTGATACGGGGATGGAGAGGGGAACTTTTGATGGGAGACTCCAGGCTGTCCAGACGGGAAGAAATGAGTTATCGCCGATCACGCACGATCAGCTGCCCGCTTTGTCCGCCCGCCTGGTTCGGCGCGGGTAAACCCCACGGCCGCGCGTTTGTGGCTGTCATAGCCATCTACTAGTACTCCGTAGTTATCGGTTATCCCCACTCCCTACTGTAACTTCCTGCTGCAGTCTCTACGGAGTATTGGTTACTCCCGGTACAATTATCTAAGCTTATATATTCTCATTGCCTCAGTATTCGAGTACGTTACATGCTCATTCCATCCGTCAGTTCTTTAACGTGATAATGTCATCAGCTTCTCACCCAATGCCAGCAACAACTACGATAGAAAACCCCATCCGTAGGTAGTGTTTATGCAGTAGATGGTTTCACTTTCCTATCAAGGGAGAATGCTTGTATATCGGGCAGGTCCCGAATGTCTGTCGTTTCGTTTGTGTTGACTTCCACAAGGCGCACAGATTCCATGCGAAGCGAGCCAACCGCCAAAGGGAGCAGTTTCAGCTCTGTCGCAAAACAAGTTCCGGGAAGGAGAGGTCTATGGTAGCCAATTAGGAATATTGTTATCGTAGGAAGTGTACTGCAACTTACCCAACCCGAACATCAGTGCTCAAGCACACGAGTTCAACCTCTTGCCCAGCCACGTTCTTCTGCATTGCATGAACGATATTATCATCGGTCACGGCCTCGGCTACCTGGTCTTCCTTGCGACTGGAGAGCGATGAAGAGGATGGTCGCGCGGTATGTCCCCGAGGATCAGCACGTTTTCTCCGAGGTATACCCACCATGGCAAACTTCCGAGGATGCGATGATCGATTCACAATGAAGACGTTCCACGAGAAAGGTTTGCCGACTTCCACGTTAGACGGCCCCGAGAACGAGACTGTCACTCCTAGACTTGTGGTGGAGTATGCCCTCTCTCTGAGCGAACTTCTGTTTGCCAGTCCACTTATAGAGTTGGATTGATTTGGTGTCATAGGAAGGCTCGCGGGTCGGTTGTTCCGCTGCAACGCTTGACTCGGTCCTCCGAATGTTGGGTTGAGAGCCATGGAGAAGTCGACATTTGTCCGCCATTGCATCAATACCCGGGGATTGCAGTCGTCTGACAGTTTCACCGTCGCCTCCAAGGAGATATCCAAAACGCTAATCATAACGGTGGTTGAAGGATTTGAATCCGGCCCATATTCCGGAGTGAGTTTGTATATCAGAGTGATGTCATCGCGTGGACGGCATGTTACCGGCGGAAGAAGCCCTGGCGTATCCGACAGTGTTTCTATCGTTCCATCTGAGATGCGCAGGTCCGCCTTCTCGAACAAGACGTCACAGTTTAGGAACGGAGTCACTTCGAAATCAAGGCTGGCAATGGTGGTGGGCCGCCCACAGAACGAATTGAGACGGGAGTATCGTATCCGCGCACTAGCTGCAGGAACCACGCGAATAGGATGGCCTGATTCTTGTTCCACGTTGTATATGGGGTCCTCGCTGTACTTCGCAGGTACAACTCGCAGCAGCCTGGAGGCTGGAAGGAAAGGGTCCTTCTGGGGAAAAGCTTTATCGCTAGCCAATGGTTGAAGGATATTCGTCGACGCAGGAACTAAGGTTGGCAAATAGTCGTCCTCGCGAGATTCACCCGGTCGAGCCTCCGATGGGTTGAGGCTTGCCGATGCGATGAAGAGAAACGACGGGTGTTGGATACGGATACGAGGGCGCTCTGCGAATGTCAGTGAGAGTCATAGCAGATCAAGTCATCGGGAGAATTACTGAGAAAGGTCTCGACGCTCCAGATCACATATACATGGTTGCCAGAGCCCGACTCCCCCTCAAACTCGTTGACTACAACCAGCGGTTCCTCCTCTGGGCTGACAACCCCTGAAAAGATCAGGTCTCTGGTGGGTGTAGGGTTTTCTCCAACTGTCTCCGCCGGGTCGATGGCAAATGCGTCAAGCTTGACCTCGAGGTTTTGGAGATGGTGTTTTAGGCTCGCTTGCGAACAATTGGACAGCCGCAAGACAACGCGAACGGTGCAGAATTCATCTGTAGCACACTATACATGAGTAAGAGATAGAGCTCGTGATGGACGCGAAGCTTTCGCCTACCGAAAAATAGGAGCGATCGTTGGGGAATCAAGGAAAGCACAGAAGACAAATCGTCAGCTCCTCCTTCCAAAGCGGAGGTCAACGCCGCCTCCAGATCTGTTCCTGGGGCATGCGGGACAAATGTGTCTAGAACAGCATGCCTTAGGAATTCCCCCGGCACATCGAAGCTGGGCATGTTGGAGACAACAGTCGCATAATTCCCCACCAGTATTTGGCAGGAATCAAGCGCTTAAAAAAATGAGTAAATCGGTTCAAAGGATATTGAGTAGTAAGTAGTAAGACCATCATGAAGGAGGGAGGACAGGCGGAGATGCTGCGGTGTTCGGGGAAAGATGCAAACGTGACAAACACCTCTACCTAGCGCGAGCGCAAAGCTTCCTCCGGCCGCGACATTTTTCCATCGGAGCTGCAGCCAAACCCATCGACAAGCCATCAACACTCGAGGGTGCACCGACACTCGTATAATGAATTCAATGAGTGGACCCCCCGCGACGCCATCCTTGTGGCAGGAGGCTCGCAATGCGGACGGAAGACCGTACTACTACAATGTTCAAACCAAGGCTACGCAATGGCAAAAGCCCTTGGAAATGATGACACCCGTCGAGGTTTGTACCATCTCTGCTCCTCAGATTTTAACGTCTTCTCTGGTCCTGATCTCTTCTTTCTCTAGCGAGCTCTGTCAAACCAGCCATGGAAGGAATATACCGCTGAAGGTGGGCGGAAATACTGGTACAATACGGAGTCCAAGCAAAGCACTTGGGAAATGCCCGATGTTTACAAAACCGCTTTGGCACAGGCACAACCCCCTCAGGCCCCTGCAGCAGCGTAAGTTCTGACATCATTCTGTGTGGGAACGTTCTTTTGATCCGTAATTAACTCTTTCTTGCAGTGCCCCCACGTTTGTCGCAGGTGGCGGCAGTTCGTACCCCTCCTATCCTCAACAGCGTGAGCGCGACGACTATGACCGAGGTTACGGTGATCGACGTGGTGGCTACGGACAAAGCGATGTAAACGGATTCGTTGCTGCATCCATACCGGGAACTGCGCAAACGGAGCCTGAATACGGCTCACTTGAGGAGGCTGAAAGCGCGTTCATGAAGATGCTCAAACGCCACAACGTGCAGGCCGACTCGACTTGGGAACAGACGATGCGTACCGTCATTAAGGATCCTCAGTACCGGGCTCTGAAAGATCCCAGAGACCGCAAAGCAGCTTTTGAAAAATATGCGGTCGAGGTTCGCATGCAGGAAAAGGACCGAGCGAAAGAAAGATTCGCTAAGCTGAGAGCAGATTTCAATACAATGCTGAAGCGCCATCCTGAAATCAAGCATTACAGTCGCTGGAAGACCATTCGGCCAATCATCGAGGGCGAGACGATCTTCCGGTCTACAAGCGACGAAAACGAGAGGCGCCAGCTCTTCGAAGAGTACATTCTCGAGCTCAAGAAAGAGCACCTCGAGCTGGAGTCTGCCAGCCGCAAAGCTGCCATGGATGAGCTCGTGAATATCTTGAACTCGTTGGACCTGGAACCCTACACGCGTTGGTCCGAGGCGCAGGCCATCATCCAGTCCAACGACAAGGTCCAAAATGACGATAAGTTCAAGTCCTTGAGCAAATCTGATATTTTGACAGCATTTGAGAATCACATCAAGTCTCTTGAGCGAGCGTTCAACGACGCGCGCCAGCAGCAAAAGGCCGCCAAGGCCAGAAAAGAACGGCATGCTCGTGAACAGTTTGTCGACCTGTTGAAGGAACAACGATCGCAGGGTAAAATCAAGGCTGGCAGCAAATGGAGCAACCTCTACCCGGCGATCCGTGAGGATCCCCGTTATCAGGGCATTCTTGGTAACTCCGGCTCTTCCCCGCTGGATCTCTTCTGGGACGTGGTCGAGGAGGAAGAGCGAACGCTGCGAGGACCTCGAAATGATGTTTTGGATGTTCTTGACGTAAGTACTACTCAACATTATTCCATCTCTATGTCTCTAACGACTGTCTAGGATAAACGGTACGAGGTCACCGCCAAAACCACTTTTGAGGAGTTCAACACCGTTGTCGCTGGTGATCGCCGAACAGCCAACATGGACCCCGAAATTCTGGAACTGCTCTTCCAGCGCATTCAAGACAAGGCAATTCGAAGAACTGAGGAAGAAAAGCACGCAGCGGATCGTCACCAGCGACGCGCTGTCGATGCTTTGCGCTCCCGGATTAAGCGTCTAGAACCCCCTATCCGGGCCACAGATACTTGGGACCAAGTACGACCTCGTCTTGAAAAGTTCGAGGAATACAAGACCATCGAGTCCGACGAGGCCCGCCAATCCGCCTTCGATAAGGTTATTCGCCGTCTGAAGGAGAAAGAAGAAGACGCCGACCGGGATCGGGACTCACGCGACAAAGATCGCGGAAGCCGCCGTGACTACGACCGCGGCGACCGGGATTACCGGAGCGGAACATCCTACAGAGGCGAAAGACGGGGAGCTTCCAGTCGACACAGCCGAACCCCCGAGCCAGATGCTTACGAGGCAGATCGCCGCAAAGCCCAGGCAGACCGGGAACGATCGTACCGCAAGGCGAGCGGCTTATCTCCAGTCCGCGAGCGACGGGAGGAACGCGATCGCGAGCGAGACCGCGACAGGGACCGTTACCGTGAGCGTGAGCGCGATCGGGACTGGGATCGAGAAAGAAGCTCCCGCTCTCTCAGCCACTTCGGACGCGGTGGTCGAGACCGAGAAGACGAGCGCGAGCGGCTGTATCGCGCCCGCGGTGATCCGCGTGGCAATCGCGACGAGCTCGATTACGGTGCCGACACTAAAAGCACCGTCAGCAACGACCGCCGGCGCAGACGGGACAGCGATGCTGAGAGCGTCGCCAGTCGCTCCGCCAAGCGGTATCGCCGCGACAGCCGAGAACGAGAGCGCAGTCGGGGCGCCAGGAAAGACCGGGAACGTCGCGAACGAACCCCGGCTGCTGGCACTGATGAAGCTAAGAAGGAAGAGAAGGCCGTACACTCTGGTAGCGAAGAGGGAGAAATCGAGGAGGATTAGGGCATATCAAGTAATGGCAGTTGTCGGACGAAGCGGGACATCCACGAATCATCCTGAACTATGCGCAGACTGTAAAGAATACATCAGTAGGAATACCTACCTCTTATTAAAGCATCTAATTTCCAAGCCTGTGCAGAATAACAAATTCCTCCGTGCGTCAGTTGGCCGGGGGAACCTCTTAGCCAAAGGTGTGAGTCTGGACGTAGTCAGATATTTACTGCGTTTATATAGAAATGCTGGAATCACTCTTGAGATAGAAAGAAGACTAAGTGAGAAATCTGTTGGTTTTTCAACACAGGACATGGGGTGGAAGAGCGTTTGTGGATTTTTGATTATTCAATACATATTTCCACGGAAAGGGTATTGCTCCGAAAAAAGCCTTTGGAGTAGTTAGTTACCAAACAATGATAGGTAAGCGATGATGAAGAAACTATAATTTTTGCTTTTAACATACATTCATGTTTATTTCTCCTCTGAGTAGACTTAAGAGTTATAGCAAATGTGTTATACTGCGCTATTACTCAACCAGAATGATATAAAAAAACGAACATGTTCACCAAGGAGTCAAATATAAAACAAATTCAAATTCAAAATAAATCAACTATAAATTGCGTGCATACACACACAAGTATCTATAGACAGTGAAAAAAAACCTAGCTAACCTAGTTCTAGCCATCAGTGCTGAGTCCTTAAAACATGCAGGTCGATGAGACTATCTATATCATAGAATCATTCAAATTTTTGACAGACACAACTCCGGCATGATCACGCCAACCAAAATCCGTATCCCAAGCAAAGCCCTCATGGATCGGGGTCCTATGTCCCCAGCATTCTGGAAAAGACCAAAAAATCCTGGAGACGGATAATCTTTAACCGACAAACGAGCAGGGGGTGTACACAAGAGGAGGCGACGAGATCCGGACGCAGCAAAGCGTGGACTGGAACAGGGAGATTAAAAAAAAAAAAAAAACCACTGTCTCTAGTCGGGATTGTCGTCTTCGTCACCATCTTCCTCATCAGTAGCACCATCCATATCATCGGTGAGGCGCACACCACGGCGACCCCGCCGCCTATGTCGAGCCGAAGCCTTCATAACGCCGAAAAACGCCATTAATTGAAGGGTTCTCCATTCACCGCGGCGGTTGTATTGCCGGCGGTGGGAGTCGCGATCATCGCGCCTGTGATGATCGCGGTCATGCTTTCCAGGAACAACCTCTTCAACTCTCCTCTTCCAGGAAGAACTGTTGATGACAAATGTTAGCATAGTGCAACTGACACCAGACCAAGGTAGGTACGGCGAAAGGACCGTCCTATGTCGGGTACTTACATAGTTGCCGTTCAACTTCTGTTCCTGGTCCATTTGACTGTCGTACTTGTTGATACGAGGGCGGTAACTGTTGGGATCCCGACGGAAGGTGACATCCAGGTTCCTCAGGAAACTGTTGCAACCAGTAACCAAGGATTCGGGAGCGTTGGCGTGGGCATCGACGGACGGCTTGCCGTCGAAAACAATAACTCGGTCGGCGAGATAGGTAGCCATGATGAAATCGTGCTCGACGATGAAGGCGGTCTTCTTGGAGTGCATAATGAAACGCTTGATGACTCTCGCGGCAATAACACGCTGCTCAGAGTCAAGGTAGGCACTAGGCTCGTCAATCAAGTAAATATCGGCAGGGAGACCAAGGGCCAAGACAATGGCGACACGCTGCAATTCACCACCAGACAGGTTCTGAACCTCCTGATCAATGAAGTCATCAATGCGAAGGGGCTTGTAAACATCGGTCTGGAATTGCGGCGACAGGAAAGCAGCCTTGATACGCTTGAAGAACAGTTGACGAACGGTGCCCTGGAACTTGGGGGTAATCTTCTGAGGCTTCATGCTGATGTTCATGCGCGGGACTGACTTGCCGTCGTCAGGCTTCTCGGCGCCAGCAAGCATCTTACAGAAGGTGGTTTTTCCGGTTCCGTTCTCTCCCATCATAACAACGATTTCAGAGTCCGTGAATCTACCAGCGTCGATTTTCAGGTGGAAGTTACCCATGGTCTTCTCCATGGTAGGGTAGGCGAAAGTACGGTCCTTGTCGGCCATAAAATCATCACCAGTCTCCGTAAGACGGAAAGTGAGAGACTCGTCACGGAATCGCAGGTTCTCCGTGGGGATGTGACCATCCAAGAAGATGTTGATACCTTCACGAACAGAAGCAGGCAGCGTAACAACACCATATAGAGCAGGCTTTCCGTAAAGCACACAGACGAAGTCGGAAAGATAATCAAGGACGGACAAGTCGTGTTCGACAACGATGACGTAGTCGTCGGGTCGCAGAAGCTCTCGGATAACACGGGCGGCGGCCAAACGCTGCTTGACATCAAGGTAAGAGGACGGCTCGTCGAACATGTAACTGGGTCGCATTAGTACTTGTACCCGGGGGGTATGCATGAATATATGCTTACACATCAGCCTTCTGAACACAGACCAAACCGATGGCGAAACGCTGAAGCTCTCCTCCGGAAAGATGGCCAATGTCACGGTCACGGACCTGCTTGAGCTCTACAGAACGGTTAGTATGTATGAGGAAAGACCTCGACAGTCAAAAAAAGACCACGTACCGAGACTCTCCAAAATGTGCTCCATGTTGTCCATTTGGGAACGCGCTTTAATAAGATCGCCGACGTTCTGGACAGGACCCTTCACTGCTCTAGGGATCTGGTCGACATACTGAGGCTTCACAACAGCCTTTAGGTTATCCTCGAGGACCTTGGTGAAGTAGTCTGCGCAGGTTAGAATCCATTGAACTGTGTTCTGCAGGCGACTTCCGGGATAGACATACTCTGCAATTCGGAACCACGGAAGTACTTCAAGATTTCCTCCCAGTCTGGGGGGTTGTCAAAACGTCCAAGGTTAGGCTTCAGCTTGCCGCTGAGAATCTTCAACGCAGTACTCTTTCCGATACCGTTTGTTCCAACTAGACCGAGAACCTGACCGGGACGGGGCATCGGAAGACGGTGAAGCTTGAAGCTGTTGGCCGAATAACGATGGGTGACCTGGGTTTCCAGGTTGGTCGGCAGGTTGATGATGTGGATCGCACCGAAAGGACATTTCTTGGGACAGATACCGCAACCGATACACAGGCGCTCGGAGATGAAGGCGATCTTTGATTCCGGAGAAACTTCGATACACAGCTTACCCGTACGGACGACGGGGCAAGACTTTTTACATTCTTGACGACATTTCTAGAGACATGAGTATCATGGGCGAGGGAACAATCGGCGGGTGATGCTAAGAGAGTCTCGTACCTTCGGTTTGCACTATAAGGAACAGAAAAGGATCTGTGAGCAAATGGATTGCGCTCCTGACGGCAAGCAGCGGGGTAGTATAGACTAACCTTGTCACTGTTGACAATGGCAATACTATTAAGAGAGAGAAAAGATCGATTAGCACCAGGCGCTGATATGCAGACGGGTTGCAAGGTGGCATCAAAGGCTTACCGAGTAAGCTTATCAGACATGATGTCTATTCAGACTGGGAGTCGACCCGCAAATGGAAACCGGAAGATCGATGTCTTGAATGCAAATTAGTGAAATTGTTGCAGGATCGAGGCAGAACGGGCGCTCTACCGGACAAAAAGGATGGCACTGCACTCGTGGGACTAGCCAGAAGCAGGAAATGCCCGAGAAGCGCGTAAACAGGGAGCCACCAGGTCGCGAGCAGGGAGAGACGATGCTTGAAAGAGGGGCTCTGGAGCGATGGAAAACTATGTCGGGCATTGTGGGTAGTGCCTCAGGCAGCATCCCGCGCTGCATTATTTCGCACGGCGCTGATTGGCCGGCCGCGCAGCCACCAGAATCTTCTCGGAGAAATGGTTTCGCCGACGCCGCCGACCACGTGAGAGGGCGACCCGCCCGGCCTATGGGAGGCTCGCTTGTGAGGGCGCTAAACCCCACGAAGCATAGCGGGTAGTGGCCGCCTGAAGGCTCAGGCAGCCCAGCCAATGCGTCCCGGCGACTCGCTCACCTCCAGCCGACGTACAACTCTCTTCCTACTCTCTCATCATATTCCTTCCATCGCCTCGCTGTTCCTCCACACCCTTCCAGCCCACCCCTCCCCCCACCTTTCCCCTTGTTTTGACCACCATTATTCCCCTCATTCTCACCTCCTTCGGGGTCACCAAGCTATGGACTGTGAGTTTTTTATTTTGCTTTTCTAGTTTTTCCCCAACGTGTCCTGGTTTTTGTCGCCTGGGGTACTTCTCCACGGCCTCGACCCACCGAAGAACACCAGGATTCCTCTCCAGATCGTACCTGGAGGTCTTCCTGAGTCCCTTAAGGTCAAGGTCTGGATGTCTCTCTCTCCTAGATCCTGGTTTTGGGCTTGGTTCTCCTCGTGCTGTTGTCATTTGCCCACCGACTGTTTCCGTCGCGTTTCATCAAACCATCCATCGAGATCATCCTCAATCTTTATGCCCCATCTCCTACCTTCTCGTCCCGGTCGATCAAGCTTGTATTGGGCAAATTTCGGGTCGCGTAACACTGATTTAGCCCTTACTGCGTCTTGCTTCCACCCTCGAGCTTGTGCTGAGCTTCAATGCTGATGTCTTGCCTCTTCAATAGCGACTGGCGTGGTGATCCCATCCTCCTCCGAACCCTCGATGACGACAATGGCCTTTACCAATGGCTATTCGGCCTCTCCTACCTCCGAACCCGCTAGCATCAAGGATCAGCTTGCCTCCAGTGACAGCGAGAGCGAATCCGCCGCTTCGCCGGTGAACCATGTCGCTCGCGACTCCTCGCCCGAAGCGGAGGCCGCGGACGAGTCATACCACACCGGATTTTTCGATGCTGAGGGTGACGACGATGACTTTCCGATGGAGAACAGCCTGAATGGTAGCAGCCACTCTAGTGCTGAAGATTCGTCACCCGATGCCAAACGCGGCACGAAACGGAAGTCACCGTCGGTTAATGAATCGGACTATATGAGACAGAACCCTGATCTGTACGGGTTACGACGAAGCGGACGAGCGCGCACGACGCGTCAGTTGGCCGATTCGCCTTCTGACTCCGAGTCCGATGCAGTGGCATCTCGCCCCAAGCGTCGGCGCCCCGTGGCCTCGCAGCCGTCGTCAAAGCGCCCCTCGCGTTCCGCTACTCAGTCACCCTACTCGGAAGAATCCGATAGCGATGAGTATGGGGGAAGCCGCGCTCGCACAAGTAAAGCGAAGCGTCGACGACTTCTCCAAGCCTCTGCGAATCAACCTTCTCACGCCGAAGTCCGTTTTTCGACTAGAAATGCTTCTAAGGTCTCCAACTACAACGAGGATGATGATGACTCCATGTTCGAGGATGACCCTGAGGACCTCACACAAAACTACTGGGTCAACACCGTGGAGGATGATCGCCCAGCGATTGACGTCGTGCTCAATCATCGCCTCAAGGAAGGTGTTGATCTGACTGATCCCAACCTTGGGCGCCATGATTTCGAATACTATATAAAGTGGCAAGACAAGTCCCACTATCATGCTACATGGGAAACAACCGATTCTCTTGCAAATTGCCGGAGTGTGCGCCGGCTTGACAACTACATTCGAAGATCAGTTTACGAAGATATTCGGCTGAACCAGGAAGAAGGCGTGCCCCCTGAGGACAGGGAAAAATGGAATCTTGATCGAGAAAGAGACGTAGACGCTATTGAGGACTACAAACAAGTTGAGAGAGTGATCGGTATGCGAGACGGTGACGAAGAAACCGAGTACTTCGTGAAGTGGAAGCGCCTATTGTACGACTCGTGTACATGGGAGGCGGAAGACCTCGTCAGTAAGATCGCTCAACGCGAAATAGACCGTTTTCTAGATCGCTCCTCCCGTCCTCCCGTCTCGGACAAGACAGAATCAAACCCTGCCACACGGAAGTCCTTTGAGACCATCAAGGGCACGCCTAGTTTCTTACAGAACGGGGAGTTGAAAGAGTTCCAGGTAAAAGGTGTCAACTTCATGGCTTTCAACTGGGTGAAGAACCGCAACGTTGTCCTTGCCGACGAGATGGGTCTGGGTAAAACTGTGCAGACCGTTGCGTTCATCAATTGGCTTCGCCACGTTCGGCGTCAGCAGGGACCCTTCGTCGTCGTTGTTCCTCTCTCCACTATGCCCTCATGGGCGGAGACGTTTGACAATTGGACTCCCGACTTGAATTACATTGTCTATAACGGCAACGAAGCTGCCCGCAACGTCCTTCGAGAACATGAGCTGATGGTGGATGATAACCCCAAGCGACCCAAGTTCAACGTTCTCCTCACGACGTATGAATATGTACTGCAAGATTCGGCTTTCCTCAGCCAGTTCAAGTGGCAGTTCATGGCTGTCGACGAAGCCCATCGTCTCAAGAACCGGGAGTCCCAGTTATACCAGAAATTGCTGGAATTCAGGGCCCCTTCTCGCCTTCTTATCACGGGAACACCCATCCAGAACAACCTTGCCGAATTATCTGCTCTGCTGGATTTTTTGAACCCTGGCCTTGTAGAGATCGACGTGGACATGGACTTGAACGCCGATGCGGCTTCCGAGAAGCTCGCAGAATTAACGAAGGCCATCCAACCTTTCATGTTGCGTCGCACGAAATCTAAAGTGGAATCGGACCTGCCTCCAAAGACCGAAAAGATCATTCGAGTGGAACTCTCGGATATACAGCTGGAATACTACAAGAACATTCTGACCAAGAATTATGCTGCCTTGAACGAGGGCGCCAAGGGACAGAAGCAATCTCTGTTGAACATCATGATGGAACTTAAGAAAGCAAGTAACCATCCTTTCATGTTCCCCAATGCTGAGGCAAGGATCTTGGAAGGTAGCACCCGACGTGAGGATTTATTGAGAGCCATGATCACGAGCAGCGGTAAAATGATGCTTCTTGACCAGCTTCTTGCGAAACTCAAACGAGATGGCCACCGAGTTCTGATCTTCAGCCAAATGGTGAAAATGCTCGATCTACTTGGTGAATACATGGAATACCGGGGCTACACCTACCAACGTCTTGATGGAACAATCGCCGCGTCATCTCGTCGCCTTGCCATCGAGCATTACAATGCCCCTGGAAGCAGCGATTTTGCCTTCATTCTCTCCACCAGGGCCGGTGGTCTTGGAATCAATCTGATGACCGCGGATACTGTGGTCTTGTTCGACTCGGACTGGAATCCCCAAGCCGATCTTCAGGCTATGGCTCGAGCACATCGAATTGGTCAAACCAGGCCCGTCAGCGTGTATCGTTTGGTCTCTAAAGATACCGTGGAAGAGGAGGTGATTGAGCGTGCCCGGAACAAATTACTTCTTGAGTTCATCACTATTCAGCGTGGTGTCACCGATAAGGAAGCCACTGAAATCCAGAGCAAGATGGCCCGTTCCATGGGTGAACCCAATTCGACAGACGACATCTCTCGTATCCTCAAACGTCGTGGACAAAGAATGTTTGAGCAAACAGGCAACCAAGAAAAGCTCGAGCAGCTCGACATTGACTCGGTTCTTGCAAATGCCGAATTGCACCAGACTGAGCAAGCCGAGGAAATTCAAGCAGATGGAGGTGAAGAGTTCCTTAAAGCTTTTGATTATGTTGATATCAAGGTGGATGATCTCACGTGGGATGATATTATTCCGAAAGACCAGCTGGAGGAAATCAAGGCCGAGGAAAAGAAGAAAGCCGATGAGCGCTATCTGGCGGAAGTTATTGAACAAAACCGTCCGCGGAAACGCATTGTTCCCCCAGAGGAACGGGACACTCGTGAGGAGCGGAAGGCCAAGAGACGAGCAAGAGCCCAGGTGAGCATGGAAGGTATTGGTGACGACTCCGATTCAGCGCCTCAGTCTGATCCGAAACGGCCTCTCATTGAAAAAGAGTACCGTAACCTTTTGAAAGCGTACTTGCGCTACTGCGACATCGACAATCGGGAAGATGACATTATCCGCGAAGCACGTTTGCTTGACCGTGACAAGGAAACTGTTTTGTCCGCTCTTCGGGAGATCACGGAGAAGGCGGCTACCCTTGTACGAGAGGATGTTGAGCGAATGGAGGCTCTTGAGAATGCAGGCAAGATGCCAACGAAGAAGGAAAAGAAGGCCGTTCTCTTCGACCACAATGGTGTCAAGCGTCTGAATGCCTACACCATCGTTGAACGACCCAATGAGATGCGCATTCTCAAAGAGACCGTCAATTCGGCGGCTGACCTTAAAAATTTCCGTGTACCAGAAGCCACCAAGGCAGCTGATTATACGTGTTCATGGGGTGCGCGGGAAGACGGCATGCTTTGCATCGGCATTGCACGACACGGCTATGGCGCATGGACACAAATCCGGGATGACCCAGATCTCGCCCTTGGCGATAAATTCTTCCTTGAAGAGCATCGCGTTGAACGAAAGACAGAACGCATGAATGCCGATGATAAATCCACCAAATCTCCCGGAGCCGTGCATCTTGTTCGCCGTGCGGACTACCTCTTGTCTGTCTTGAGAGATAAATCCACCAATGGCGCGAATGTCAATGTCAAGCGAGCCGTCGAAAACCACCATCGAAACAACCGGAAAGGGTCTAGGAACAATGCAAGCATCAGTGTATCGGCGTCGCCGGCGCCGTCTATTTCGCGCAAAGGTCATCGTGAATTCGATCGGTCCAGACACCGTTCCAATACCCGCGGTATCCGCGATAGTTCTGAGCGCCATCACACACCAAGCCACGACTCCCGACCAAGGTCGGTGCATGATAGTGATCGTCCCCGTCATAGGACCTCTGATGTTTCGAGTGAGGATGTTCGCCGCCGCAAAAACAGCGAGAACGGGCACTCGACCGCGAAGGAAGACGTTGCTCGCTTGTTCTTCAGACCGATCCGTGATGACTTGAAACGCGTCTCGGGAGTTACGAAGGAGAATTTCGCTAACAAGACTGAGCGTGCCCTTGAGCTTCGGAGTCTGCTTCAAAAGATTGGCGACTTTATAGACCGCAACTTGAAAGGGGATAGCTCCATTTCGTCCCTTGATACTCGTCTATGGTATGTTCCTTTTGGATACTTTCCGCATATCGTTCCAGGCTTGACCACTGACAATCGAACTAGGCATTTCGTTGCTGTCAATTATTGGCCTAATAAGGAGGCAGGAGGAAACAAACTTCAAGAAATGTATCAAAAACTCAGGGCTGTTAAAAAGGAACCGACCGCAGCCAAGCCCACGTCCAATGGGAACTAGACTCGGGCGTGTCCAGCGTGCAGCAAAAGCGTCTTGTGGATTTCTGCTTGCTTCTACGGAGTCTTTTTTTGATTTTCGAGGTAAATATGCATCATTGGGAAAGCATGGCGACGGCGTCCGGTATGATCTACGAAGGAGTGTTGAGCATGAGTGGATTTGTTATGATTTATTTTCTTTATTCTTTGCATGACTTTGGTCTTTCCATCTATCTATCTTACATACAGCACTGTCCCCTACGATTGGCGCGTTGGGCTTTGCATCATGTTTTTGACTCGTGTTTTTCTAGCGATACGGTCCCTCCACATACTTGCCGTGGGCGCGATGGATCTCGCTCATTTGCTTTTGTCATTTTCCCCCTCTTCTCTCTTTCTTTCTTCATGTGGTTGAGCAAACATCCCCACACTGGGACGCCCTTCATTGGAGCTGGGCCCTGTCGGTGGATGTTCTCCCACATTGTTTTATTCTCATGTAACTTACCGACTTACCGGAAAGGTCCGTGGGCTCCTGGTTGATTTCCACCATTTGGGATTCAGGCATTTCGTGTTGGGCCACACATGTCGAGCCAATGTGTGCTCCTTTTCTAGACCTGTCTGCTCGATTCTCGATGTTCGATGTTCGATGTTCGATTCTTTTTGAAATATTCCCCAGTGGAAGGACTGGAAGGTAGAATTCCCTGTGCATTATATTATATCATATTACACTGGCAGTGTTCGTCTGCTTGATCCTGTATTGATAATCGGGCTAATGAAAAGTATTCATGGATTGAGTTCGATTTGGTTCGTGGCCCGCTCGCATGAACATATCCTTCAAACCAAGGGAAGAGAGATGTGACCCACATGGTCATGGAAAAAGGAGAAGATAAACCGTAGGAAATAGACATTTTGAATTATTTTTGAAGACGCTTCAGAATAAAGAAATCAAGATAGATAAAATACACATCAGCAGATACAGATAATTCTCGTAGGCCTAAAAGAAATAAAGGAAAGGAAAAGAAAACAAGCGTGCTCTGGAGACTGAAATCGAGGTAGGAAGGAGAGAAGGGCAAGACCAAGGAGAGATTAGAAGTAGGTAGGTAGAGTAGATTTGGGGGCTTTGAAGGAGATATAGAGTAGGTATAAGTATATGGGTATAGGTTTGGTCTTGCTTTGAGGATGACACTTAGGGTAGGAGGTAAACAAGGAATACAAAAGTGTTAGAGGTGGGTGTTAAGAGGCGGACGGTGATGGTAAGGGAAAGGGAAAGGGACGAGAGGATATAGCAAAGATGGAGAGAAGGTGGATGAAGCTTATAGGGAAGAAATAAGTAAAGGCAAACGAGGGGCAAAAGCCTCACGGAGGAACTGAACTCGCGTCCGCATTATGAGACGGTGCCTCCTTCTCTGCGGTATCTGACGGTTTCTGGACCTTTTCGGCACCATTCGTGACCGCGGCGGAGGATGCGACAGGCCCGTTATCGCTGCCCACCAGGGCTGTGAACAGTCGGAGCTGAGCATCGATGACATCGTCAAAGACGGCGTCTTTCTCCAACCACGCCTGCTTGCGCTTCGGTTGGATCCGTTCCCACTCGGCCCGTAGCTTGACGCCTTCTTTCTCGGCCCAGTGGATCTGTCGCCGCAGGACGCGATACAGTTGCGTCGGGGGCAGCGCGAGCTCGTGCTCGTCGAAGCCCAGGTCGGGGCTCAACTCGGGGTCCTCGAGCTCGTCGAGGTCTGTGTTTGCCGTCTCGTCTGCGGCGCTTTCGCTGTATCGGTCTGGGTCTTCCTTCGGGAGTTGCGATAGCTTGAGTTTGATGCGTTGGAGCTTGCTGGCTGGCGTTCCGGCAGGGGTGCCGGCCGCGGACGCGGGGACGTTGTGGTGCTTGGGGACCGGATCAGACGGGCGGAGGGCCTCGGTCTCATGGACGGTTCTCATGTGTTTGGCGAGGGCATCGGACCGGGTGAAGCTGCGGTCGCATTCTGTGAAGAGGATCGGACAGGTTAGTTGCGCCATCTCTTTGATCGAGGAGGGCGGACAAATAATTCGAAGGTGAGATGGTTCCTTTTCCCTTTGTTGGGGGAGGGAAAAGAGGGAAAAAGGAAAAGGAATGGGGTAAACGGAAATCAGAGACAAAAAGTCATGTGTGTTTGACTCAGACTCACCTGGTAGGGCACAATAGAACGGCTTCTCTCTGGTGTGGCTTCTCATGTGGGCGCGCAGTGCGTAGCCGCTGGCGTGCGTTTGACCCTTTCGAGTGCAATCGGACCATTCGCAGGAGTACTTCTTCTGTCGGCTGCCGACATGGTCATTATGAATGTGCTGGACGAGATCATCCATGTTCCCCAAATCCCCGACATCGCATCCATCCCAGCGACACACGGTGACCTGGTCGTTTCCCTGACCGCTATAGTCGTCATCCTGGCTGCCGCCGATGAGGGCCCAGGTGCCGGGAGAGTTGGGGATGTCGCCCGAGGTGTCGGACGAGATGGTGGTCGAGGGAGACGGCGGAGGCATGTCATCCTGGAAGGTCGTTGAGACGGGAGTATTGCGATCCCAGGACGCGACGCCGGTCCGGCGACGTTTGGAGGGAGGTAAGTTGGCCGCCGAGGGCGAGAAGGGCTGCTTTTCAGTCTCGCGATCCGACATGTCGTCGGAGGCGATAGAGGAGAGGGGAGAGCCCGGAGATTCAGCCATTGGGGACGGTCGGGAGTGGTAGAGCTCTAAGGAGTCGGTCGAGAGGAACGAGGGAGTGAAACGGGAGGCAGCACGCCAAGGGTGAAAGGGCGACGAGGCATCTAGACGGATCGCCGGTTGGAGTTGAGGCTGGGCGCCGCTCGAGTATACCGGGGCACGTGATGAGGCCATTGCGCCGGGAAAAACGCGCACAGAATTTCCTCGCCTTTTATTTCTTTTCTCTTCCTCTTCGCACCTCACAGAACACGCATCCCCCGTCGGGATTCTCCAGTCGATTCAATGTTTATAATGATATTATCCATTAGTTAGTGCTAATCCTTGTTCTTTCCTTTGTCTAGCATTCAAGTCCACCAGCATTCACTCGGTACGTTACTACTTTTCTGCTTATTTTGAATTTGCTCGTTCCTCCACATTGTGATGATTTTTTCAAGAATTCTGCAAATCATACAATCTCCTTACTCTAATGGGTCTGTGAGATTGCTTGTTGACCATTCTACACTTGACCTGACTTTGTTGTTTGCTTCTTATTTGAACTTGTTCATGGTTTTCTACGAATACCAAGCTGACAACAACAGACTTTACAGGTGACTAGAAGAGCTTAAACAATACAATCATTACTTTCTATTGAATTTTATTACCTTTAATAACTCTATTCGAGCTATCCATACCGCATACTCTAAATTTCACATCGTATCATGTTCAATAACGCCGGGCCCCAACGAGCTCATTCTGCTTCCGAATGGCATCAATCTCAGCCATCTCCGCGTCAGAGAAGCGAGGAACCCCCTGCATATTCTGCGTAATCTTGTCGATCGTCGTGCCGCCGGGAATCGGGATGATGGTGGGCATTCCCGGCCGACCATTCAAGCTGAGCACCCACGCCAATGCGATCTGAACGGGGGCCACGCCCTTGCGCGCAGCCAGGTCCTTGACCGCATGGACAAGCTTGATGTTCTGCTTCATCGCCTCGTCTTGGAAACGAGGCAAGCCCCTGCGGTAATCGCCCTCGGGGATCTCGGATAGACTCGTAAAGGCCCCGGCCAACACACCCTGTCCTAAAGGCGCGTACGCCACGACGGGGATGTCGAGCTCCGCGCAGGTCTTGGCGACGCCGTTCTCGAGGATCGTGGTATCCCAGAGAGATAGCTCGACTTCCACTGCTGCGATCGGATGGACCTTGTGTCTATAACTCCAGTCAGCCAGTCCAGTCCAGTCTCGTAGCCACCAACCACTTTCCCTTAACCGGTAATAACCATTCTCTCGTAGACAGCCACAACAGCAACCGACAAATTCAAACGAGATAGCCAAAAAAAGAAGGGAACACTTACGCCCTCCTAACCGTCTCCGCATCAACCTCACTCAACCCAATCCCCCCAATCTTCCCCTCCCCGACCAACCCCTTCAACACCCCCACCGTCTGCTCAACACTCGTATTCGGATCCTGCCTCGCGCACTGAAACAAATCAATCTTCTTCGTGCCGTCCAGAACCCTCAAACACTCATCCACACTCCGCCGGATATTCTCTTCCGAGCCGTCCGGCCTCAGCGTCCCCGGCACGAGCCCGCCCTTGACGCTCAGCACCACCTGCGCCGCTTTCTCCGGGTGCGCGGAGAAGTACGCGTGCAGCAGGTGCAGGGAGTTGTAGTCCGGAGTGCCGTAGAGTTCGCCGGCGTTCCAGAAGTTAGCGCCCAGGGTGAGCGTCTTGTCGAGGGCCGGAAAGTAGGTGGTTGGTGGGGGTGGGGAGGGGACCCATGTCATTCCTGGGGGTTGTGAGTTTGTTGGGTATAGGTATAGATGGAAGGGGTAGGATAGGATAATGGATGCAGATGACATTGGAAGTAACGCAGCTCGTATGAATTGGTATTAAGGGGAAAGGGGGAGGAGAACGTACTCATCAGTCCATAGCCTGTATGGCCGACATCTTGTCCAACGAGGGAAGGCATTCTCAAGTAGGTCTATTCTAGAGGACTCCAGTCGATGAGAATCACAAATGCAGGAAACAAATTCAATTGAGATATTAAAGAAAGTAGATAGATAGCCAATGCCCCAATGGACGAGAGAGAAAAGCTGTTCGAAGGAGAGAGGGGCGCTCAAGCTTAAAAGTGAAAAGAAAAGCTAGAAACGAAGAAGGGTTACTCTACCTACGCTCCCCCCCGGATCCCACGTCATTAGACGATTTCTGAAGAAAAAAGTCACCACCGATAACTCCCTAGTAAACTACTACTCTCTTCGCTTAGTTATTCTGCTCATTTTCCTCGGAATTCGGAAGCATTCCATCATGAGTCGGAATTTAGCTCGTCTGTTCACGGGGTTAAGGCACCGGAATTTAGAACGGTTATGTCCGGTGTGTAACAGATGGATCATAAATCAATAGGTAGTATTGTATTGTATTAAGTTAAGCTAAGCTAAAGGTAACCATCATTTTTGCACCATTTTTGTCGTCAATTCATAAACGCCGCTGGAAGATTCTTTTCAAGGAAGGACATGGTCGGTCTCCAGACTGACCAGACTGAGGAGCGTTCAGAGAAAGTAAAGAGAGACGGAGGGAGATATAAAGGGGGGAGACAGGAAAAAATAAGCACAAAAGGAAAGGCATAGAAACGTCCAAATAAAATCAGGATACACCAACTTCAACATCAATCCAACCCTAATGCAACGTATGCTCATCCCTGCTGTTCATGGCTTCCGAGAAACGATGCGACAGGAGGCCGAAGACGCTGCTCATGAAGCCGAGGGGGTCCTCGGCTGGGTTGATTAGGTCTGACTGCTCCTGCTCGTTCACGTCATCGGTGTTGCTGTTTTGGTTCCCGTGCTGGGTGCTGGTGGGCGTGGTGGATTTGCTGTCGTCAATCACGTCCGGGTCTTGCCAGCTCTTCCAGTGGTTGAGCTTGGCCAGGTTCTTGAAGCCGAGCCCATTGAGAACGTCGCTCACGATGTCGTCGCTGCCAGGATAGCTTGCCTGTTGTTTGAATCAGGTGGTTAGAAATCTGTCTTTCTATAGGGATGGATAAGGTTGTGGAGTCAAGGGCAACATACAGGACTGGGAGATCGACGAAGAAGAGGATGCGAGTTGCTGACAGACGACAAGACCAAGCAGGTCAAGACAAGGAGACCAATGAATGACGACGGCCTGATAAACGAAACCATTGTGACAGAGGGGATTATTTTCACGATAATCAAGTATCTTCTGTAGATCAAGGTATCCAAATGGGAAATTCTCTCGACTTATAACTGCCAAAGGAAAGTTGAGGTAGTAATAGAGTTAACCGATGGATTAAATGATGATCAGCATAAAGAACGAGCCTGAAGGCCCTTAATATACCCTCGAAGAGCCTCCTTGTCCCCCTGTGCAGATACTCTGCCGCAGTGTGGAATGGAAGTCGGCTGGGGTGATCGCGCCGGCAGATACCACACGTCTCGACACCATGGACACCTTATCTTGGCTCAAGTGCAACGGCCTCTGCATTCTACATACCAGAATCATCCCAGTGGCGGATCCGGCTAGACAACCACCCAGTCGGTAGATAGAAGCAATCCTTATCCCAGGCCCAGCGGCCCAAAGACGCTTAATCCACGGCTATACCCCAGATCAACCACCCATTTGCCAAAGGATAACAGCGACCGTATCCCTAAGGAGTCACCTCATTCACGTCCCTCAATCAGCCACGTCGCGAGAGAACCTCGATTTGCCCTCCCACGAAGGAGAAAGGATGGGGAGCGACGCCCCTAGAAAGGAATGGCACCGCTACATTCCCGAGATGTCAAACCATGTAGGGCGGGGGACGACCGCATCTCCGCGTCGCGAATTGGCAATATCCTTGCCACCGGTGATGATTTCCTGATCGCCAGCGCGACAAAATGTTTAATGGGCGTGCTGCGGTTCACCGTAACGACGAAACGAACAATGCTGTAACCGGCCAGACCATGGGTAGTATGGGATACTATGGCGTGGCGTGGGAACATTAGCCACGGTCGCGTTGTAGTCCCGGGGGTACAATGTTTCCTAGCCACTAGCGGAGATCGAGTCTCATGGGTGATCGCATCAAGGACATGGTTTTAGTGATACACATTGCGAGAGACAGCGAGAAAGGAGCAAGCATGAAAGATGGGAAGGGAAGTATACTCCGGGAGGATTAACGCCTCAGGCCCAGTGTCCGTAACACGCTAACCAGATCAGGGAAAGGCGTATTATGGTGCAGCGATACCGAAGGGGCAGAGGGGAATCAGTGATGATCCCATTATTAGTTAGTCAGGGCGATCCAACAGTCTACTTTTTTTTTTATCGAGCAGAGCTTTACATTGGACTGAGGTCTGGGTAAGGTACTCCGTAGACGACCGGAGCTGGAGCAAGACCAGACATGACAGACAGCATGTACTGTACCAAGCATACAGTACCTGCGCCTATACACTATACTATCTTAAACCTACCGTATACATTATTGTATAAAGTAAGACATCCGATGACGTCGAAGCGCATCTCGCGAACTGCCGGCACGGACCGTGTTGTACGGTAAGCGGCCAATCAAGCCAGCGTGTCGGCAAAAGCAACTCGGCTAGAGAGACCTTTGGAAAACCTCACGTTGGGAGCTTCTGCTTCTCTGAGTGTCCAATCCTCTCCCTCTATTGCCCCCGTTGCATATTCTCTTCTTCCTAACCATCCGCCAGCATGGCCACAGCTCCGGCCAATCCCTGGCATGTCGGAATGCAATTCCACTCCATGAAGGAGGCCCGCGATGCGCTGGTCCGACATACCCTGGACCTGCACGCCTCGTTTCGGGTGAAGAAGGCCAATTCGGAAAAGTACTTCACTGCGTGTCGCAGCGGATCCGACTGTCCGTATAAGGTCCGCATGTATACGAGTCGGAAGACTGGCCTCGTGCGCATCCAGACGTATGAACCCCTGCACACTTGCAGTTCCGATACGCATGACAACTGGAGACCGCCGCTGTCGACGGCCCCGGAAGCTGAAGGGTCGTCGCCGTTGCAGCCTAAAAGTCCAGAACAAGTCAGAAATGGTAGTATAGATATCTCTTTCATATGATCCACACAGAAGGAAATAAAGAAAAGAAAAAAGAAAGAAGAAAAGAGAAAGGGAAACCAAGAATGTACCAACCCGTCAGTCCAATACTGCGGCGGCGGAATGCCAAGACTCTGTATTTGGGCTATCCAGGGCCCTCACTAGAGCACATTTGGGCCATCGGTGCAAATTCGATACCCTCTGTTCTCGCAAGAATAATATCTCCAACTAACAACCTACCTCTCATACCGCGTACCCATCGCTGATGATCTGATAAAATCTAGATCCCGAGCAGCCCGACCCTGCAGCTTCATGCGAGTCATCATCCCAAAGGGCAGGCAAGCCGCCAAAACCCCCCAGCGCGCTCCTTCAAAAGGGCTTGCAAACTCGGCGTGCCGTGCTCGGTAGCGAGCATGTCGACCGGGCGCTTGCAAACAACGCGAGTGCCTTCTCCAGCCCCATGCAGGAGATGGTCACCGAGTGGGCCTGGGGGAATGTCTGGAACCGACCGGGCCTGGAGCGCAAGCAGCGCAGCCTGTTGAATATCGGGCTGTTGATGGCGCTGAACCGCACGCCGGAACTGGCGATGCATATTCGAGGCGCTATCAACAACGGCCTGAGCGAGGTGGAGATCCGTGAGGCTATTCTACACTCGACGGTGTACTGCGGTGCGCCGGCGGGAATGGAGGCGACGAGGACGGCGGAGAGGGTACTGCAGGAGATGGCGGAGAAGGGGGAGCTTGAGCGGGTGCTAACTTGATCCTTGTCTGTGGGTAGGAGTCTAAATTCATCGAGAGCGAGGGTGAGCATATATCGTCTGTCACTTGATCATATGGGCAGGGAAAGTGAGAGGGTATTGCGGTAGAGTACGGAGAGTCGAAGTCGGCAAACCTGGAGAGAAGCGTGTTGTTGGCTGCTCATTGGCCATGCGTATCAGCCAACGTTGGGCATCGCTTCCATCAGAACATGGATTTCCAGCAACCAGAATGGCGTCTGCTTCGCTGGAAGGGATCGAATCATCAAAGAAATCATTGTGGTTAGTCAATCAAACAAACAATATAACATTCAACGTTCAAGAAACTCCACTACATGACCGTCCACCTAAGGACAAGTCAAGCTAGAACGAAAGACAGTCGGCTACAGGGTCGGAGTGGGTAGAGAACAAGTTGGCTACAGTCCCTGTAGGGTGATTCGATTACAATCCACGACCGAAAACCCTCGAGGGGTCCTTCTACAACCTTCTTTCCCACAAATCCACTGGGGAGAAAAAACCATTCCATTGCATGGTCGGTACGGGGTAGTTCGTTTACACTCTCAAGTTCGAGGGAATCCTCTAACTAGGGGCCATAATCTCCCAAGTCCCAATCACGACTCCATCCATCTCAAGCAACCGACCTGGTGTCCACGCAATGCTGATGCAGCTGGTCAAGCTACTTTCACTCTAGCGCAAGGACAAAGTTCCCCTCTCGCAAGGGTGAGGGCGATAATTTCCTTCCCTCCCCTCTAATCCGTACGGAGAACGGAGCACACCGTAGATAGTGCGAGCGATTAGTTAGTCTAGTTCCCCGAGGTTGGTCGCAAGTTAGCCTGCGACACTAATGCCTTGGTATTCATCATGTGCTCATCCTGATGTATTAGACAATGGACAGAGCAAACACTTCTGACATAGTGGATTCCGGCATCGCAGTCCGCTTAGGGACTAAGGTGGTAAGTGGAAGTAGGTATTCGTAGATGCCTGGGAGCTTGCTGTCGTTGATGCATACGCAATGGGGTCGAAATGTCATGGCCACGCAAGCGATACGTTCGGACAGGAGAGCAAGAAAATCATCACGACATGACCAAAATATCGAACTGAAGAAAAATAAAATACTAAAAAAATAAAATAAAATAATTCTCAGCATCATCCATGATAGCATACTCCGTACTCCGTATAGGTATGAGACTCCGGTCAGGATTAGGGCTCAATCATCGGCGCGGGAATGCCGGGCAGATCAGCCAATTGACAGGATGAGAGGACCTGAGAGGGGCGTGGCACATCCACCGGGAACAAAAAAGCCCACGAGCTAATGAATCATGAAGGTCCATGCCAAGACCCTGTTTTCGCGACCATCGTCAAACCCTGGGCCAAATAGAGACCATCAGCGTAGGGAGTGTATGGACTATGGAGTATGGACCACGAGTTTAAAGTCCCGCGATGGCAGTCCGTCACTCATTTTCGGCCAGTCAACCGGGAAACCCTAAGCCTCTCGCGACTCTCATTCGTCCCGGCCCCACCCCGAAGGGGAGCATTCGTATGCATCTACGTAAGTTGGGAGGCCTTTGGGAATGGTGAAGGGTGCCAGGAATGGATTCGCATGAATAAAGTTATCAATTTAGCGACGCCGCAATCTCTGGAGAACGAAGCCGTCGTGAGAATTCAGGGCAAGACCCGGGGAAAGAATGTGTCTGCCTTATGCTCTGGCCCACTACCAAACCAAACCCACTGGTTTTCTACGGAGTCAAGCCTAAGCCTACTGCTAAAAGAGTCCACTTAGGAATTATATCCTTGCCTTAAAGGGCACTTAGCATGCTCGATACGGATGTGGCTCGCTGGCTTACGTACGGTCGTATGACCAGCCACAGCACGAAAACGCTTAGCTCGACACTAACGACGAGCCTAGATAGACATCCGGAGAGAAAACGCCCGATGGCGTATCCTAGCTGGGCTAGACTGCTAGGTTCTAACTGCTAAGGCGTCCCCCCCGGGTCCGGCGTCTAACGCTAACCTTCCGGGCCATCTGCAACTTTCCAGTTTCCCTTACCCAGCAACCCCCTCTCCAATCTCCGGTTAGACTTAGTTTGGAGTATCTTAGTATCTTAGCTTTCACGGAGTACTCTGCACCTGCAGCTTCGATGCTTCTTTTCCAGCCCTCCCCTCCCTCCCCTTGTTATCTACGCGTGGCTTTTTTTCAGTCTCGGACCCCACCGAGTGACGTCTCTTGCTTACGTAGCTTAGCGTTTGTATACGGCCTCTTTTGCTTCAACTGTCATTATCATTATGTGATCCCCGATGGGAAGAGATCCCGGTGACAGCTTCGCAGATTCTTTGTCAAATTTTATTTATTTGTTTGTTTTTTATCTATTTTGTGTTTTTCCCCTGCGGCATCAGGTCTCAGGAGTACGTATGCTTCCATCCATCTCAATAATCATAAAGCGTCATGACCATGCATATCGAATAAACCAGCCAATGAGCTCCTAGCCCGGATGTGACGGGTGAGTGATCCCTTAGGTAGAATCCAAGAACGCCTTGTTATCAACCTCATCGCATCACCGATCCACATACCGCATCATTAACTATCAACTAGTTCGACCAGTCCGAAGCAACGAAGATGGCAATCAATGGTAGTCTCCATATCTGTAGGCATCAAGAATAAAGAAATACACGCCAGGGAAATCACTAATCAGAAGAGCAAAAACAAAAAATAGCAAGAAAAAAAAAAGAATGATGAGTTCTCCAGTCCAGCCCACTACGACCTGCTATGCTACTCTATCGTTATGCTAAGCCTACGGAGTGCACCAAATGTCCAAATCTAGACAACAATACGGAGTAGACACTAAACACTAAACAGGAGGTAAACTGGTAAAAAGCAGTCGCTAAACTCGAACCATTGGAAAATCTCCTCGGAACTGGATAACTTTACTGCCTTAATCTCATCAACTTTCCGAGTCCGGGACCACCTAAATCCGTAATTAAATAAATACGGAGAAAATGAAAAAAAAAAAAAAAAAAAAAACAATCCCTATGCCCAGATAGACCAGCCGAGAGGATGGCTCGGATTTACCGGTATCCACGGCGTATGATACAGGATGCTCCGTTACCTGCTAAACTTATGGTTTTTACCTAGGCAAGATTTAGTATTTACCTCCACTGCCTTAGGAAGACTCGGAAGTTTTGCGAAAGTTTGGAACCGACGGGAACCCTAAAACCTTGGCCCTTGGTCCTTCCTTGAGACCAAAAGAAGAAGAATAATAGGACAAATAATACGGCCGGGAATAACGCTCGGGTTAACCCCCATCTCGGTGAATTCTGGATTCACCGGGCAGTCTGTTATTCGGACTCCGTGCCTACGCCGAATGCAAGTAACCATGTAAGGTACAAATGGAGTCTTAGAAGTTGTAGTCGGTGTTTCTAGGTTTTTTTGTTCCTGACGAACCCACAAATCGAAGGTCGGGCTCGGACTCTGTCTCGGTCGAGAAACTTGATAGCTTCTTGCTTTACTGTGTAGGCCCCTTCCGGTAAGGTGCGTCTCGTACGGGTGGAATTTGGTTCTGAATTTTCCTTTCTCCTGGGTTACAGGTATCCGTGTATGCACAAGGTTCAGTTCCCTTCCCGTTCCAAACCTTGTTTTCGGGACCCTGAAGATCTCGACGGGTTGAATGATATTTGAGTCAGCAGAGAAGTTTTAACTAGGTATTGATTAAGACGGGAATCTACCTGTCCGGCACCCCATAGACGGCAGGATAGATTTCTGCACGAACAATTGAATAAAAAAAATGCATACGACAAAAACAACGAATCAGAGATACTACTAAATACTACGGTGCTACCCAGATAATGTAGGGTACGTAGGGTTACTTCTGCACCTGCACTCCAACTACGACTACAACCCCAACACTCCCTGCAGGATAGCAAATAAACATAAACAAGGCGAATTCCTTCGCTCCCGCACTCCCTCTCAAAAATAAAATCCCTGGTCCTTCAGACCAGGCTGGACCTGACTCTACCCGGTGTGGCTTGTTTCAAGTCCCTTTTAGGGTTCATGATTCCCCTGTCTCCGGGGACTTTGCCTCCGAACTAGTCAGTAGTAACCTACGGAGTCGCCACGGAATGTCTCCGTTGGAGCAGAAGAGCTATCATTGATACCAATTTGCCGGTGTGCTTTTTCAACACCATTTACATACCTACTTACGAGCTGGACAGCGTTGCTATACCGACTTAGCTAGCTATATTGTCAGGAGGGAGGGGAACAAGGCGGGCGGAAGCAAGCAAAGAAAGACAAACATCGACCAGGATGGGAAGAAAAAAGGTAAAGAGGCAACACGAGTCAGAAAACCTAGACTAGTGCCTGACTGCCTGTCAAGGCGAGAATCCCGATTCAAGAATGACGTTCTTAGTATAGTATATGATTGATAGTCAAGTTTTACCTTGCGACCATTGTTTCAGCTTGCACATCGATCTCCATGCTAGTCTGCTAGATGAGCACCTGAGCGAACTTGAAATAGAGACAAGTCTAAAAGCCCGAAACATTTATCATGGGTCCTCTCTCCTCTTCTACGGAGTACCCCCTGTCTGGATGGGTATCATCGTGCCGACGAGGTGCATGATTGCTACGCTATAGTTCCTCATCCCTGTTATAGGTGTATGATGTATGCATGCACCCAGGCGCCGGCACAGCATGGTAGTAAATATTCAGAAATCAACCACAGGGACAGCCCAATATGGACAAGAAACCGTAAGAACCCCGGAGAACTTGATATGTGAGGAATACGACGAGTACACCATAAGACCCGAGATGTGCGACTATGCGTACACGGTAAGTACTAGCTAACGAATAAGCTATCCAACTTCACGCCCGGATTGGTTATTAACGTGGCATGATTTAGTTAAATACGGAGGATTTCTAGGGGATTCTTGGCAGGGTTGAGGAGGTGCTAATTTACTAGCCTTGGGACTTAGTCTTGGGTCTGTACTTTGTCTGGTCAGCCAGTGGTCATGGGTAC